TTTCTGAGCTCCCAAAAACAGCATTTTTTAATCACATTTTAATTAGAAATCGATCATTTGGGGGATGCGTTTTTTTCCAGTTTTGGCGTCTTGAAAGCCACATTGCAAAAGTATATTATACTTGCGAGGTGGATGAGGAAAGATCAGGCAATGTTGATGTAGTTGTTGAATCAGTTCATTGCTTCATTGATTGCAATCTGAAGCACGCATACAAAAAAACTTATCGCGGCTGGCTGGGGTTTACTAATTGCGGGGGGCGTCCTTTTATTTGTGGGGGGGACACCGCTCAAGGGGGGTAGCCTTTCTGAGCTCCCAAAAACAGCATTTTTTAATTAAATTTTAATTAGAAATCGATCATTTGGGGGATGCGTTTTTTTTTCCAGTTTTGGCGTCTTGAAACTGCCACATTGCAAACGTATATTAAACTTGCGAGGTGGATGAGGAAAGATCAGGCAATGTTGATGTAGTTGTTGAATCAATTCATTGCTTAATTGATTGCAATCTGAAGCACGCATACAAAAAAAATCATCGCGGCTGGCTGGGGTTTACTAATTGGGGGGGGGCGTCCTTTTATTTGTGGGGGGGACACCGCTCAAGGGGGGTAGCCTTTCTGAGCTCCCAAAAACAGCATTTTTTAATTAAATTTGAATTAGAAATCGATCATTTGGGGGATGCGTTTTTTTTTCCAGTTTTGGCGTCTTGAAAGCCACATTGCAAAAACATATTTGTGAGGTGGATGAGGAAAGATCAGGCAATGTTGATGTAGTTGTTGAATCAGTTCGTTGCTTCATTGATTGCAATCTGAAGCACGCATACAAAAAAACTTATCGCGGCTGGCTGGGGTTTACTAATTGCGGGGGGCGTCCTTTTATTTGTGGGGGACACCGCTCAAGGGGGGTAGCCTTTCTGAGCTCCCAAAAACAGCATTTTTTAATTAAATTTTAATTAGAAATCGATCATTTGGGGGATGCGTTTTTTTTTCCAGTTTTGGCGTCTTGAAAGCCACATTGCAAAAATATATATTTGCGAGGTGGATGAGGAAAGATCAGGCAATGTTGATGTAGTTGGAACAATTAATTGCCCAATTGATGGCAACTTCACAAAAAACATCTGAAACCAGTCTGTTTGGCAATAGTGCGGCTTCGACCTACGGAAAGCACAACTCTTGCAATGAAAGAAAGCCACTGGAAGTAATTAGAGGCAATGTCCAGAAGCAGGCAAACGCAGCTAACATAACAGCAAGACATTGGCAGAGAAAGGCGCACAACACACAAGCATTCAAGCCAGCTGTGTGCCACCCCCGGGCTGCAAGACGCACCCTCCGGGAATCGAACCTGGGTCCATTGGCCCAGAGCCTATTCAATACCACTATGCCACGGGGGCTTGTCCTAAATGGCAAAAAAAGGCTTTATAGAACCACTGACTGGGCCTGGAAGGGGTTTGCCGGAATCAAAAACACAATGCGCAACACCCCCCTAACCCCCCAACCAAACCCGCAGCCAAACCCCCAAACAACCCCCCAATTAATGAAACCCCCCCAAGTAACCCTCCCCAACCCTTTGGTAGTCGCCTCCAGCTCACGAAAGGCTCTTGCAACGATAAAAAGTCACCTTTTCCCAGCATCATGAGCCAAAAAACCTCTGAAACCAGTGTGTTTGGCAATAGCGCGGCTTCGACCTAATGAAAGCACAGCTCTTGCAATGAAAGAGGGTCACCTCTTCCCAACATGATGAGCCAACCCACAAAAAACCTCTGAAACCAGTGTGTTTGGCAATAGCGCGGCTTCGACCTAATGAAAGCACAGCTCTTGCAATGAAAGAGAGTCATCTCTTCCCAACATGATGAGCCAACCCACAAAAAACGTCTGAAACCAGTGTGTTTGGCAATAGTGCGGCTTCGACCCCGTGAAAGCACAGCCCTTGCACTGATAGAGGGTGCCTTCAAGATGCCCTCTTAATTTTGGTTGTGGCTTATCCGGATCCACTTGTATATGTGCATATCAAATTACGTCGTCGTCGTAGTAGTAGTAGTAGTAGCCGTAGTAGCAGTAGCAGCAGTAGCAGTAGTAGTAGCAGTAGTAACAGCAGTAGAAGCAGCAGCAGCAGCAGGAGCAGCAGCAGCAGTAGTAGTAGTAGCAGTAGTAAAAAAAGTGCCACGTTGCAAGAGCATATTTGCGAGGTGGATGAGGAAAGATCAGATTCCAATGAGAAAAGATAAGCAAACCTATGGTAAACCATCAGATTCCTATGAGGGAAGGTTCGAAAATGAATGGTAAACCATGAGATTCCTATGAGAAAAGATCAGAAAACCTATGGTAAACCATCAAATTCTTATGAGAAAAGATTAGAAAACCTATGGTAAACCATCAAATTCCTATGAGGGAAGATGAGGAAACCACGTAGAACCATCAAATTCCTATGAGGGAAGATTCGAAAATGAATGGTAAGCCATGAGATTCCTATAAGAAAAGTTCAGAAAACCTATGGTAAACCATCAAATTCTTATGAGAAAAGATAGGAAAACCTATGGTTAACCATCAAATTCCTTTGAGGGAAGTTGAGGAAACCACGTAGAAACCATCAAATTCGTATGAGGAAAGATTCGAAAATGAATGGTAAACCATGAGATTCCTATGAGAAAAGTTCAGAAAACCTATGGTAAACCATCAAATTCTTATGAGAAAAGATAGGAAAACCTATGGTTAACCATCAAATTCCTTTGAGGGAAGATGAGGAAACCACGTAGAAACCATCAAATTCCTATGAGGAAAGATTCGAAAATGAATGGTAAACCATGAGATTCCTATGAGAAAAGTTCAGAAAACGTATGGTAAACCATCAAATTCTTATGAGAAAAGATAGGAAAACCTATGGTTAACCATCAAATTCCTTTGAGGGAAGATGAGGAAACCACGTAGAAACCATCAAATTCCTATGAGGAAAGATTCGAAAATGAATGGTAAACCATGAGATTCCTATGAGAAAAGTTCAGAAAACGTATGGTAAACCATCAAATTCCTATGAGGGAAGATTCGAAAATGAATGGTAAACTATGAGATTCCTATGAGAAAAGATGAGAAAAACTATGGTAAACCATCAAATTCCAATGAGAAAAGATCAGAAAACCTTTGGTAAACCATCTGAGGGAAGATGAGGAAACCACGTAGAAACCATCAAATTCCTATGAGGGAAGATTCGAAAATGAATGGTAAACCATCAGATTCCAATGAGAAAAGATAAGAATACCTATGGTAAACCAAAATAGGAAGTAACCCTGGAAATTGTAACCCGAATTAAAAAGTAAAAGAGAGTAATAGCAAATTAGTCCCACCAAAAATTTGGGGATCCCGGAGGGGCTTGATTAATTGGGGGGTGTTTCAGTGTTATTAGGGGGGGAAATCAGCACGTAGAGGACTTTAGTATTGCCCCAAAATTTCCGGTGAAAACGCGCTTGATTAATTTGGGGGCTTTATTAATCCTACCTCAACATTATACACATTATAATATATATATATTATACACATATTGATTTGACATGTCCTTGATTCAGGTCAGCGATTTATTATTGTAACGATCTGTTTGATTTTCCATTTTTACCACAAAAGTTTGTCTATAATGTGTGTGTGTGACGGTTCTCATGCCAGCAAACCTCGAACACCAAGACTGAACACCAAGCTGAACCATTTGTACCTTGTCCTCTTCTTCTCACCAGCAGAGCACATCAGCTAGAGACTATGGCAGGCAGCAAAACCCACCCGCTCTGTACAGAAAAATTGGGCAAAACTTTCGAGCAGAAGGCAAGAATCCAAGCCTTGTGTTGCTACATGCATAGTGCCCGCGGGAATCGAAACTTGCAATGTTCGGGTTTGCACAAGGCAGCCAATTTCAATCATACTTGAAATCACGATTCGCTTGTCAAAATGTGCAATCAACACTAATCAATGAGCTGCAGAGTCCTCCCTGCTTTTGGAAGTGGCGGTAAGGTCTACTCGGTAGGAATGACATATCCTTGTCATCCAGAGAACATGTGATTTTTTGTTGTTTTTACTTTGAAACCCATGTTTGTATGAACATGTATGAACGATGTTTCTCATGGCAAGAAGTGAGTTTTGATGATCTATTAAATTATTTCGATATATTTCGATCCCTTACTGCGAATCAATTCAATCAAGCGTTTCGTTTGGACCTATATTAACTATCAGTTTTGATCAATTTTGTGCATGCATTGAATGTCTAGCTGTGGCACAGAACGTTGGAAGCTTCGGCAAAAACATGATTTTTTCAATTCTGATAAAGGATTGTACACTTCACAGGTATGAAAGCGACGTGTGTCATGAAAACCGAGATTACTGCAATTCTTCAAAATCTCACAACGTAGTGATCGCAAAACGTCGCCAAAACCTGTGTTCTGCAGGTGGAACTTGGGCAGAGATTCTGCACACTACAGCGGGCACTGGAGCGATCAATCCTAAATTTCAAATATATTTCAGCATAATTTCGTTGAGCCTCGAGTTTTTTGTTTATGTCATTTCAGGCATGGGATATCCCAATCATGAAGATTCCATTTCCTATAGCTGTGATGCTGACGCGTTTCTCCTTTCTTATTTCGTCTACTTGTATGTAGAGCATCGAGTCTCGACGCAATCAAATTTGCATTCTTGGCGAGCGTTCTTGCTCAGATTCAGCTTATTTTTGAAGCATGATCAGAATTCGCAAGTAATTAGATGTATAGATTGGAATATCCTGTGCAGAATTCAATCGGTTTGAAACCTCACAAGACATGGCATGTGGTAGTAATCGACTCGACCAACTTGTAGAGACGTTGGCAATTGGATGCAATTGGCATATTTCTTTTCATTCTAAAAAAAAAATGGTAGAAAGTGGTGCATGATCTTCTGGCTTGCAACTTTCTGTTTCGCTCCAGACGCAAAAACACAGACACTGTGCAGACCCTTCGTTGTAGCAAGGCACCCATGCACACCAGATACTTAACTCACCATCTTAGATATAGGACATGTCAATTTATGGACATATTGACATAATTGATGAAGTATTACACTTTCGGAACACTTGCAGCACACATATTAATGTTCAGTGGAGATCACTCTTCAGCGTGGCTGCAGCTCCACCGGATCTAGTGGAGATGCTTGGCCGGTGCTGCAAAAAGGCGGAGCGTTTACTGGCCAGCCGTGTTGAAGCAGCTGCTGAATGTTTAGCTGTTCGCTACTGGGTGTACTTGGCTCTTCTGCAGCGACAAAAGGTTCAAAGAGGCGGTAAAACTCGCAATGAACCAGAATAGCGAAGCACACCTTCACTCCTGAACCCTTCCATACCCTTCCAAATCCTTTTGCTCCCTTGTTGAAGCAGTATGATTCCATCCCACCATCCCCGAGACCCTTTGGACCCTAAGGTCCCTTTGTTAGATCATGTCACTATGTCTCATCAGTTCTCCATTTTTCGTGGTCAAAACACATGTCCAAAGAAATCATCAACTCCTTGATCCTTCGCTTTTTGCGTACCACTGGAACAGCTGGAACAGCTGGGCCCCGCTGCGCTGCCCATGAATCTTTTGGAGAAGGTGGGCCACTTTATTTCCAAACGAGGCGATTACATCCAGGAGCAGATCAGTGGCAAGCGCGTGTTTTCAGCTCATGTCACCAATGCCACGGATGAGGCTGGCATTGCCATAGGGCCGGAGGCCATACAGTAGGGTGGATTTCAGCGAACCAAAGCTGCGGTAACAGGGCGTGTCTTCCAGCAGCCAGTTGTCAATAATTAGAATTCGTGGACTTTGGCGGAGTGATTTTATAAGTATGCATTATGTTCATTATGTTCATGTCTCTTACATTGTCCTGAGCCAGACCATTGGTCAGTCATATTTTGTGCACGGTAATTCTATGATCGCCAGTAATGTGAAGTGACATAGATCTTCGCTGAGAATCCTTTGGCATCCTTTGGCATCTGGAGGTCTTGGAGCTCTCAGGAAAACCCATTGTGAGCTATGGCAGGTGCCAGGGCAAGACTCGGAAATTTTTGAAGATCTGGTTGGTGGTTCAGGTGGCTACCATTATTTTTCAATAATGGCATATATTGTTCATGCATTTTTTCATAGGCCATCCCACTTTGGATAATCATCACTACCTTGCAGTTGTACAGCTGCACTGTTCGATTAGCCCCAGATTCCCAGAACTGCATGACATAAAATACTTCATATGATTCATATAAATTATTATATGTTCGGCCTGAAAAACTAATTGGTATCCTCAGTATAGTCAGTATATTATCGTACATTTGGGTAACAAACATGCTTTCAGACTTTCAGCATTTCTCCACCGAAATGTTCCCTATCCATCCCCGGTAACTTCCAGGTGCAACCACTTCTCCCGGCTAATGCCTGGGGAAGCTGGAAATTTGAGCTTTGAACACGACGGCGAACATGGCGGTGCCTTTGAATTCTCCTTGGAAAAAGAGCGCTTATTCTTGGGGCAGCAGCTTGGAACATCTTCAAGTCCAAGGGTTTGGCAGTCTTGCAATGTAAGTGGTTTGGTGTAGGTCTTATAATACATTTATTCAGAATATTTTAGAATACAATGTTTGGTAAAATTGATGTAGGGTTTTATGCTCAATGGTGGGGAGGAATGGGTAATCGATAGGTCAACGATGTCGATAGTCAAGACCTGTGATGCCGGATGAAACATGTCACCCACCTACAGACGGAACGAACGCATAGGATGGTGTACGGTACGGCTTGCGAATGGAGTTTTGAGTGGCATTGGTGCTGAGGTACATGCGTGCCAGTTACTCCTCCCTGTTTGGAAGTGATCAGTTTGTGATGGAGTTCTCCAACAAGACGCTGAAGCAGTTCTACATGAACATGCCGCAAAACTTCATGGGTCTTCCAAACCGCGGGGAATCGCGCACCGAAAGTCAAGAACATGCAGCAATTGTTCGCAAGGCCACTTGCTCCACCACCAATCAGGCAGGACTGCAAGGTTGTCATTAGTAGATATTTAATGGATATATATATATATATGGATATGAAATGATATGAATCATTCATGTCCTACCCATCATCAATGGATATGGAAGATAGATTGGGAGGATGGGAGGTGCTAGTTGCTGAGCGTGTGAAGGTGGAGATCCTGTTGGTTGCCTCCAAGGATCTTCACATTTTTCAGGATTTGGATCCACTGGACAGCCTGCAGCACAGCTGGCATGTCTGGGGCTGGAATTGAAAAAAGCATCCAAGGGATTCGAAGGGAAACGTATGGAAAGGTGTGTGAAAATGACATCCCAGTCATTTTCCATGGGATGTGCCAGGCACCTAGCGCTGGCTGAGCTGTGTAGCCCAGAGCTTTTGAGCAGCGCAGTGTTCTTGGAGGACACCAAGACAAGGATTCTATAGGATCATGCAATGGAAGAAATCCGGTTTGAACAGAACAACAATCCCATCCATTGCACAAGCACGCACAAGATTATATAGAGGTTGGAAGTCGATGCTTGTAATGCCATGTGATGGCACGTGTTTGGCGTTTTTGCGTTTGCAGCTGGATCATTTTTGTGTGAAGCCGTTTGTTTCTTTTTTTGCAGAGGAGTTTGCTGCACTTCGGGACTCACTAGAGCACAGCAAATCCTACGAGCGGCTTGGTGCAAGAGCCGTTGTTTGGATATTTCAGTTTAAGGATGTTTAAGGAAAGATCGACATTCCTTGATAGGGCTTCTCAAAAACATAAGATTATATATAAATCTTACTTGAACATACTTAACTCAATACCTCGAACTTCCTGTTTCCATATTTTCTGCCTGGGCAGAAATGTTTGCCTTATTTTGCCCGGTGTTTTTTTTCCGCCTGAAGGCGTTTTGGCCCAGGTTATCTTGATATCCTATGATATCCTTCTTGTATGTTGTGATGTGATGCCACGCAGTCAACAGTTTCACGAGTTCTGGTTTGAAGCAGCATGTTTTTTCAAATTGAACGTTTTCCAGCACCACAAAAAACTCAACTTGTCATTCTTGGAAAATCAGTGGTACGGGGTTTCCCACCCGATTCGCGCCAATTCCCGCCTGAGATTGTTCAACAAAATGTCATATTCTGCCCGAGCCATGTTTTTTGCAATGCACACTGGATCATGTTGCAGGTTGTATCAGCCAGACTTCACACCTTTTGACACCCTCAAATTGCAACACCTGTTTATGTTGCCAAAGAGTGCTAAAAGTGCCTAGATTCAAGCTTCCGCCCTCAGGCTGCTTTTTTGCCGAACCATTGTTCAGGCTGATTTTTAACAGCTCAGGCTGAAATGGTCCCGAAAAATCAGATCTAGGTATAAATCACTGGATCCTATTTTTGTGGGTTACTATATGTTACTATAAGCCAATCCATTGAATATCTTTGGGATGCCACACTTAAAAAAAAACAGCCACGGTTAACCGTTCCGCAGCACGGAACGAGGCAAGTCTATGCCTGCGACCTCCTGGTGGATTCTATGGTGGCCACAGGCGACCTCCTGAGACATGGTTTAAGAATGTTTAAGATGTCTAGAGTCTAAAGGATTTTTTTGTAGTTGGTTTATGATGGGTTTATGATGGTTTTATGATGGTTTATGATGGTTTTTGATGGTTATTATTACTATTAAATCTCACTATATACTGATACTAGCAACATTAGTATTAAGTTAATGATATTGTCATAAGTACAAACGGAACTAATAGTATTTATCAGATAAGTCAATATGTTGATAATGGCGATTATAGGATACGACGATAAGAGATGATAAGAATGATAAAGCAACAATGATAAGAGATTATAAGAGTAATAAAGGAAACATGATAGTAGCTGGCAAGTATCATTCTAACTTTGTATTATTGTGAAAGCAACGGTCCAGGTGGAAAAAACATTGGAAAGGGAATTGGTATCAGAGAGTAGAAGAAGATTGATCCGTCAGTCACTGTTTCTGGCCGCTTTTTGCACTCGCAATTGAAGAATGTGTGTTTGAGCACCAGTCGGTGGGAGGCCTTTGTGGGAAAGCCTCTCAAGACGCATGTAGCGCTTGGCGCAACAGCAAAGCAAAATTCCCAGCTGCAACTTTCAAACTTGCTCCGTATCGCGACTTGTCGTGCAACGGAGTGTTGTAAGGATGAGATTGCAAAACATGAATCAGTATGATATCTCGTGATAATGTCATTTTTGCGTTTCTGCGCTGGATTTCTGTGACAACGATTTCTTCCTTAAGGCCCTACTATGTTCCCATTACATCCCATTACACCCCACTACATCCCATTACATCCCATTACCCATAGGATCCATGTATGCTATATATGGTAACATTTACCATCAATATACCCCAAATGTTAGCATATATACCAGCACCATGGATCCTATGGGATATATATATATATATCCCGTTACATCCGCAAGAGATTCCCACTGCCAATAGGTTACTTTCAGCAGCTTCCCTCGGAGTTGCTGGAAGTTCATCTCAATGTGTGTCATGGACTGCTACGGAGCACGGCATTGCGCTGTGGAGAAGCTCGGGCCGTGGCATCCATTGGCATCCACCGTGCTGCAGCACAAGATCTGGTGGTTTTTCCAGCTGAATCCATGGGATTCACATGGATTCAATGGGGAGTTTACATAGATGTACCTGGTTGGTGGTTTCAACCATGTTTTATTTTCCATAATATATAATCCTTCCCATTGACTGATATTTTTCAAGATGGTTAAAACCACCAACCAGTGTGCCAACAACGGGTAAAATTTGCTGAGCATGATTTGGAAACGACAGAATAATGGGGATATAAACCAGCAGTGCCATGGTGGAATTTAACAGTGGTTCAACCACCAATATTCTGAAGATGTGTCAACAAGAAATGATGATTTTTCCATAAGAGCAATTTGGGAATGTAGTAGCTATAATGATGAGGATTTCAAGCAACAAAACTGGCGGGTGGTTTCAGGTATTCTTCATCTTCATTCCCGGGATGATGGCTAGTCATAGGTCAAAGAAATAGTGCAACCAGTGGTGGATGAATCGATGAATGGACTGGGTCCGGGTAACCATATTATATATGTATATGATATGTATATAGTATATATATAGTAATAATTTTATTAATGGTAATGATAGTATATATATATATCTATATATCTATATATTATATATATATATTGAAATGTATAGCTGTACCTCACATTTGCTGGAAAAAGTGATCGTTTCCAACAGATTCTCCCCTGTCGATGAGAACCAGCAGCTGGTTCCCAGGAAACGTTGGAGCCGATGGTTCAAGAGTTGAAGGCCCAAGGTCAATGGCCACCAGCACTAGAACTGCAATCGGAAAAAGCTGTGGCCACTTGGAGGTTTATCGCTGGGAAAGTAATCGAACTGGAGGGTAATATCATTGTTAACATCACCCACCAAAAAAAGGGTGACGTTCGAAACCAAAGTCCCCTGAAATAGGACTGAAATGCTGTCCAAAGCTGAGGTTTGCACCAGAAAACTCAGCTACTGAAGCGATGATGGAAATTTTAACACACAGCCCGAGGGGGATTTTCAACGCATGTGGCAGAAACAGACGTGGAAGAAACCTTTCACCCTAGAAACCATGGTGAAAAGTCCAAATAATGGGGGGTCACCTCACATTTTTCTCTCAGGTCGCAGAGGGTGAAATCGGCTTTGCCAGCAACGATGCCATCATGGCCACGCATTTGCAAAATGACGATGATCCTCAAAAGGCCACCTCCAGAGCCAGTGTTTGTGCTGGGGAGTCTGCTGAGACTGCCGAGCCTTGCCTGGATTTTTATTGCCGGGATCTGCCGGGAAAGGGTTAGCTTTCGGAGATGTGAGGTTGGCCATTTTTGTGTCGACCGATTATAATTTACTAATATATATGTAATATATATATATATGTAATATGTATATGCATATGTCTATGCCGCACACACACACATATATTATTATATAAATAACAAACCATGGGTTCCTGTAGATTTTCCCTCAAACCGATCATTAACCGATCCACTGATTCCAGATCTCACGTTTTTTCCACCTCAGGACCGCTTCTTGCAGAACCTCGTGAGGCTTTGTGTGAACACCTCCTGTACGGCCCTCTTGCGGCGCCAGCGGTTGCTTGAAAAGTTGGATGCCGGACATGGAAAATTACAGGCAGCTTGGCTAAGTCCACTTTTGGATGTGTTAGCCATTGCTAGTTGCAGAAACCAGAAGATTTTGTTGGGAGATACTTAAAGAGATATGTGTGGATTATTTTTACTGTAAATCTTACATTTCAATGCAATTGCGGGCTCCGAGATAGGGGGGGAGAGAGAGAGAGAGAGAGAGATGAGATGAGATGAGATGAGATGAGATGAGACGAGATGAGATGAGATGAGATGAGAAAAAAAAAGCGATGATGCTGCTTTCTTTCATGCATCCTGGATATTCCTGGATGATCATGGTGTGAAGATATCCTGGCTGTGATGCTCCCTGAGGCATACATGCGACACGTTCCATTGTCTCGAAGATCTGGCTTGCTGAAGCAGGGCCTCAAACCCGAGGGGCAGAAGTTCGAAGTCTATTGCGCTGAGATCTTCCACACATTGGAAGAGCAGACCAGTGCAACAGCCTTGCTGGAATCCTTGGGTGAAAGTTCTGGTGAGTACAAGAGCCTGTCAACCAACTCGAAATCTGGAGAGTTTTTTTTCCTCTCCCATGACAGGAAGTTTCTCATTAAGACAGTTTCGGAGGCCGAAGGGCGTCTTCTTTTCAGGATGTTGCCTGAGTATCAAGATCATATTCATTCCCTCCCTGCATCGCTCATTGTGCGCTTCGCTGGGCTTTATCATGTAGAAGTGGGAAGCGGAAGTTGGAAATACTTCCTCGTGATGATACTCGTTCAGCAATCGTCCTTTGTGATATTTGTGGTTCAGTTTTCACAGGGTTACCACGGTAGCCAGTAGAATCTTGAAGAATCTGAAATGCGGAATGTGTCAACCTTAAGCGGGTTCTCTATGTCCCTTGTTAAGAAGAGGTATGCTTTACCAGAGATTGCTTAGCTGTTCAAATGTTGCCTCCTTCATCATCAACTTGAGTGTTGAGCTGTCCCCGCCGAGGAAGTCGGTTTTTGACCCTTCTTGTGAAATCCACGCCCATTATGACCTCAAGGGGTCACTCTACCATCGCAAGAAGAAGGACCGCTTGGGACAGAAGACACATGGATGCTGAACCCTATCACCGTACAAGCCTAAAACATTAGACTAAACTATCACCTTATCACCCAAACCCCAAACACTCACAACTATGGATAAAACAAGAGGAACCCTAAAACACTAGTGCCTAAATCATAAATCCTGAGAAACCTAAAGTGATGTTGAAATGAGGTCTTAAGTCTTTGGCCATTTAAGTCCTATCACTAGCGGTAGCACACCACCATCGCCAGGAGGGCGAATCCTGCGGCAAGGACGAAGACTGGATCAACGCCAAGCTCTTGGTCCAGGTCCCCGAGCCGCGACGGCGCCAGATGTTGGAGGCCACCTGTGGTGGCCGCGACAAGTCATGGTTTTTTGGCTGGTCAAACTACGTCGAAATTTGGAGGTTTAGCCTTTGGTAAACTAGCAATACTATTGGAAAATAACTATGGAAAATATTGGAAATATGGAAAATAACCACAGTTATTATAACTAACATAACTATATATGGAAAATATTGGAACATCACAATTTTTAATAGGTAAATCAACTAGAAATTGCAATTTTTAATAGCTGTGTTATTTTACCAGAGGGATCCAGAGGGTATAGCTGGAAAAGTCCACTATAGTGGAGGTGCCAATGGAAAGAACCACTTATGAATGAAGGTCTTAAATATATAGTGGGAACATCAACTACAAGTTGGGGGATTGCCAATTGCTATGTTTCATTGTCCAAGGTATTTTTGTTGAAGTCAATGGATTAGTTTAAGCGGAAACCTGCAGGAAACCAGGGTTAGGAAATTCCGCTTCCTGTAAAATTCCCTCAATTCTTGGATAAAAAGGACGACGTTTCAAATTGAATAATCTTCTCATTTCAAAATGGGTCAACACAAATCAATGAATATGATATTTGAATACAATTAATTTGTTCTTCCCTAACTCTTACCCTGGCGGAGGCCCATGAAGCGGATGTGTCCTTTCTGAAGGGGCACCATGTCATGGACTACTCCGTCCTGGCAGCCCAGCTGACAACTGGCGGTTTCAAAGAGGTTCTTATTTTCCACCCCAGAAATGGGAGGATGAAGAAATGGATGATCCAAATTGACGAGCAGATTTTATGAAGAAATTCTTGGGATGGGTTGAAACCATGAACCAGACAAGATGTGTATATAGATGTGCACTTGGATGCCATGTGATGTTGATATATATATATATAGTATATATACGTATATATATTATATAGATATGTGTGTGTATGTGTCCTGCCTTAGGATCAATGTGATTCATGTCAACCCCAGATAAGAAAATAAGGGGTGGACAAGTTAAAATTGAACAGTGGAAGGGGCAAACAAAAATTGAGGGTTCCAGAGATGGGTGTGTTTCATTGCGGGGTGTGGGTCTCATTCTTTGAGGGGCAATGTTTGTGCCCGAAAAACACGGGAGTTGTGGGTGCTTAATCCTGGCTTAACATTAGTATAATGTAATTAATTAGTGCAATTGGATCACAACAGGTTTGATTTTTGAATCATTGCAAGCTATTTAGCATAGCGTTGAGAGACGAGGTTGGGATCCACTACCCAGAGAGAAGCCAAAGCACAGCGAGCAAACACGCTGGCATTGTAGCTGCTGGTGGGAAGGAGGTCTACTTTCTGGGCTTCTTTGCTTTGCATCAGGATGCAGTGTCTTGTGTGCCTCATGTGTCGCAGTTGTTGAAAAGAGGATGAGAATGGATCAGATAATAAACCCAATGACAACCCCACTTTTGAGATGTCTAAAAGACACCAGCCTACCCCCTCCAACCTCTTAGGTTTGCCATCTTCACCAAGGCTTGATTGATTTCCTGATCCATTTTGGTTTTCGAAAGCAAGCCGAGCATTTGCTGCGAGCAGCGCAGGGTCATGGGGCCGACACCAGCTGTGTGGACCCAGCGGACTATGCCGCACGCCAGGTACAGCGGACCCGCGGAAGTGGTCACTTTGATTTTTTCAAAATATTAATCCATCCAAGTCCATCCACTTTATATCATTTTATATCTATTGTTGGGGATGGATGTATATGAATATATTTGAATGTATCTATGATTCTCTATCTCTATGACTATATTTATGATACATATAAGTATAAACATTGATGATAAAGTCATTTCACAATCCTTTTCAGGGGCTTCACCATTTGGAAACCATACGTTGGTGAGGTGGTGATCATATCGCTGAGAGCCGTGGTGGTTGCGGATGTGATATTAATATATTAATATTTGTAAATACACTGGCAACGGATAAATCACCAACAAGCAAATGCTCTGACCCTGTCAGATGAAATCCAAATGAAGTAAAGTAGTGACCCTGTCACCAGAAGAAAATGGGGTGTCCCACACCCAAGTCACACGCAGCTCTTTGTCACCCGCTCAGCACACCATAGCTGTCCGACAGCTAAGTCCTCAGCCCTACCCACCACGTGGTGCTTTGGGCCATAGCACCCACGGATGGTACCGTATGAGTTCATATGCAACCTTCAGCAGGAATCACATCAAGAGGCAGTTGATACTGAAATCACACTCCCTGAAAACTCTGTTGATGTGATTCACGTAGCCATTGGATGGCTTGCTTCTTATGGGCATTCGCTTGCAGACTCGCAGCTTCATCGAAAAGTTGAAAAGTCCCCTGTTCCAAGGCAGCACGAAGAAGAGTGGCATCCATATTCTTCGTAAGAGGATCAGCCAGTTGAAGAGCTGTTGGTATCCATCTAAAAAAAACAATGTTCCAAGCAACGTTCTTTGATAAGCAAAACTTCTAATGTTGTTCGATATTCCTCGCAACTTGGCATTGCTCGCCGGCTCACAAGATCGTATAGGGACTTACAATCTGTAACAATGATTGCTGCATGCAGTTGACGAAATGCGTCTGGTGGACTTCGCCATTGAAATCCCGGAACTACCAGAGTGCCCCACAAGAGTCTACACCATCCCATCTTATCCACGCTACGGGACATAGAGAAGGCTTCTGCAGACAACGTCGATCGCACTACTCTTGATATCTTTTTGGAAGACCATGATAATGGACTGATTGGTGCTTTGAGGTTTTCCTGAAGTGAAGGATTTGTTGCAAACACCATTGTTCCTTGAAATGAGGCTAGCTGCTTTGGACTTGCAAAAGACGCGTCACCGAATACCACATGGGTAACATCTTTAGGTGGGATAGACCTGAAGCATATGTTCACGTCACTGGTCTCCTTAGCTTCTCGCAGAACTTTGTTTGCCGCGAGCAGGGTGGATACTGTTGGTTTCGACAGTTGGACTTGGATTTCCCCTAATTTGGCTGACATGTCCGGTCGGGTATGAGTTGTAGCGTATTGGAGGCTACCAATAAGCCCACGTAGGCAAGTCATTTCTGATTCAGTGATGTGTTCCTGAATCTGGTTTCTTCGGTGTTTACCTATTTCAATACATGGAATGGCATGGATGTAGTCTCCTTGATTTGCACGAATACTGAAATCCGGCAGTTGCTCTAATTGAATCCCAGTGAAGACACTTTCGTTGCTTATATGATCCAAAAGGCAGGTGTTCTCACAAAAGTTCAATACGGGAATGAAACCATGAGTCGCCGCCACATATACCATCATCCACGTGAGTACCGAGAACTCCATGAAGAACTCTCTGATCACCATTCCAAGATTCCAGGTAATATACACAAGGTTCCAAAGGATGCACTTTAAACCCTAGGTTTTGAAGTTGATTACAAAGTTCTTTGTAGAAAAGAAAAGGCGCGTCAACTCGACCGTAAGCGTTGCCGATGAGAGCACACACTTGATCGTCCTTCAATTGCATTCTACTTCGGAGTTCCTTTGGTGGTTCCATTGCAAGGGGATTGTCACTGTCAGCTTTACCTCGAAGAAAAGCAGTTTTAATGTCGAAAGATGTCAGGATCCATTGCTGAGATGCTATTAACTGGAGTATGGTGTGTCTACCTTCTCTAGTCAATGTGGGTGCATCCCTGTTGACCTCAGTAAGTCGAGGATCTTGGTAACCCAAAACTACCAGTCTGGCCTTGGCCTTACGACTTCCGGAAGCACCTTCTCCTTCTGAAACATTCTTCCAAGTAAGAACCCATCGGGACTTGAGAATCTGTTCAGGATTCAAATGTTTCCGGAGCACTGGCTTCAAGGCGCTGGTCTGCAACCAACATGACAGTTCAGCTTCCTTGGCTTCAGAGAACAGCTTTCTTTCATCACTATTCAGATCTTTGAGTTGCACTTCAGCACGGGCACGTTTGCTTGCTGATGCAATCTGTGCCAACTCTTCTGGATGTTTGCTCTGAGACCATTGCAAAATGTCTTGTCGGGACATGGGCACTTCAAGATAAAAACATTGATTTTCATGAGGCATCAAAGGTTCATCAACATATGGCATGCCGTCTTCAGCTAAACAAACATCCAGTGTTGAAGATCCTGGAAGAAAGGATTCCCACTCCAGTAGAGGCTGTTCGGCCGTCAGGTCATCTAGTGCATGGCAAGTCAAAACTTGATGCTCACTTCGTGGAACGTCAGCTGTGGAAATGTCTGGGTCAAGGTCAATGGCATTTTCACTGTTGAAGTCGGTAGATGGATCTATTAAGGGTTGATTATTATTATCATGTTGAGAAGTATGAATAGGGGTATTTAAGCCTGATTCTGGAAACTCTGGAAATTCATCGCTTTCTGGTTGGATGCTGGTCTGATGATTGTTGGGTATGCCATGTGAAGGAATGGGAGTGCCTGGTGTATAAGTGTCATCTTCTGGTGGAATATTGTTATGGGAAGAGTTATTGAGTTGTTGGGTGTCATGATCAATCTCACGTCTTACTTCTTGAACTCTCTGATCGAGAGACTCTGACGTCCCGTTCCATTCACGCAAGGACGCAGGTCTCAGATTTTCCGGTGCGCATCTGAGCAGGCGGTCTCCATGTGAGACCCATATGGTAGAGGAGCCATCTTGGCACACGACTCGGCCAGGACCGTGCCATCTTCCTGCTTCCCGTCTGCCCCCAACATTCTTCTTTCTCCAGTACATGACTGTTTGACCAATGGTATACGGTCCGGGAAGGGGATTGGACTTCCTGAGGATGGCTCGACGGATAGCCGCATCGTTGTCGGCAAGCAAAAACATCTTTCTGGCTCGAGCGAATTTCAAGGCTTTTACGAAAAGTCTCACACTCCAGGGATGAACCATCGGCAAGACTATGGGCTGATACTTGTTCATCTGAAGTCAAAGATGCTGGCAATTTGGCTGATTTTCCCAGCACGATTTGTTCTGGTGAATATCCCTGGTGCCGAGACAAGGCGTTCTTGGCTTGGAAACACGAACGAAGCACATCATCAAGTTCTTGAGGATTATTGATTATTTTCTCTTGATCATATCTATCCAGCATGGTCTTGATGATCTGTCCATGTCTCTCAACTCTCCCTTTTTGCCAGGCCTCACTTAACACGCGAGGTTCGATGCTTTGCTCCTGCAAAAATGTGAGCCACTGGTCGGCTCGGAACTCCCCGGCTGGGTCTGAGTAGATACTCAGAGGATGGCCTGCCCATGAAGACCACATATCAAGAAAAGCTGGAATCACATGCTCCAAATGCCTGTTGGATATGCGACGACCCAAATGAAACAATGAAGCCTCATCCACACAGTGAAAGACCATAACTTGAAAACCGGCTCGACCCGTCCAAAAGAAACCATCAATTCCTACTAGATCATTAAATTCTTTGGGTTCATGAAGTTTCGCAGGACGCTGGTGATGGAATCGAGTGGTCTCCACACAGGCATCGCAGATGTATTCTTTGGCAGCTTCCACAATGTGCTCGGCGGCTCCAGTGGCTTGCAAATGTTGTGATAGCGTCAAAGGACTGGGATGTCCCAGGTTCTTATGCAATTTCACAAGGTCTTGTTTCTCATGTTCATTCAACAATCTAAACTTGGGACCATGCAAGGGCACTGGAGGAGGTGCCCAGCCTTCGCAGACAACATTGCTGGTTCGGGCATGCACAGCTGCTGGAAGATCGTGACTTCCAGTTGCGCGGACAGCTGGAGATGGCTCACATCCATCTCTGGGCTCATCAGGCTTTTCTTCAGGGACTATCGCAGGTGCAGATTCATGCTCAGGTGGGATTCCAAAAAGAGTTATGGTCAACTTGCTGGGAATGCTCTTTCGGATTCTTTGTGCTCGAGTAATCTGGTGCCAATCTTCTACCCCTAAGTCATGAATAGCCGATGTTTCTCGGTGCATGCTGATAGAATACCTCAGAGGAAACTGGCTTGATGGTGGTGCTTGCAAGGGAACTTGAAAGCGTTCAGTGCCTCGACAAACAAACATGTCAGTGATCCTAATGGACTGCTTCACAATCTCTTGTGCCACCCTCCAAGCATTTGAATCTGCGGAACATCGGGTGTTGCCCACACGGCTTGCAATCCGCAAAACATCATCGAAAACTGGCTTCCATGGTACGGACGCATCGGAAGCTAGCGGGGCTGTCTCTGCAGATTCATGCACGGGATTCGGATCCCCAAGTGCCGGGTCAGGAACGAGGTTATCACTGCTGGATGGCATTTCTGGATTTTCGGATCTTTCATGCATGGTCTTGTGTCGCTTGAAACGACCTTGCTCTACTTTGGCTCTCTTCTTCGGTCTCTCATCTTCTTCATCATGAAATACCATGGCATGTTCATCAGGACCTACGGCTACATGTGAAGAAAAACAAATGTTCCTGGCCATCACGCGGGCAAAACCTGTACAGTAGGTTGCACAGAAGCTGGTCAGCCGCTGTCGAAAACCTCGGATGCTGACACTCCCTTCGATACGGTGGTGAGAGTGTTGGTTTGCACATCTCTGACCGTGCAATGCATGAAACATTTGTTTTGAAGTGGTCAACAACTGACTTCCTTTTCGAAGAAATCTGTTGGTTTGAGGAATGCGCAAGCCAAACTGACACATGTCGAAACGAGCCTTGGCTGTCCTTGACACAATCGGTGTCAGTTCCTTCAAAAGTGGAAGACCGGATCCGGCAGGCTGCTCCATGTGGAAATGTCGTCCTAATTTGGTTTGGTACTGACACAGCCTGACGCACAAGCGAGCATGGGGCATCTGTTGATCTTGTTTTTCTTGGATTCTGTCAAACATTTCAGGGCTCTTGTACTTATTTAGGTGATTCCATCCTCCCCATGGTCCACATTCCGGTGCAACCCAGATATGTTCCGGCTGGAATTTCTCGATCACGTTCCACAATTTCTGACGGCCCGCAAAAGTAGAGAGGTCTCCATCTTGTTTCGTAAAACGCATGGCTGAATACCCAAGGTTCTTGATAGCATCAGTGAGAGGGCTATTGTTGTTGGCATAGACTTCCAAACACACAATTCTGGATGAAGGGGTCATAGTAGTAGAAGAAATGTTGATTGATTCTTCAAGCTTGGAAATGGTCTGGTCAATGTTGTCAGGAAGATTGAAAGTTGAAAACATCTTGGCACTGTCTTGCAAGTGGCTTTTCATGTGTGTCACTTCCTTGTGGAACTCAGATCTATCTAAATTCCCTGGCCGATCTCGCGTTCCCACAGCTGTCCATAACGGACAAAATCTTGATGTTCCGGCATCAAGCTGTTGTACCTGGCAAGACTCCATCGAAGATACCCTGGGTCCTTTTCCATGACCTCGGCAAACGTTTTCCCCTTGTGCTTCCGACCGAACTCGATCACATTCGTTCCCCACTCCGCCAGGGACAAATTTCCTGGCAGGGGAAGAGTCGGCGGTGAAGGCGCCGGCAAGGACCCGCGATTGGATCCGCGGCTCACTGGGACCACATTCACGGTCTCCTGGAAAAAGACCTCCTCGATCTCCTCGACTTCTTCCCAGCTGGGGGCTTGTGAAGTCATCGATGGTGCCTTGGATCGGCGTTGAACCACATTCTTGGTCTGTGTTGGAACCATTGCCACTGAATCCTCGATGGGTGGACTTGATCCGGCAGACATAGATGCTGTCGGAATGCCCCTTTTGGGACTGGTCTTCTTGGCCACGATCTCTCCCTTCAAGGCTTCCAGTGAGGCCCGTTGCACATTGATCTGGTATGATCTGGTTCATCATCTCGTGAAGGCTTGCATGGAGCTCTTGATCGTTCTGAGCTTCTGATTCGACGATCACTTCTTGTTTCTCCAGTTGATGGACCAGGATCTGGAGAAGGAGCGTCAAGAGGTTGATTATGGCCTCCGCGATCGACTTGAGCATGCTGACCATCGGTGGCATGGTGATGGTGCTGCACAAATCTGCTGTTTGACTCAGCGGGGGGGTTCTTTGAGCGAAAACTTCGGCTTCGTTGAAACCTCTGAGTCTCTGCTTTGGCTGCTGAACGGCATTGATTATCCCCATCAATACGGTCCCCATGGCTTATGCTATTTTTATTTATGTTGAGCTCTAACATATCCCCATTAGAACTAATCCCCTTGTGATTGGAAAAAGGCTGTTTCTTCACCTGGGCAAATGTCGATCAAATTGATGAGATACAGACCTGTGGGACTGGTGGCCAGCTGAATAGGAGATTTTTGCACCCGATGCATGAAACATTCATCTCGGTGGGAGTCCAAAGTACCCTGCAACATCTTGAAAGCACGCTTGGAAAAGAGAAATGGTGTCTGACCAGGCACAACTTCTACGGATAACCATAGCTTCTTGGACCCTTGATGTTTGAGGGGGATCTGTACTGCATACATGCTGGTCAGAGTTTGGTTGTTACCACAACGGAACTTCACTTGGCTGTCTTTCTGGCGAAACCGATTCCTCAAACATTCAGGTAAGGCTTGCTTCAGCTTGATCAGTGTTTTTCTCCAATGATGCAACGGCTGGCGCCGGTGTCAAGAATCGCATGGGTGCTGAAGGATTCCAAACTGCTATAAACATGCTCGGATGCTTGTGACTCGGCACTGCGAAAATGCTTGAATCGGCATCGAACGAAAGCAGTCTCTTCACACTCACGGCTGTTCCTGGGCATGTTGGGCTGCAGACCCTGGTTGGATCTACTGGCATGAGCATGAGTCAACTTGGAAACCCTTTTATTGAAACTTGCCATACGATTACTCAGATTATTTACTCCCATTATCCTACCCTCATGACTCAACATGAAACATGTTTCTTCGGCAGGACATGATTGCATGCAGGTTTCGGTGCTGGGCATCTCGTATTCATCTTCAGAGATCACTTCATCCACGGTGGCTTCGGCATGGAAAATCTCCTTGGGGCGCTCATCAAACACGACATTGGCGGAGGCTGAGGTTGAAGGAGCACTGTTCTTGTCACTGGAATTCAAAGGGCACTCTGCCTTCCAGTGGCCAAGTGCGCCACATCGCCTGCAGTGACTGCGGGAAATGCGTTGCAGCAAGGCATCTCGATCTTTGGATCGCTTTCCAAAACTTTTCCCACGGCCTTTGTTGGCCTTTCCTTTGCCTTTGACGGGCCAAAACCCACGGCTCTTGCGTTTCTCAACCAGTTTGGATCTGGCCTCGATGTAACTGGTCAATGCATCGAACATCTCTGGCGTTTCCTGCAGAAATTCCTCAAATTCACCTTCGAATGTTGAAACTGTCAAAGCATCAGCGTCTTCCTGAGCAATCATGGCATCAATGAAATCCTGGTCAAGCTCTGGCTCAAGGTCCTCAGAAAAGGCGTGAAAAGCACGCTCAGTGTGTCCTGACTCCAAGGACGAACTGCCCTCATGGTGGTCAGGGGTTTCCAAGACATTGGCATCATAGACCTTGGTCTTCTGACTGGCACGTCCCGATTGGAACTCATTGAAAAATTTGCTGCCCAGAAGTCTAAAAGACTTGACAACTGGCTGATACTTCAGTTCACCCTCATGTTCCAGCAGGATACGCTTCTTATCTTCTGCACTCAAAGTAGATTGCCTAAGCAAAACGTAGGCTTGCACTTCTTCCAGAGTGGTGTTCCGCGACAAAAGCTCGACAAAATTGGCCTCCATTCGAGACAAAAAGGAATCATGGGATTCGTCAGATCTTTGGATGGTACCATACAGAGACTTTTCAAAGTATTCATAGCGTTCTTCAAGCTCCGTGGAGCCCCATGAACCTCCAATGGCCTCCACAATGGCCGCAACTCCATCGGTCGATTTGACTTTCAGTTTTGCAGGAGAGATCCTAGCGATCTTCTTGAAAGCTGTACCTTCTACCAAAAGTGCTGCACGTGGTGCAAGCTGGTCCAGAAAATCTACAGGCCACAAAACTGCTAAGAACTTGAGCTTCTGTGAGTATTCCTGGACGTTCGTGACTCCTGGAATAAACTTCGGAATCTGGCTCCACGGCAATTGAGGGTTCACCGGTGCTGGTGTCTCATCGTCAGGCACCGGAGGCAGATCTCCGTTTCCACTAACCCCAGGCGGCATGGTGGATCGCACAAAAAACAAAATTGGATTGCACTGTAACGACTTCCCTGGATCGCCGCTCTTTCAGATATCAAATGATAGCTGGAGCACTGGGCTCCGCTACCAGTGTAAATACACTGGCAACGGATAAATCACCAACAAGCAAATGCTCTGACCCTGTCAGATGAAATCCAAATGAAGTAAAGTAGTGACCCTGTCACCAGAAGAAAATGGGGTGTCCCACACCCAAGTCACACGCAGCTCTTTGTCACCCGCTCAGCACACCATAGCTGTCCGACAGCTAAGTCCTCAGCCCTACCCACCACGTGGTGCTTTGGGCCATAGCACCCACGGATGGTACCGCATGAGTTCATATGCAACCTTCAGCAGGAATCACATCAAGAGGCAGTTGATACTGAAATCACAAATATTGATATATATATATATATTAATATGGGCAGCTAATACATCTGATGCGATACCACCGACCCATTCCGCTTCGTCTTGGGTACCCTCTGGTAATTTAACATAGCTATTGAAAATTACCATTTATAGTGGATTTTCCCATTCAAAATGGTGATTTTCCATAGTTATGTTAGTTTACCAGAGGGTATCTCAGGCAGGTTAGCTTCTCTCAGCTCACAGGCGCGGTTCTTGCGCTCCAGCATCTTCTCCCCTGCAGACCCGGACATGGGCACAGCCGGGATACTGAAGGTGCAAGTGATTTCGGCCAAGAACCTGCGGAATGCGGACATTATCGGTGCATCTGACCCCTATGTGGTGGTCACTGTGGGTCTGCAAAGTGCCCAGACGCATGTCATCGAGGCGGGAGTGTGGTTGGTCATGGAAAATAGCTGTGGTGGTTGGAACATGCCGGAGAGTTTGCGGCTCAGTAGCTTTCAGGACAATTTGAACCCCACTTGGAATTGCACATTGTCCCTGCCGCTGCGACACAGCTGCATGGAATTTGGGGTGGCTGGACGAATTCGCAAATTCGTGAGGAAAGATGACACACGCACATCAATTGAAAGATTTGTAAGAGCATATGTAAGAACGAGACGTTCTGCTACATTCTGTTGCTGGTGCTCTAACACTGATATTAAACGACGACTTTGGGGCGTTTTTTTTTTAATCTTCTGTTGCCCAAGGAATAACAGTCATTTTGGCCAAGACGTGGAATTTTCTGCCCCGCACCTAGTATCACCTAGTGCTTCACCACAATACGTGGTGTCCGACGTGCTGCTTGATGTGGTCATCCAGTGGTCACCACGCCATTGGCCACCCGCGGTCACCCCTGGTCACTGAGGTTTGGGACAAGGACTTTGTCCGCACAACGCAGGGATCTGATGACTTTCTGGGAAGATTACGCCTACCCATGGCCAAGCTCTTACAAAAGCGAGCGGCGGAGCTGAATCAACGCTTGGAGGACTCAATATACTCAATGACTCAACGTGTTCCAGTAAGGCATGTCTCGTGATGTCTCGTGCTTGGTGCTTGACGATGTTGACGATGAGGCTGACAATAACCATGATGACGATTTTTATTATTCACTGAAAAGTTTGGGGGGTGAGACCCAAATGGGGTGAGAAAAAACCCTTTAAAAATATGACAAAACATGGGAAATTAGGGGAAATAATGGAAAATAGTGAAAAAATATGACAACATGACAAGGGACATAAAACATGACAATTTGAGAATTTGATACTTTACGAGAACTGTGGCTCAAACTTCTCAGTCAGTGAGCTTGGGTGGTACCCAGCGCGAGTTTGCAATGTCAAGGGCCCAGGTTCGTAGCAGATCCATCACAGGTGATTCTCAAAGGAGTCTATGTAATTACAATCACATAATTTATGACTAATTAATTCCTATGTATGTAATTATCAAATGTGCTCTTACGGTAGGTTGCACTGATTATTGGTGCTGTTGAAGTGATGATGCCATTACGGTAGATTGCATCACAGTCACATCTTGCCGATCAATCAACTCGTGGGTGGTTGATCAGTGGGGGGGTACCATTTTTGTTCCAGATTCTCACTATTTTTCAGTTAGGGATAGGATTTCCTGGGATGTTTCGATATGTTTCGTCCCAATTGACTATGTCAGCTGGCAGGACACCAGCAAGGGTGAGCTCCACGTCAAAGCATGGCTTGAGCACGAAACACAGGGAGGCTATCCTTCCACACCCAGTGCGGTGTGGGAATTTGAGGTGCTTTGGCAGCATGTTTTAGATTCGCTGCAGGGAGATATATGGGCCCAATGGGAGATGCTATACCATGCCTTCCCCAACCACATCGTTGGCTTCATTTGGCGGAGTGTCTCCATGTATTACACCAACGGAGCGCACATGCCATTGGTGCTTCTGCCCTAGCTCTCTTGTGTTTACCGAGGTAAAGGCAGGTTTTGAGAGCTTTGACCCTTCCAGCCAAAAGGTCTTGGAGGATTTGTACCAAGCATCGCTGGCAGGAGTGGGCTGCGAACCGAGCGAAGAACCGGGGTTGCCGGAATCCACTGGAAACACACCGCTGGAATGATAGGTTGAGCACAGCAGCAATGGACTTGTGTTTGGCTGAAACATGCAAGCGCAGCTTCAGGGTGTCTCATGGCGGGAGAGGGCGAGATAGAGACAAACACACAGACAGACAGATACAGATGGGAAGACGGGGCCTTTATTCACTGCCTGACGCCATGGTGCATCTCCACTTATCCTCCCTTGGATCATTTGGATCTTATTATTCTTATTGGTGTATTCCATAACTTGCCGTTTTTTCATTGCAGGAGGTGCTCCCAGCGTCAAGATCCGCTCGGGTTCCGTGGAGGTTTGGGTGGACTTCCGCGCGATGACTCAGCAGGTGGTGGGCGGAACCCGCACACGGCCCATCCGACGCCGAGCCATTCGGCAGTCCTGAGACAGTCGGAGGCTGCGGAGGTTCGTATCATTGGGGATGGATCAAGCCATTCGGGGTACAGCCATGGGATCCATGCTAAAAGAAGCAGAAATTGAACATTAAACACACATAAACCATTATAAACTTATAAACATAAAACATCATAATGGGATAACATAATATAACTTATATAAACATATATAAACCATTATAAACCATTTTTGTGGTGGGGAATCTTGGGGGATCAATTATCTTGAACCATCCCCAGTTGTACATAGTGAAGCGCAAGTGCCTTGGGTGATGAAGACGGCCCATGGATCTAAAGCTTCGGTTTTGGATGGAAAAATGTCACTGTTTTGCTTTGGGCAAGCTTAAAGAGCTGAAGATCATTTCCTGCCATGAATGGAAAACAGCATTGTTTTCCCCAAATGCTGCCTTTCACACCCAAAACTGGATTCGCAGAATGCAGCCGATTTTTGTGCAAGCGCAAAGCACTTGGCAAGAAGGCTTCGAATGGAATTGATTTGAGACCAAAGAAGGGGGGGTTGAGTCATTTCCATGCAATTCCCTACAAACAGGCCACGAAATTTCCGGGGGGTCTCTTCATGAAGAAAAATGGTGTGGAACTTGATCCTTTGAAAACATATGAAAAGCCGTTAGGATCCGTTAGGCCGTTAGGCTCAATCGGGAACAAAGTTTCCTGAAAGTTCAAATGTGAATCCAAAGCAGCTGGGGAATGTGCGGACATGCTCTGCATCCACTGTTTGTCGTCGCAGTCACAGCCGGAATGGATGTTTGCTCAGTACCGTCCAACGATCTCGTGCGAGACTTAGACATCACAACTGTGATATGCTGGGCCGGTGCGAGCTGGATGGTGAACGAATGCAAGTAGTGCAATCGAACGCATGTACACACAGAAAGAGGATGAAAGAGGCACAATATATCGGTGTGATTTGGATTGATTTGATGTGCTTGTAAATCAAGCACTATATATAGAACTATACCCTGAACTTCCCACGTCGAAGTTTAACTTACCACTTAAGCAAATGTTAAGTTAAACTTGCTAGTCGCGTTAAATGTTAAGTTTACCCATGAAGTGCTAAGTTCTACCTCGCGCTTGTTTTTTCACACGCGGTTGTGTCCCCTGAGCTCTGGAATTCGCCACTGCAAAGTCTTCATTCTCATCCGAGAAAGCTTCAAGATTCCAACTTCGCGCGGTTTCGACTTCACATTTTTTGCCCATCCTGCAAAAAAGACAAGAGGCCTCAAGAAAAACATTGAAAGCACACTTAAAACAGCAAACACAAACAATAAATTTCAATCAGTCCTTTGAGAACCATCATCATATCTTCATCTCCAAAAGTGTGCACATATCGAGGGTTTTGTCCTAGGCTGTCAGCACAGAAGTTTTTTGTTGCATTCAATGATTGGGAATGCCAGGTTTTGAATTTAAGCTAAGAGTCGAAGCAGCCTCACGTAGTCAACCAGCACATGCGCAAAAGCCTCGCGAAAGTTAATTTCTCTCTTAGGTGTGGGAATGCAGTCACGATGCTATAAAAAGAGGAACATACACAAATTAAAGCGCTATCCAAGCCACATGCCATTTTGGCACCAATACCCAAGCCAGGATGCCACTCCTCCAACATGTAGGGGTTTGAAGATGTTTGAAGTGAGGGGGGCATAGTTGAAATTTCAACCAATTGAAACAGAGAGTCCTTGTACTCATGTAGTTGAGGCTCCGGTACCCCACCAAATAAGCTTTTCCAGCTTCTTCAATTTGCTGAGATTGCTCAAGGGTCCTTATCAGAACCGGATGGTTGGGGTTCCTATTGTTGTATTGTAGTTTAATTCAAATATAAATTAACTAAATTTCGACGTGGGAAGGATCAGGGTCTAAATCTTTCTAGGGCTATATACAATACGTACAATACGTACAATGTATGCTAAGGCCTATCATAATCAGAATTATTACCACATTTCCCCATGGCCTAGTGGCACCGTGCAAGCCGCGGCCGCGGCATCATTGCTGGCGAGCTGCAACTTCCGAGAGGCCCGCTCCGTGAGTCCAAAGTACCGGTTGACACCCCTCCTTGGAGGATAGATAGGATAGGATCTAATGGGCTGGCATCCACAAGAATAAGTGGCGGCCATATATCCACAATTTTGTTTAGTACATTTTGGGGGCTATGATAAATACCAGGTAAATGGTTGAATAATACCGCACCAAATTATGTCTACCTGTAAGGGAATAAACATATCAAAATTGCATGTGACCCCTAGTCTGAATCAGGGCCATGCATCATTGTAGATTCAGTCAGATCAAAACGCTCATCCAGAATCAAGTTCCCTGGGTTGGCTCTGATTTCAACAATCTTGGCTAGCAGCCATTCAGATAATACTCTCGCATTGTAGCCTTTCGCGTTGAGAAAGTGTCCATAGTCTTTGCGATTTACGGTCTTGTATGTAAAGCGTTTCTGGGAGCACTGAACTTTGTGGATCTTGCGCCACTGGACAAAGTCATCAAAAGCTGCGTTCAAAACCCTGGGCCAATCATCATCGTCATCCAACCGGCCCCAGACGTGCATGTGGACAAGCATACCCCTTGGATGGTGGTGAAGATTCCCCGTAAAAGTAAATACCCTTTAAAGGCTAAAGGATGTTCAATTTGCCCATCGAAAAAATAGAGTTAAAACATGCGCGGGAAAACATTCACCCTAATATTAAATGCCCGTTATGAATGGCTTCCCAAAACCGCAATAATTCAGGGTCATTTCATATTAGGAGGAAGTAATCCAATGCCAGGCTGCAAGGTGGAACCATTGCTGACCCCCAAAAGACCAAGGTTGAGAATATGAAGCGTACAATGTTTTATCAAAGAGACGTGGAAGAAGTAAAGGTCCACCAAAGGACCTCAGAGTTAATTGAGTTAGGGCCCGTAATTCCCAAATTGAAGTTGATAATTTTGCTCTTGATTGAATAGGGCCACCCCCAACAAAAATGGTTCTGTCTTTGAGACCTACGTACTCTGAAAACACTATTCTTCGGGGCCCATTTAATTCCGCAAAGAATAAGAGGGGCTATATTGCCACTTGAGTAGATATTTGTCATCCCAAAAATCACCTATACCTCACCTCAAAACTATAAATCCTTTCCAATATATTCAAGCCACACATCTCCTGCGGCAGCTCCTCAAAAAGAAATTCCTCAGTGCTACGCCTTGTAGATATCCAGTCATCGTAGTGTAAATAGTTCAAATGGTTTTGGTTTGTGCAGGCTTGGCAACGAAAACATACCTCTTTTTTTCTCCACCAGGATGCGTGTTGAAATATATTTCGAAACCATGCCTGGTCTCCCCGAAGTTCGCTGACTAGAAACCTACGGCCATTCAGGCCATTTTCAGCCAGCTGATTCAAGTTGTCAGTAATGTACCGAAAAACTGGATACAGCGTTGCCTGCATGTTGAGCACTCTGTCACTTTCAATACTGAAGAGAAGATACTTTGCAACTCTTGTCACTTTTGGCCGGAACAATGGCAAGGACAAGACAATCCCATAGATCTGGTTGGTGGGTGCGTTGATCAACCCAATGCAAGCTTCATCCCCATAGATCCCCACAGGCCAGACTTGTTGTGCACATGCCTGGCGAAATCGTTTGGTGCTCAAAGCCCACTCATCCCCCATGTTGTCTAGATGTTCCCAAAAATTTGCCACCAACGAGTCTGGCAGGTGGAGGCCACAATGATGAATCAAATACTCTAAGATTTTCGATGGAGACTGGACCGGCAATTTCATAGTCCCTGCAGAACCATCAGCACAAGTGACCCCCACTTCGATCATTTCAGATTCCTTAGTCACATCACTGTGAAAAGGGAAAATGAAAATGCTACTTAAGGGTTGGTTGACAATGTTTCCAACATCTCTAAAACTAAAACGAAACTAAAAATAACATATAAGCCAAGAAATCAATCGGGAGTGGATTTTGTTTGAAATAATCTCGAGATTGGTTCCTGCCCAATTTATAGCCAGCAAGCTTGGCCGTAAATGCAGTTGTGCCACCTTTGGCTTCCTGAGTTAGGCATTTAGCCTAAAATAAATGCATCATTCCCGACAAACCAATGGAGAACTGCAGACAATCACGGCTGTCCTGGTAGGTTGTTCTTGCTGACCTCATGGCTGCTGCAGCGCTGTCCTCAGCACGTGGTACGCCAGGTGATGAACTTGGGACATATGGATTGGTGGTAAGTATATAACCTATGTAGCCGGTACGTGTTTTTCTGACATATCATATTGCTGACAAATGTCACCTGAAGCTATTCTTTCGGCAAGTTCCCTTTCTAAAGGGCCAGCTCCAACATCATCACCTGCGAGGGTTCTCATTGAAAGATTAAAATTCTTGGTGGTTGTTTCCTAGCTGTCAAGGTGGTAGGAGATACATGTGTGCACCCAGGCGAAGGCCATTTTTGTCTTCTCGAATGCTTCCATTGTATTGGCCACAGTAGGACCATGGCTTCAGAGTAGTTTACTCTGTACTGTATGATACTCGATGTACTGTTCTCTTGGTCAACTCTGGGAAACCGCAGCTTGGCTGATGCAAATCAAATTTCCCCATAGTGCAAATTTTTAAGACCTTGAAGTTCTGTAGTTTAGTTGCACAGCGGTTCAGAGCTAGGTAGGTGGCAACTCCTAAGCATACCCACGGCCAGAATGGTGTCCCCCGCTCAAGCAACCTGGTCAATCTGACGCCCAGGTTGGGCCCCTGACACCCTGTGGCCGGAGCAAGCCTAAGTGCCTTTCTCAGAGACATCAACGGAAAATGTCAAAACTTGGTTTGCCACCCTTGCCCCACGAATATCATCGAACCAAAAAAATGTATACAATTTGGGGTGATCACATTTGAAGAATATTAATACCTGGGCAAGTTCGACCTAGCACCTACTTGGAAGCCTTTTTTGGCTTTTTCATCTTCAATGGTTCACAGGCCATCTCCAGGTCCTTGCGGGCATTCCCACAATCATCCACCATGGCCTCTGTAACCTGGCCAGGAAACCAAATAATCACCATTCACTCTAATGTGCTTAGACAACTGGATTCGGGAGAATTGACAAAGCCAATGGAATAAAGTTAATTGGCAATTCAGCGCAAACATTAGTTCCATCCCAATGACAGTTGAAGCGCACCTCGGAACTTTCCACAGCTTTTTGCAGGGTCGTCCGGCAATCCTGCCAGCAGACTGAATGGTTTCTTTTTGGATGTCGTTGGAAGCTCTAGTGGGTCTAGCCTCTAGCTTGGACATCTTTTCTTCCACGTCATCTTTCACAGAGCTTGCGTAGCGATCACTCCTTGCATGACAGGAGCTTGATTAAGGGGCTCAACTGAATTAGCACTTTGACATGGGAGCTAAGCCGCACACAGCGACGACAGATTCGGCTTCAGGTCAAGGGCCCACTTGATCTTGCTGCTGGCGTCACTCAAGGCCTGGCCAAACAAGGGTTGACGGACAATCGGGTTAAGCGATTAGAGCAAGAAAAAACTTGGAGGGGTGGCCTTCTTCGCCGTCTTGAGGAGTTTCTTTTTTATCTCGGCATCATGTTTTTTCTGCTCTTCTTCTGCGGTCGGCTCTTTGGATTCCTGTTTGACCTTCTTGCTTTTCTTTGCTTTTTTGCTTTTCTTTTTGGGTTTCTTTTCTGGTTCCTTTTCTGCCTCAAGAGTGGATAAATATGTACCCCTACACTACCACCATACATAGATCCAGGAATGAAAGCATGTATCACTCCTTGTCTTCTTTCTTGTCTTTCTTACTCTTCTTCTTTTTCTTCTTCTTATCAGACGAAGACGAGGACGAACTGGACGAGTCCGACTCATCCAAACTTTGGTACAGCTTGTCAAGTTCTTCTTCGTGGCTTTCTTCATGGGCATCATCAACAAGGGTCAAAAACTGCATCATCTCCTGGATATGATCATCAGTGAGTAGAAGCTACGATTGCACTATAGCTAGCACAGTTTCTTGACATGTTTTTTTTCGAAATCATAATGCCACCGGCCGTCCTGGTTCCCTGGCAGCTCGGGGTGTTCTCTGGTCTCACGTTCTTTCAATTCAGGGTCAAGGAGCTTCCGATTTCTGATAAGGTTTCCGTTCTCTGCCCCAAAGCGAGTGTCCATTTCAGGAGCAGTCAGCCACTTGCGGACCCCTCGACGGGTTGTCGAGTGGCGTTCCCTGATGGAAACAAGAAACTTGCTCTTCTCCCATTGGCCCTCACTGCACGACGCCCAGGCATCGTACAAGATACTGTTCATAGATTTGCCTTAGCATGCTGAGAATCTCAGATCTAATTTGCAATCAAGATCGATATATCATTTCAAAAAAAAAACTTGACTTGTGACCTTTTATATAGGGGTTCTTGGCTTGGAACTCACTGGGCCAACCAAGATACTGCCATGGGCAGCCTGCGCCATCTTTCTCAGTTCAGGTGGTGTCGAAGGATCTTAGCTCACGCGCGCATGTGCAGTAATTTACATAGGACATCATAGGACCTAAGAATAAGTACATGTGATCCACATATATTGTGAACTCCAACGGCTAAGGCTAAGATTGATGCTTCGCACATTTCTGAAGTATCGCATATACCTCGCATGTGCTGCTTTTCTCCTTTCTTCGATCTCCTCCAGTCTTGCTCTCTCTGCCTCATCCTCTGCCTCCTGTGCCGGGGCACCTCCTGAATCTCCTGGCTGTTCTTGGTTACTTTCTACTTTCATCGCCTCTTCCTTGTCTCCTTCCTTTCTTTTCTCTCCGTCTCCGTTTTCACCTTCCTTTGCCTTCTCTCCGTTGTCTCCTTCCTTTTCTCCTTCCTTTGCATTCTCTTTGTTGTCAACTTCCTTTGGTTTTTCTTCGCTTTGCTTATCTTCATGTTCTCCTGCACGTGCCTTTTCTGCCTTTTCTTCCTTGCCTTCATCTTTCTTTCCTTCATTCTCTCCTTGTCCTGGGTGCTTTTGAACTTCACTTTCCTGTCCATTGTTGACACCGAGATTGGGGCCAGTAGATTTGTCTCCTGCCACGGCAGGATCTTGCGACAATGGATCAACGAGATCACCTGTCCAGGCGCGGCCCAGCTGGTTGGCAAGGGCTTCCACAGAGTCACTCCTGGAAAGACTTCCTCCAGATGACGAAACAGTAGCAGGGGGCGAAGTGGTGTCAGATTCAACACTTGTTTTTGCCGGGGTCGATACATCTGGGCTGTTGGGTCCATCTTCCCAAGGCGTTCGTTGGGCATTGTAGGCATCCCAGTCATAAGAGTGATATACATGCCATTTGGATGTGTTGTCCCAATAGCATTGGTTCCACTTACTTGGACGCCACCCAACAGGTGGCCATTGGTACTTGTCCCAATTGGTCTCGTCCTCTTCACGCCACTGCGAGTAGGCACCCTCATACGGTTCGTACGGCATTGTGTCTTGAGTGTCCATGGATCGTTCAGTCCCTTTGCTGAGAAGGTCATGATCATTTTTGTCCTGATCCCCACCTGGCGTCTTTGGCTGCATGTCCTGTTCCGTGGGCTGCATGTCCTGGTCCTTTTCCTTCTGTGATCCTTCAGTGGTGGGCCTGGCGGCTTTCGGTACTTGGTCTTTGCCTTTCTTAGCTTTGATCTTTTTGATCACGACTATCTTCTTTTTCTTGGGTCCTTCCTTATGACTTTCACCACCTGTACACTGACATTTTTTTATTTTTGAACTGCACGTGGGAGATTTGTTTAAAATTAAGTTCCCAAAGCAGAGGCCTCCATTTCCGGGTGAGGGCAGCTCTGCGCTTTTCCTGGCTAACTTGGACCGGGATTGCCAAAGTAATGGGATGTGTCAAATGAAAACAGGCAGGTCTTCCAAGTAGCAACAAATTGAGGAACAAAAATGAATACATGCCGGTCAATCTGGTCAACTTCAAGCGTCGGGGAAGTAGCTGTCTCATCTGGATTTGCTTTCCCCAACAGTTCCACCCGTTTTGCTTTAAAGGCTTTGCCTTTCTCAACTAAACGTTGTAACTGATCCTCCATGGTCTCACGGGGGGGAAGGCTGGCACCAAAATGGCTGCAGTTTGATTGAGTAGGGTTAAGAACCGATCAACATTTCAATGGTGCCAATATCTTCATTGCATTACTTTTTGATTACTGAAACAAGTCTAGCACAATCGGAATTCCTTTTTTCCGTTTCCTTGCGAGTTGCTCCCAGAAACTGAGAGCGGCAAGTACAGATCAGAAGCATTCCACAACATGTGGGATGGGCCATCCGAAAAATCATCACCAAAAATTCAGAATTTTTGGGGTACCTACTTCACGGGTAAACTTGCCATTTCACGGGTAAACTTGCCACTTCACGCAAACTTCACGGGTACTTCACGCGGTGTTTTTTTTTGGGTTCACCACAATTTTCCCAAAATGTTTTCAACCTGATGATTTCTTCCAGAATACCCCTTAGATTCCTGACCCACCCCTGTTCGACCATCATCCGTGTGAAATCCACACAGCTGGGTTGTAGGCGGCGTTGAGAAACACCACTTTCCTCCAAAGTTTGCTGAAACTATCACAGCTATTCCCACTCAATCACAAATATTGAACCAAATTGTTTTTTTTTCTGGTTTCTTTTCACAGGTATGCTGGAGGAGTCAACCCTGAATTTCTAAATTTTCTTGGTTTCTACCAAGATGGTGATGGTCATGTAATTCCATCAATATTTTGCCCAGTACAGTTGCCTGGACTTGGTGAGAAACTGACGCAACTCCTTCAGGTTGGCCTTCTTCCATGCGCCGGGACGGCGGGCCTCAAGGAGTCAGCTGTTGGGCTGGTTGGCTGTGGATGGATGGGCCTTAGGATCCTACAAATTTAGCTTTCTCCCGCTTAAGCTTCATGAAGCAGCTTTTGACAATAGCTTGAAGATGCATTCCTTTGGTGTCCTGGTGGCTGGTGATCAAAAAATCCCAATTGGCTAGGAGATGCCCTGTCACCACTATCCCCGAAAATCATAAATCACCAAAAAGGACCGCATATTTGTGACTTCCAGGTGTTTTTGTTAGATAGACTAGCATCCACACAGTCCAATGCTTCAAAACGAAACTGAACTAACGCAGTCCATCAAGATCTTGTGAAGCTGATAGATTCTTTCTCCGAACTGCTTTGGATAGACCTGGGTTCTTTTCAGCCCTGGCCCTCCGCTCCTGAGCGCGGATGGCATGACACCCACCCAAAATTCAAAAATAGTTCCAACATGTTGTCACTAGCATTCATTCAGCAGCTGAGGAAATGACACAGAGTAGGAACCGTCAGCTTTCTTCTTTCGAATAGTCACTTTGAGTTTCTTCGCATTCTCCCGGAGCTTCAAACGGTGCAATTTTGTGAGCTTGGCAAACAACTTGGGAAGCCATAACCTGATAACATGTTTTACATGACCCAACGAATTGGCAGGAGACAGGCAGCATATCCGATAAGGCCTGGACACTGTCCCCCAAGCCCGGGAGGGCTTCGGTGTTTGGCCTCCCCATGTAGCCATCCAACTGGGCAGGCGAAGGGAGGATCAATCTATGTAGGATCTTTATAATATGGGAATCCAGGCATATACACTACTCTAGCAACACTCTCATCTGAGGTATGGACAAGAATTGGTCCCGCCAAAGATTGGACAGATACTTGTTGATCAATTTCCCGGTGGCCACCAAGTCTGGAAACCATTTCATGGTACTACTGCATGGCTGCTCCAGGCAAGTATACACACCTCTCGCTGTTGCAAGAACTACTAGCATCAGTGCTCGGGAACAAATCCTTAGACAAGCGTCTTCGGTGACCCACAAATTGTTGCATTGGCAAATTGAAAATGTGAAGTTCAATCAAGAGCTACTTAATCATGGAGCAGCATTCTTCTCTAAGCAAAGGATCAAAGAGGCCAATTCCACATATCGCAGACCCTCATTTCCATATGGTCTTTGTTGACTTCGACCAGAAGTGGCGCGATTTATGTATACGAAAGAACCACAGGGTGGCCCCAATGTCACCAACCCATCTGGGACCACCCGAAGCACGCCCAGGACCGCGTGTGCAAAACCTGTCCTGGGCCCCAGAGGCAGCAGGATTTGGGGCTACAAGAAAGATATGTTCAAACATGTTCAAACCATTTTTTAAGTTCAGTCCTTTTGGATAGTTTGAGTAGTACTAGTGCAGAACTGTGGCCAACAACTTTTGGGCAGATCAGAATTTGATTTTAAAAAGATAGCAAACAAAACCATTCCATTGTGAGCTTCAAATCACTTCACACTTTCTGGGGTCCGCACGTTTTGCTTATGTCGTTGTGCAGTGCCCTTGCCGTGATGTCAAAAGTTTGCCTCAAAGAATCAAATGGCAAACTGATTCAAGACCGTGCTTCACTTGGTATTTTTTTTGTTGGTGGAAATCCAACAGGAAAGTTGTACAAATTAAAATGAGGCCCCAACGAATGCATTCCATGTTCACCTGGGAAATGCACATTGTACCAAATGGCCAAGGATATTTCTCAGCAGATGCACAAGCTTGCGAGTTACTTTGCCAAGGACGCGACGAAAGGCGTTAGAGATGGCTTGCTCTCCGGAGAAGACATCGAAGTTCACCAGATCCTAAGACAAAAATGTAGTATGTAGTATTTTCAATTTGATTCTTACATATTACGGTGTACTGTACTATACTTATTAAAGCTCTCACAATCTTTGGGGCTTTGGCACGGGTGTGTGTCTTGTAGCTTGACATCGCCACGAAGTCTGCCATGTCCAACCTGGAAGTCAGGGGCAAAGATGTGTAGCAGAATCGGCTTGCATGATAAATTTCCAAGAATCACCCTTGTAAATAGATCGATATAATTTCGGCTAGTATGGTAAAATCTCCAGATCCAAGTATGATATGGGAAGGTGCCTATGCTTTTGGAACCCCCCAAGTTGCATACATTGCATGTCATGGAATCAACTTTGATCGATCTAAGTGCTTGGCAGTTCTTGAGGTGCACCCAAAAAAAGGCACATAGATGCTGCACATGCCGTCAAAGCCAGTGGGCTGTTGCGCCATGCTGCAGGTGGCATGACACCGAAACCAAGATCTACTACTTGCACCAGGCGCCTGTCAGGATTGAGCCACTATATATACGTTATCATCGATCGATCAGTCTATGGGATGAGTCATGGAGACGATATCTTGACCATAAAACGCAAGATTTCACGTGACAGTACAGTGCAAACTGCCCAAAAAGTATGTTCTCCAATTTCTTCCCGGTCGACCTGCAAAATCAAAAGTCCCCAGAGTTTGAACCAGCATCGTGATTCAACCGTCTCTGGCTTTGGGCTGGAAGCTCTTTATGAAGAAACAGCTAGCTTCAAAATGGTCAGGTTTTGAAATTTCAGAATCAACCCAAATCCAGCAACCCCGAACTCTGCAAGCCGGTTGATTGAACTTGATATCTAAATAGCACTGTAGCAGCGCTAGAAATCAACATGGTGCCGTCATTCACAGCAGAGCAACAGCTAGGCCGCATGCTTCCATCCGGCAATTTGCCGGGCCAAGTCCCACCTTGGCAAGCAAGCAGGCTGGCTTTACCACCGGGAGTAGGATTTGGGCACCCAACGCTGCTTCAGGTCCACCATTGGTTGACCATCCAACAGTGACTCCGTTCTTGGCACCAACCTGAATTGTCAATATCGATTGAAAGGGCAGTTCTCGATTATGAGGTATGTGAAAAGTATGACGGGTCCAGCCTTGAATGACTTCTTCTGTGCCGTATTGATCAGTTTCACCACCAGCGGGTCCACATGGGGAATGTAGAAAGACCCTGCCAACCTAGCCATCGCAAAATCATATTTTATCCTTGTGGTTCTATTGACACAGACTGAGAATTTGACACGGTTGAGATCGGACTGCAATCGTCCAGAACCAGCCCGGGCTCCACAAATCCCTCTTCGACCGCAGTAGTCCAAGACCTGGGTTACTTTAAATCAATATTGGTGGTTTAAACTTCTTTTGTTAGACTGCTTGACCCATCAAGGAAGAATATACCAAGTTCAAAGCCCAGCTTTTTCATATACATCTTCAGGCGGAAGGGTGTAGTTGATGCCTGGAATCTTGCTCAGCGCCACCATTTCGGCTAGGTTCTTCTCGCGGCACGCCTTCAGACAATGCTGCAGAGGCAACCAATGGGTGACAGGTCTAAAGGAAACATGACTCTGGGAAAGAAGTTCCTTGCAGAACACAGTAAAAAAGCCTCCATCCTTTTTTGGTAGGTACTCTTTGCTGTCGCAGGCTTAGGCATGTCTTCCTGGAATGAGGGCAAAATTAAATAAAATTATACAACACCTTAGTTTGGCTGGTTGCAAGACTGGCACATTCCACTAAGCTGTCCTCATCTGGGGTGTTTGATCCCTGATCTTCAGTAGCTTCCCCCTGATCAGCCTTTTGTTTTTTTTCCTCCGGTTGGTTCTCAGCATCATTTCCATTGTCCTGTTCATGCTCTGGTTCCTTTCGCTTCTGAGTATTTTTTCCTCTGCCGCGGCCACGACCTTTGCCTCTGCCACGGCCACGGCGTGGTTGCTTTTCATTATCTTCTGTCTCCCTTTCTGTCTTCATAACCTTGTCCTGTTCGTCCAAGGCTGTTTGCATTTCATCTTCTGCCTCATCTCCATTGTTCTCATCATCAACCTCCCGATCCTTTTTTGCTGCCTTTGACTTCTTAGATGCCTTTTTGGGGCCAGGTTTCTGTGCGCTCTTCTCCTTGTTCATCGCTCTGAGGAGTCTTTGCTCTTCCAGCTGTTTCCGAATTGTGTCAACATCATCGGCATCGGGTGGCTTAATGTTGTCAGACTGAGCAAGGTCGGGAACTTCAGGGACTAGCGGCTTGGTATCTGCATAGGCTGCTGCTGCTGCATCGGGCTCGGGAGCTTCACCAGTGTTTTCGTTTTCCAATTCCTCTGGGCATTTTGCGGCCTTTAAGTTCTTTTGGGCTTTGGGTTCTGCAAACTCGTTCTTTCGCTTTCCAGGTAGTGAATCTACTGAAGTTGGTTCTGAACCCAAAATTCCATTGATCATCTTCAAGATCTTGGGTTTATTCTCTCTGGTGCAGTCCGCTAAAATTTCCTGGAGACCCAACGCTAAGGCTTGAGCAGTCTCAAGTGCCTCCGTGTTCTTCTTCTCGTCTGTTGCACTTACCTTAGAGGTGGGATAGTATGCTGATATCAGGGGCCCAAAAGTTGAAAGTTAAGCTTGTAACCAGAAACAAATATGAACCCTCCCCCACCTGCTTCGCATCTGTAGCCTCCTTTGAGAGGGTATCACCCTTCGAGTGTGTATCCCTGCCGTTCTTGTTGCCATGCTTCTTCTGGACATCTTCTTTTTCCGCTTCAACTTTGCTACCCTTTGTCAACTCCGGATCCTTTGGGTTGCTGTTTTCCAAGGGCTTTCCTGTTGCCTCCGCTTGCCTTGGCTCCTTTGGTACCTTTTCTTCCACCTTTTTTTCTACTTTTCTCGGTTCAACCTCCTTTGGGGCTTCTACCTTGGCTGTATCCTCTCCAACTTTGACGGGGCCTTGTGGAAAAAGTTCACGTGCTACTGGGGCAGGGGTTGGCTCTGTTTCTTCATCATCTGTCATATTTTCCTCTTCCTCTCCTTCCTCTATCAAAAGTTCAACTTCTTCTACATTGTCATCCAGCTGGGATGGTTCAGCCTTGTTATCCTTTTCCACTTTTTCCAGATCTTTCTTTAGTGTTCCTTCTGGATCCTTCTGTTCTGTTCCTTGTGGCTTCTTGTCGGGGGCCTCTGACAAGATTGACTTTTTGATTGCAAAAACACATGTATTAAACTCCACTAGTTGAGAAAACAGTGCCATACTGCATTGAAGATTCATGGCCAGCTGAACCTCCAAAGGTCTTCTGATCGATTTGGTGCGTTTCACAACACCGGCATCCTGCAAGCTCCCCCCAGAACGAGGAATCAACTTTTGAGACGAAAGAAACACAATCGAGAATGAGAGTGAGGGAGAAGAGTCTAAACGGTTGCCTTGAAGATCAAAGAAACCAGTTTCTTCAGCTTGTGCATGTTGCTGCCTTGGGACCTGCCAGCAGAATGATAGGATGATCATAACTACCGTAGTAGGTTGTTTTTGTAATCCAATCCCGCAACTACTTAATCTTAATGTTGGCGCCTAGCCTTGTTTTTTCTGTCCTTGAGTAGGCACTTAGCACTTTTGAAGCCAATGCTCTGTGCAAGTTGCCTTCGGTCCGACACCAGTCCTAAGCAATTGTGCCAATGGGAAACGGTTTGAAAGTGGTTCGCAATTTTCAAGATATTATGCAAAGTGACTCCAATGTCTTCTTTGTCTTTCGAAAGTGTCATCCGTTGGTCTTGGGCTACTTTCGCCAGAACTTCCTGGATATTGGGGGAGCCGCAGAAAAACAGGTTATATAGATGAAATATGATGGAATTGACGTAGCTTGGCCAGCCTTGCATTCTTTCTCAGTTGGCGGGTCCACAGCAAACACAGGTAGCCATGCCAATAAGAACTTGGTGTTGTTGTCACATTGCACCTGGCCACAAGCCAGTCACTCAAGAAACTGAAATTTAAGCCCCATTGAGAAATGAGCCAGTGGTACCATCTCCTCCGACAAACCCTTTTTTGGGTGCAGGTCGATGAAGGAAAAATCCAGTGGAACCTGCCATGGGCTCAGTTGGGCACCTTAAGGGCGATTCAAAAAATATAACTGCAGTTTCACCACGTAGTCCTAAAACTCGCAGGGGACACCTTGCCATCGTTCAAAGATCGAAGTGCTCTCTGTTCTGAAATGCCTTCCTTTGCCCCTAGTTGGACAAACCTTTTCTCACGATAGCCACCTTCAGTCAGGTAGGACTTGTAGAAATCCTGGCTGGGCTCACGCACGTTCATGATTGAAATGGGGACTGTGGCAATCTCAGTTTCGCCTCAAGAAGAGCCATCCTTCGCTCGCTAGGCTTGACGGTTGGCATGCTGCTTGTGAGATGGGAGACACTGGCAGGCTGCAGCCGCCCTTGCTAATTTTGATTTTGTTGGCATTATAATTATGACTGACATGCTCATGGTTCACACTTCCCACTGTTGCTGAGCACAATGGATGCAGCCAGAAGAAAGAGCATTAGTCCAAAGTCCAGGCTGGTTTCTGACCAAAGAAAACACAGTCAAATATTTCAATCTGGAATGGGCTGGGAGGCACCTAAAGCGTACTGGTCCAGCAGGGCAACAGCACGTTTCCCTCAGACCCAGCAGATCCCTTGTATCAAGTAGATCGAGCTTGGACTAGAAAACTGCCACCGAACTCAAGAGCTTGGGTTCTGACGCTTTGCGATGGCTGCTCTCATGAATCGAAAACATGGCACCGGGTGTGGTCAAGGAAAGTCCATTTCACACCAAATACATATGTCATATCTCCCAAAAAAACAATATGTCCATATGAATCTTAACGACCTTCCAAATTTCAAAAGTTTAATATTGTTTATCAATTTTGTTGAGTTGAAATCCTCGACAATCTGGCTTTGAGCCGCTGATCTCCTGGAGGCCTGCTGGCAGGGGACTGGTGACCAGGTGAGTGATGGGATATCCCCCCTAATGGTTAAACTTAGGCTTCGTGTATGTCGAAGTTAAACTTACCCTTTGAAGGCTAGGGTATATATAATACTCTATATATTACTGATACGATCTATTGACATAGGTATTGACATTATTAACTATATAATATATATAGTTATATATTATTGCATTATTTCATTACTATTGCTATAGTCAACTACAACAACAATATGTAATTATGATATTTCCTAATGAGTAAAACAGTCAGTATGGATAATTATGGTACTTCCTATTCCTAATTAGTACAAATGCTATGAACTGCTGGTGACTCGACTTTCCATCCCAGGTCTTCAGTGCGGAAGAGCTACAGCAGCTTCAGGGCCACCGTGCCAGGCTTTTCCCAGCCACGCGGCAGCGGCAACAGCTGGTGGCAGAAGTGCTGCCAGCGGCGAAGGCGGGCCGTAGGCCTCGGGGTTTTGAGTGGTGGGTGATGATGTTTGGATATGTTTGGTGTTTTTTTGATGATTTTGGATGATCTGGCCTTTTTGATGACTTGATGACGACTTCCTTATTGTTTATCATTATATAAGGTTTATGTATTATTATTAATTATTGATGCTTATTGGTGATTATTGATGATGATTGACGATTGCGGATGTTTTTGATGATTATTGATGGTTATTGATAATGCTCATGGTCATGATGATGATGATGTGGATGAGGATGAGGATGAGGAGGATGACGATGACAATGATGTCGATGATGTCGCTGGTGACGATGATGACGATGACAGATAAACTTAACAGATGCAGAACCAATATGAAACAATACTGGCTAGCAGTTTCAATTGTTTATCAGCGCCTCATTCTGGTTGTGGCTGTCATCCACGCACAAAGGCCTTGTGGCAGATCAGTGATGAACACTTTGCGGAAGCACTGGAGCTCCCACCTGGAAGCTCTGCGGTGCAGGGACAAAACGTTGCAGCGCGTGGAGCAGAGAGTATGCAGCAAGGATTTACTCAGATTCTCAACAACGTGGAGGTGCAGAGTGAATATGACATGAAGATAAATAAAATAAATAAAACCAAACTGTAATCTTTATAGTCTATATAATTATATATATATATTAACTATATAATAGTCAATTTCCAAGTTCTCTGGTGTTGATTTGATGTGGTTGAGGTCATTGCCGCATGTCATCCGATGTTTTGGTCGTCAAATCTGGATCTGAGATGATTTAACAGTGAAGGCCGTGGTGCCGGCTGCCACAGCCCTTGCGGCAATCATTGCAAATCAGACAGCTTTGGCTTCAGTCCTTGTCACGGCCTACAACCATCCATCGTTTGGTCAGCCAGTGTGTGCACATGCAGATGCTCAAGACACCTTCATTTTTCAGCTGGAGGGCTGCCGAGTTTGGAATCTGGGCAAGACTTGGCAGACAACAATCATCCCATCCACAGAACACAATAAAGAAACACTGTTAAGAAACCGTGGTGGAAAGTGGTGGATTTATTGCTTTGGGAGTCCAATTCCATTATCAGGGAGATGAGCTTGTTGGCTTGTTCTTAATTTAAATGTTTGTTTGATCTTGACATGTCCTGATTGTCCCGGTTGCCAATGGTGCGCTGTACTGTAAAATGCTTCAAATCTGTCAGGCAATTTTGGCACCATTCTTTGGAAGCCAAGCATTTGGTCCATGACCCCGTGAACCGCAGCTGGGAGCTGTGTATCGAGGGTGGGATTCGTGGAGAACATGGCTCTGTACATGTGGAACTGCAGCCGGGCGCCATCCTGTGGTTGCCTCGGGGCATTGCGCACCAGACCTCCAGGTGTGGCAGTATGGCAGTGAAGACTGCGAAGAGTCTCAGATTTCTTGGTAGTTTTGGTTCAACCTGCTTGAATCTGTTTGACTGACTTTGATTGCATGTGCCATTAAACCACTATATAATGTTGGTGGCTGTTAATGAATGTTGATGGCATTAAATAGCAGTATTGTTCGTGGCATTTACTAGTACACTAGCAGCATTCCAGTCATCGCCTGCGCTTCCGGAGGTGTGGAAAAGGCGTCTCGAGCCACTGGAGTTTCGCAGCGTCCATGTCTCAGCTCTCAGCAGGCCATGTGCTGATGGATGTGGCACAGGCTGGGCCCAAAAATCTGAGAAGGTCATGGGAGAGGTGGAAACACATGGGAACACCTAGGGGGAAGAACATGTTTATGTTTTTTAACATGTTTTGTGAATCCTTCGATTTGTTTCTGGATCGAACATACTTACTTGTAATAGCACGAAGTAAATGGTGACGCCTGGGACCACATGTCATGCGCCATACACTATTCACCTTATCATTTGTACAGAAAACTGCCTGGCCCTAGTAGGATCCCTAAGATGTAGGAACTGCAGAGCCGTTGGTCAGGCATCTGGGAAACCAGAGGTGCAACAGAAGCTTATTGAAGCCCTGAGGAAAGACAATGACCTCAGTGTTCGCTTGCGTCAAGGCCAGCTGGGCCAGCTGGGCCAGCTGATTCGCCGAAAAAACTGATCTATCAAATGTTTCTTCAAACATGGGTAATCTTAGCTTTAATAATGGCTCTTCAGCCATTCATAGATATATCATGGTCACAAAATGGATCAGAATTGGCGGAAAACAGATAAATAAAGGAGAAAACATAGATCATCATAGATTAAACCAAGGCAAAACCATGGCAAAAAACATGGAGAACCATCGAAAAAGAAGGCACTCATATCAACCATGATTCAACCATTGATTTTAGTATCAAACCCATTTATGTCTATACGTATATATATATATATATAAATATCAAAAAAATTGCTTGGATATTCAATGGTGTTTCACTATCACCCAAAAAATATTCATGGATATTCCAACATATTCATGGTGAAACACTATCAAACACCATGGATATTCCATGATATTCCATAGCTCCAGCATGATCTCAACCCTGGCAGGTCACCCCTCGCTGGAAGTCACCCTGGCGCTGCTGGACGAGGTCGCGCCGGGTCCCTGGCCGGCGCTGGACCGGCGCCAGGTGGCCCTGCGGCGAAAGCTGCTGGAGCTGCTGGGCGAAATGCTGGGGAGTTGGCCATGAAATCTGAGATTTAGGGATTTTTAATATATATATAATATATATATATGTATTTATTTATTTATTTATTCTGTAGTATGGATTTAGTATGATTTAATCACAAGAACATCGAAACTGAGAAGCAATAGTTAATGCGGATGGGCATAGGGGATAACAGGCAGCAACTTGAAGGTAAGATGACAGAGAAATGCGTTGGATTCTTCCCAACAGTGGTGTTGCAACCAAGAATTTGTGTCAGGAAAGCCGAGTACCAAGTATCCAAGGGGATCATCAACAACTCTGCGGGAGAAGACCATTAATCTGAGTATCCAAGGGGCTTTCCCAAAGTGGCGGACCCCAGAATCATCGTTAACCTTGGCTTCATGGGGAAACCCATGGTTTAGGGGATCAGCATGGATCAGCTCTTTCAGGAAAACCTTGCTAGGGATGATGACCAGCAACAGTGGGGTGAACACGAAACAACCGACAGTGGCGTTGTCAAGGCCCACCAGCACAGTATTTGTTCATATTTTTTTCAGCCATGGGGATCAACACATCAATCATCACTCAGAAGATGGGAGTACGGCCATGTTTGTTCAACTAAAGTTTAACTAAATTGGGTGCGTTGGAGAAATCAAAGCCACAATTATTCCATTTTCTTCCTGAAGATGGCACAGAAACTCACAGCATAATTATTCAGCAAATTGGAATCAACTAAGAGTCTAAGAGTAATGGAAGGTTCAACAGCAGCAAATGCTCCTATGCCTATGATCCAACAATGGGATGAATCCAAAGTAGTGACTTCTCTCCCAGGACCGCCGCTGGGGATCTCTCCATGAGCCAGCGAACATCGCAATGCCGAAGCGGTCCTTTGGGGAAATTTCTGATCCGTCGCAAAGTTGGGCGAAGAATCGATCTCTGACCTTGACCATTTCTCCACAGCCTCGATAGATCGATATCCTGGAGCCCCAAGGCCCCAAGATTCGATGGCTGTGACCGAATGATCCATGCTGTGGTTGATGGAACCTGCATGTTCTGACAAGGAGTGCTCCAGAGAGATTTCCAAGCAGATTCGCAGATGTGCTCAGAATATCTTGGGACATGAGGACCGGTTGGAAATATGGTCGAAGATGTCTGGCATTGGACAACTGGAGGCTGACACTGCTATCATCATAATACAAGGAAACCGCCACCCTCATTACACCAGGAAAAGAGATGGATTTGAGCCACTTCGTTTCACTGAGTATTTGCACGTCGTTGGACATGAGCAAAAGGCCCCCCCTCTATCCCCAATGTCCTTGCCATTTCATATTTGACAGACGCAACACATGAGAGGTCATGACAGCAGCATCCTCCTATTTCATGCTGCCATTGCCAGGTGGCAAGGGAGTTTTCACATCATCCGCTTCTGATTTTATCATCTCAAGTCATGTAGCATTAGGAAGCTGGGCCCCAAAGTGGCGCCCATGGCACCTGGCGATGATGGCCTATGGCGACCTCGCTGTCAATCGTTCCCAGCCTCGCCGCCCCTCAGCAGACCAGCCTCTGCGCCCTGCCTGCGTGCGGAGAAAGTCGTGAGCCCAACGCGCAGCACCCGGAGCACCCGATCACTGCTGAGGAAAGGCGGCTTCAGCGGGTTGGCAGAAGCGACCTCCAAACCTCTGTCCGATGCCAAAACCTTACACCCATCGAAATTGGCCAAGACACTTAGAATGAGATTTTGTGCTTAATAGTTTTTAGGTGTGTTTTGTGCGGTAGTATTAGATGTGTGTCACATGATTTTCATGTCAACCTGCATTCACTGATCTAGCTATTCACAGACTTGCATGTAAATTAGTCTTTGGCAATCAAACATGGTTTTGGGGGAAATCCCCTTATTCTCATCCCAAATCCATCCATTCTCGTCCGTTTGTGGATGATTTTACCATGACCCATCACCAATGGAGTTCCAAGGAGCCGCAGTGCCAGTGCCTCAAAAGTGGCCGAACAAATGCAGAAAGTGGCTCCACCTGGCCGAACGATACCTCGAGGTGGGGGTCAACTTCGGCCGTTTCCATCCGTTTCCATTTGTTTTTTGTGATTTATACTTAATACATTTTTATACCGTTATACAAGTTGCAAATGTTATAATTATAATATGTATTAATATGTTATAATGAATTCAGCATCATTGATGGGAAACACATGGAAAGACATGCAAACATGATAAACCATGATAACCACTGCGACTTTGGGTCATCATACTGTACTTTGATCATCTTTGATCTATTTTTTGAAGAGACACCCAGGTATATTGGTCTCCAAGACCAGCACGGGCCAAGAAGATAGATATTCCAATCGATGGAAGGCATGTGGTTGCTATGCCCACCTGGCAGCTGCGAATTCCATGCAAACTCAGAGGCGTGCTTCGGATATCCGGCAGATGCTGCAGGACAAGTACAACCGCCAATTGAGCGGGAACTTGTATCAGGCATATCGCAAAATGGCTCATTATTCCAACGCAGTTGACCCTCATAGCAAGTGTGTGTACCCACACCATTTGGCCATTTTCATTGGCGAGTTGGGGGTCCCTGTGACTGAAAAGGATGCTTGCATTCTGTTGCACAGGGAAGTCTCGGCAAAAAGTTTGAATCAACCCTTTGGAATGGCAACCTTCCATGCAGTGGCTACTGGCCAGTCGTTGCAGAAATCGAAGAGTTTCACCACTTCTCGGGTTCGTATGATTTGATCCCGAAGCTGGATCAGCCATGGCTTTGACTGCCATAAGAGCAAATGCCGTACACCAGAGACGAGAAGAACATGTGTGAAACAGGTGCCGGATGGTGCCGGTGAATCTACGAACAGACATGACATGGACATACATGGACATATGGTACATGTATGTGCAAAATTGTGCAAACACTCTTGAGTTTACAGTGACAGTCACAGTGACAGTGATGCAAATTTGTTTCCGCAATCACTTGAGGGTTCGCTGCTTCCGGGGGGGGGGCAGGGCGGCGCAAGAAATGCGGGGTTCTGGTAAGGCTATTGCATTGAAGAAAAACCCACATAGGGAACGTCACCATGCAATGTATTGCAATGTCATGTTTATTTGATTTTCGCACCGTTATTCATTCACACTGAAACTGCAGAGCGAATGAACACTGTTATTGGAATTGGTTAGAAACCTGAAAGGGCAGAAAAGAAAAAAAACACATACACGGCAAATCAGGGTTTTCACGTTTTTTTTTGAAACCAAAATGATGAACACATCTTCTATAACTGCGGACTCGAGACTTGAGATGCTGACATCACCCAATGAGAAAAAAATAATAATACATGTTGATTTGCCTTTGTTGTCAGGGCTCAAGCCCTGATTCAGGGCCCAAAGCCCTTTTGTCCGATACCGAAACTCCCGCTTGTTCCGTTACCATCACTAACTCATGTTGCCTGGCAGCAAAGTGTTGCGGTTGCTTGACAGTACTGTGCCAAAGAGGTTTTTTCATTTTCCATCGTCGCATCTGAGGCTTCAATCAAACAACAGGCGGCAATGGTTTGAGCATGGTTTGAGCTGCAGCGAAAAATATGTTTTGTTCGGATTCATGTGCAGAGGTTTTGCATGCTGTGCAGGATTTCCTTTGCTTTCTACTGCACGGAAACAGAAACAACAACACCGGAATCGATTTTGAAGGTGGTTTGAATGACCTGACACTCCCGATGAAACACCAAAAATCGACCTGTCCAATACGACTTAATCCCACACAATTCTGTTGGTCTGCGAGGGCAGCGCCTGCAGTGCTTCGCTTTGCAGGTATGGCACCTGGTGTGCAGATTCCACACCCACTGGTTTGTTTAGCAATGACAACTGACCAGTTACTTGTATTAACTAGGATGATTAGCCAAACGAGTTAAAACATTTAGAACTCAACCTCATGATGGCCATATAAATATTCATGGCAGATTAGAAACATTGGTTTGTCTGAAAAAAGGTACAAATAAATCCGTTGGTTACTCATCGTTTTCCGCCCACATTTTCCTATGTGTTATTCAACGTATTTAAAATGGTTCTTGAAGGTCTTGAAGATGTGCAGCGCTGGGTTCAGCTTGAGGCGTCATTTCCCTTCTGCTCCGGACTTCTTCGGTGCCCTATCTGGAATCGGTTGATGGTTTATTCGTATGTTACCACCCATGTAGGAATTTATCACATTTATCACATTACATCAAGTGGAAAAGAAAAACGACTGTTTGGTGCATCGCAAAGACTACACAGATTTGACCATGCATGACACAGCTATTGAGCAACATGTGATGCTACTGAAACATACTGAAACTATCACCATTCTTTGTCCCATCAATGCGGCCTTCACCCGGACGCTTCGTTTTCCAGGCCTGGCTCTGGGCCTCAGAAGAGGCAACGGTTTTTTTTCCAGGTTTAACATCGCTGCACTTGCATGGATCTATAGTATATCGTATAGTATAGGAAATGTAGTAGGATCAAAATAGGATCAAATATGTGCATTTGGATGCATGTTGTTTTTTCATGTGTTTTTTAGACATTGTTGTGTGATGTTGTGTGCAATTGTTTGCAAGAGAAGATCCAGCAGAGGCAGCTTCCATCCATAGCATTCCTTTGAAGAAGCAGTACGTTCCAGCTGGGGCCCCATCTGAGCCAGCTGAGAACAATTGGCCTTGCGGAGCGAGTGGAGATGGTGAAAGTTTACTGGAGATTGAGGTCCAAAAGGACAGCAAAACTGTGGCTTATAAAACTGCCTACTTCGGTGAGGTCGGCAGCTCTTTGAAGATGTTTCAACATGGAACCGGAGGGTGATATTAATTGAGATTCAGACGTCACTGAGATACTGAGACTCTCAGTTTGGGTGATAGGTCTAGGAAAAGTATGGAAAAGTGCTGTAGAACAACCAGGCTCTCGGTTTTGACATTCTCATGGCGCTCCTCATGGCATGGTGTAATTTTTTTGTAATCTGTGTGAAAGTGATGAAACCCGCCATGACGCCAGGTCCATGTGGGTGCTCCTCATCAAACTTTCACAGTTGTTTTTGACACGGGGCAGGGTGACCCATTTGGCATCCAGGGTGGACCACTGATGAGCACTGATGGATGCCGTGTCCAATTAAAAGGCATGAAATGGCCAATACCACAGATGAGTATCAATATATTTATGATTTAAATTGTACATTATTGTTTTATATATAAATATATACACAATATACAAGATATAAATGTAAGAGAGAGACGCATACGTACTGTCTACTATCTACGCTTTCATTGGTAGGTCCGAGAATCCTGGACCGCTCTAATCCAACAATAATGTCTTGGTTTCATTGGGACATATTATCATAACTCCTTGTTTTTTTCGTTTCCCAGTTTCCCCATATTGGGAAAAAAAACACTTCTCCACTTCTCATGAGATATTCCATTGTTATGTTGCCATATTACTAATAAGCTAGATCCCTTTCATTTTACCGTAGGAAAGGCAATCCTAAAGCCCCCAAGCCACAGAGTTTGGAGATGTGTTTGGACCATCCTTTTTATAGGTTATGTAAGCCCCGGATTTGTCTGGCAAGCCTGGTTGATTGATTCCCCCCCAACATCTTCATCCGGGGGTTGACATTACATCCCAAAAATAAATGGTGGTTCTGATCAGCCCAGCCATTTTTTATTATCTCTGGATTGGTTTTTTCGGGAAAATTTACAGGAATTTTATGGAACCCCCCATGATCTTAAATGGTAAAAAACCATGGTAAAAACCTGATGTTTCCTGATGTTTCCGGTAAAATTTTCCCTTAAACCAATTCATTCCCCTGATGGAGATCCATGAGGTCTGGACACTTGATTCTGCCGTCCACGGGATGTTGTTTGGCCGCACTTGGACGACGTGGTCGGCACCAAAAATACGAAAGATGACTCAAATTTGCAGGGAAGTGATACAGAATCTGTATGAGTAACTAAGGGAACTTTAGATCTTATACTATAGTACCCAAAAAGAATCTTCAAATGACAATAGTTTTTTTTGTTTTGTTTCAAGCTGCAGTGTAAAGTGGCAAGTGGCTCAACTGGCTCAACTGGCTCAACGATTTCGAGGTGCAAGCCCTGCGTGTGCGAAGCACAAACGCTACAACCGCACTTCGTCGCATTCTGCTGTTCGGTTGCCCAGCTTTGCTGGTTGCAAGATGCTGCCCAGACGCAACTGTTCCATTTTTGATCAACAAGGGGAAAGGCTGGAGAATGGAAATGAATGGAACATAGATTTTACATGATTTTACTGTATAATTAGAAATTTATAGAGTCAAAGAAGATCAATGTATGTATATATATACTATGTATATTTGACTCCTTTTTGATCCTGTACAGCCAAGTTGTAGTTTGGCCAACATTCCTAGCATTATTATTGCGAACAGTAATTTGATAGGAAACTGACTATACTGCAATTAGTATATTAGTACTATCAGAAATTACCTCATCATCATCAAAAGTGTTCCTACTATATCCTAGTACTACTAGTATATCCTATTTGTTGTCATTAGTACTATTTACTATTATATAAATATATCCTACTACCACCACCAACAACAACAACAACTACTACTACTACCACCACCAACAACAACAACTACTACTACTACCACCACCAACAACAACAACAACAACTACTACTACTACCACCACCAACAACAACAACTACTACTACTACCACCACCAATAACAACAACAACAACAACTACTACTACTACTACTGCTACTACTACTACTGCTACTACTACTACTACCACTACCACTACCACCAACAACTACTACTACTACCACCACCATCACCAACAACTACTACTACCACCACCAACAACAACAACTACTACTACTACCACCAACAACAACTACTACTACTACCACCAACAACAACAACTACTACTACTACCACCACCAACAACAACAACAACTACTACTACCACCACCACTACTACTACCACTACTACTACAATAGTAACTATAACTATACCTCTAGTACTATTACTACTATTGCAATGGCCTGCCGGCCTGATGCTGTCGTGTCTAGGTGGACATCGAATACGATGGTACCAAGCTCCGGCCGGATGCCACCGAACGGGATCAGGTGGCCGCCGGTCTTCGTGGGTTATGGCAGGTAGGATGGTCGATAGGTCAACGGGAATAGATTTGTTTGGACTGGATAGAGATTTTGATATATATATATATAAATAGAGGAGGTAGATCGGCTTGGATTGGAATAAATACAGATTATATTTTAGAATAGACCTCGCAGACTTGGCAGGTGGCCATCGCCTTTGGCACTGGTGAAGTGCAAGGGGAGTTTGTAAGTGAGGACACGCTCGGCAACGCTGTGTTTTCATGCTCCAAAGTCCAAAGTGTGGATTAATCCATGGGTCATTAAATGTCCCCATTGAACATCACCCAACCATTAGGTATATGGTCTATTTCATGGCTACTATGGTAGGTGATGTCCTTTATATACCCAAAATGGGACAGGCAAACCAACCCCTGTAATCCATGAAACATGTAGAGTTGATCATGGAAATCGGATATTTCGGGATCATGATGATCATGTGGGCTTCAAACATGGCTACGTTCCACTGTACCACGGTTTTGACCCATGAGGACCATGGCGATACAGGCGATACATATACAACAATGGCCCCGTAAAACGGACTATAACATATTATGTTTTTTGGGGACACATTTTTGTACAAACAAACTCATTTGTGTCATTTGTACTGAATTTGTACCTGAATTTTCAATGTTGTCGAGATCAACACAAAAACTTGTGTGAGGACATTTGCTTGCAACCTGGCACCGCTGAGCAAGGTGCTGGAATTGGTTGAACTGCCACAGATCCGCACAGACAAACCCTGATTTGTTGTGGGTCCTTTGTCCCAAGCTGCTGAAACACGAATCCACAAGCGAATCAAAGTGAAAGAAAGGCCACTACAGCGTCAAAACTGTGTTTCTTTCAATGTTCATACACCTTGTTTATGCACTGCAGATCAACAAAGGTTTACATGGGTATGGGTCAATACCTATAGATACCATTTTTAGTGGGATGAACATCCATTTACCAGCTATTTTGGGGTTCACTAGGTACCAGGGTTTTGACCCCATCCCCATTTGATAAAAATGACGTGGACATGTCACGAGCTATGCCGATGGAGACAGGTGCGAATCGCCCCGGCTGTGTCAATCTGCGAGTAGCCGGGAAGCCTCGGGTTGAGACAAAAACGAAAAAAACACGGCAGTGATGTGACGGGTTTAGGGCCATAAGACCTCATGAAACAAAGCATCCAGATGAAAATAACCACATTTAATGGATTCTAATGGATTTCCATGATAATCATGCATTATTACAGTTTATCATATTTCCATTGTCCATCTTCCATAAGAATATATAGTTTATGGATCATTATGGATCCATCATCCATGAATAATCCATCATAATGACATCACCCATTCATGGATTTACCCCAGAGACCATGATCTTTGTGGGGACAAAAACACGAATCTGACTGGGACCCATGGGTTTTTGCTGGCTTTGCTTCACCAAGGTTCTGGCTTCCAAGATGACGGAGGACGGAGCTGGAAAAACCAAAATCTCCAACATCCCCAACAGACTTTTTCTGAATCGACTTCCTGGGAAACTACCTCAAATCTAATTGATTCAGAATGTTGGACACGTTTTGAAAGCTCATGTTCGGACAATTTTCGGAGAATTTCCATGGTTTTGAGATGTTTTGAGGTATTGATATCCATTGCGAGACAAAGCGAAGCCACGCTATGACCAGCTATGACCTCAGCTATGGAGGACCCCTTCAGCCATTTCGACTTCGATGGAGTGCTGGGACTGGGATTGCAAACCTTGGCCTTGAGTGGCACTGGCTGATTGGAAGATATTGGGAGCTGGTAGGAGCTGGTACACTGGTACCATCTGGTACCATTTGGCTTCGTCAAAACATGTTCAAACATGGGGATGGGCCAAAAATGGCCAAAATCTCAAACCAAGGCGACCGCAGATTTTGATCAATCTTTAGTAGAAAGCCATCCCAATATGAGGGGTACCCAATGTTTTTCCAGATACCCATATGGATCATATGGGCCCAACCTTAAGAATATTTCTGGTTTCGGCCAGGCCCAGAATTTAGCTTCTTCGGCCAGATGCTGGTCCAGAACCCACAGATGGAACCGCGCTTCTCTGCTGGGCGCCAAAGGAACTTGCTGAGATGTGCTGAGATGTGTCAGGTGGGATTCGCCCAATGGATTCACCGGCATAAACAACATAATTAATGAACACCATTAAACAACTAGCATTTGGCGCGATGATTATGGTGACTCACCCAAAAATGAGGTAAATGGTGATATATGATATATTATATATATATATATTATATTAAATATGGTGATATTGGGGACGGTTTATTGGGTTTAAACACAGATTATTAAATCATCACCCGAGAACACCTCACCTGAACAGGCCTCAGTTGATGGTGATAGAAACCAGGCCATGTTTAGTCGATGTTCAGATCGGACGTTTCACCAACCTGTGCTGCTTCACCCTTCCATCTAAGTTTGTCCAAAACATGGGTATGCTGGTAATACATACCATCAAAATCACCTCGCTTAATACCGGTTCATCGTAATTGTCCTCATCAAACTTGCCTTAAGTTGGTGGTTTCCTCCCCCACGGAATGTTGTTTTTGGACAAACCCTTTGCGCGGAGCGAGGTCTTCCTCGCTCAAAATGAGGGCGTGGATAGCGTTATTTCCTTTGGCGGGTGTGGGTGCCCAGTAAACGTGCGCAATGGCAACCCAGTTTGAACATTATTAGGATCAGAATTGCTAAAAAAACACAACTCAACGTTTGATGATTGTTTTGTTGATCACTCGTTGGTTGGCGTTTGAACTTCTTAGGATTGGAATGTTTTTGGGCGATATCGACGTCAACATCCATGCTTTGGGACCACAAGTTTGTGTCAGGGAACCTTGCCTGAGGCATGAAGAGAAGTTCACTGCTGGTGAGATTCAATGGGCCCAAGTCTCAGATGTTTGCCATGAACGGTTTCATTTAGCTCTGGGATGCCTTGGGTTTCAATATGGTTCAATGTCAATGTGCTGACATGCACTACATCGAAATACAGCAATGAAGTGGCGCACTTATGGCTCAGATTTGCTGCTTGGGTTCAGTAAAAAGCCAGTCGTCTACACAAGACTAAGTATGAAGATCGTGTTGTACCTTGATCTGAATGCAAACCTAGTCCTAGTAGTCAATTCCGCATCGCACATCACCCCTACCTCAAACTTGTTCAAATGCTCTAAGTGATGCGCATGGTTGTCCTGTCTTTCTGCATTGATGTGTTGAAAGAATACCACATGTTCATTGCACGCACAATGGTGCTCAAACAAAACGATCTGACTACGTTTTCACGTTTTCAGAAATGGACAGTCCAAGGATAAAGTAGAAAAATCAGAGTTCTCGGGACTGGAATGGCGGATGATTTGGAAAGTGCAAGTTTGAGGCAGTTGCTGTCACGCGGATGGAAATACCACAATGCGACCTTTGATTTGTACCTAAAGCTCAGCGGCGTTTTGTTATCAGAATCGGCGATGACCCGTGTGGTTTTGCCAGAGATCAGGCGACTGGTGCAACAGGAACGGATCCATAATGACAATGAATTGCGAGTGCGCAAGGCAAATATTGATCTCTCCAACACCGGACTTACAGATGCCATGCTCAACACCTTGCTGGGAGACTGGCAGACTTTGGGCATTTCCAGCTGTTCCTTGTGCCTCAGATTACAGCGAAATCGCCTCACCGGAGTTTCATTGGTGACCTTGGGGCAGTTTGTGACTGCTGAAGCCATTGGAACTTTGGAAGAGTTACATGCAACACATCAGCTAGGGCCGCTAGGACCTGAACGCCTCACCAGAACTTCGGTGCTGACTTTTTTGAGGAAACTCTCCCAGTGCAGCAAATATCCCATTTGGGTCAAGAGACGGCGATGTTTTCGGCCGGTGCTTGGGCCGCTTGGGACACTGGGGGATTGCGACTTTTGTACTATGCCACTATGCCATAATTTAATACTGCTATAATATTTGACACAATAAAAACATCAAGAAGATTATCCCATATAATCCCATATATATATAGTATGATAATCAAAAAATTAGTGCTGTCAGCAAGTTTATCAAAGTGTGGCCCTTTTTGCAGCTTTGCACCTTTGCGCCTGTTGGCATTGCAGTATAATTCTGGACACTGCGGAACAAATATGAACGGATTCTCATGCATACAGTTGCATATAAGCTTCTCGCATTTTTTTGCTTAGACCATCTTAGACCCCTTTGATATCATTGACTGACATATTTTGGTGCAGGAAAGATGGTGCCCGGATTTGCTTCGCAGATGATCAGGGCTGTATTCGAGCTGCATGTGCCTTGGCGAGGCATGGCGCAGGGTGTCCTGTGGCACATTTGTACGACTTCCGGAGTCAAGAGCTGCCAACGGAAAGCCCGGAACCACTCGGAGCTACGGAAAGACTGAAGGAAGCAGAACAGATGGAGGTGACGCTTCAAGGAGAGAAGGGAAAACTCTTCTTATGTGGTTCCTGTGAGCGGCCACTTCCTATCGACATGTTTACTAGATGTCAGTTCTCCAAGGCCAGCAAAATGGACGAACATCGAGGGGAATCTCATTTGCTACGACGCTGCAATGAGTGTGTCACTCAACCATGCTGCGCTTGTGGCCAACTCCTTGCCTTGACGGCATTTTCAGGCAGCCAGATGTTACGACCCCAGGGCAGTCGCCGGTGCAGGCCTTGTACTATCGAGACCTGGTGGTGTGACCGCTGTTCCAAGCCCAAGCCAAGCACGGAGTTTTCCTCCTTCCAAGCCCGAAAAGTTAAACAAATCTCCAAGGTATGCCGAGATTGCGAGAAGAGTAATCCCTATTTCGATCGGCGCCATGTTGTTTGCGCCATCTTCAGTGGCAAATACACCGCTCCGCCATGGCGTTTGCCGTCCTTGTCCAAAGAAATTCTGATCTCCATCTTGAGTTTTGCCCGGGAATCCAAGTTCATCACCATCAGTGGCACCAGTTACACCTGCACTTTGTGTAACAAGACCAAATCCTTCCTGGCCAACGCCGGTGATGATGCCGTGGAACGCCATCTCCGCACCTCCCAGGTCCATGCGAAACGCCTTCGCAGCTTGGAGGCGGGTCGCTTAGTGGAAGTGGCCACCAGTGGAGTGGAGGCAGAACGTTTCCAGGATGGCTTGGGTCTGCGGGGAGCGTTTTGCGGCATCGACCAGGTGAAAGAAGCGGCAAGTCTCATTGACATTTGGAGCCTGAAAGATATGAATCAAATGAAACTGTTGCTACCCTTTCTGCGACATGTAGGATGTCGAGAATCAGAATCTGGACTGCGATGGGCATCTCCAGAACAATTTGAGAAGGCCTGTGGACTGATGGAAGCTTCCCATGGTGGAATTGAAGGAGACTTCTTCGCAAGTGCCTCCATGCAGGATGTGGCGGAAGCAGAGGAAAGAGCGCTGCAACAGAAACGTACCAAGGTGAATATGTTGTGCCATCCAGGCGGGGATGGCCAATGATTGACCGATCTTGGGTGGTTATGACGCATATTGACACCTACCTCTTCATAAACAACATATTAAATATATATACCTCAATCTTCCTGCCTTGCCTTTTTTTAGACCCTTGTGTTTTGAGCTCAAGTTTCAGCCCCTCAAATTGATTTCAGCCCCTTACATAGATTTCTGCCCCTGGTGATTTCCAAGTGTAGTCAAAAACATTGATAGCATAAAGAATCTGAATAACATGTCGTCCTGAGCCTTTTGGAACATTTCACCTGGTGATGATGCTTCAGTCAGTGGAAGATCATCCCCAAAGAGAACCACTGAATGCAAACTCTGATTTGGGTTGCTTTATTTGACCCCAACCCGTACCACCAGTGGTCTTAAGGCACGCTTTTCTGACCCATCCCGAGCACCACATCCACAGATCAAAGTCCCATGTGCTTGGCTTTCTTGAACCTCGAAATGACAAATTTTGTTTTAATCTTGTAGCTCAGCAAAGTATTGCGGATAACATGCCGGTAGCTGACTCTGCGTGACATCCTCCCAATGCGTCCTACAAAGTCTTCAGAAGCTGATGTATCAAAAACGCCCGGATTGATGGCGTAGGTGTCCCGCCAAGCGCGTTCCAAATCGAAGTAGATGTGTGCCAGAGCGTGGGCTTTGGGGACAAGCCCAAACAATGTCATTTGATGATTGAAAGCCTGAGATGCAAGGCGACTGTAAGCGTGGCAAAAACCTTTCACACACTGGTAGAGATAATCTCGGCACATTGGAACCAGAAAAAGCCCATGCCGGTGAATGCCACCAAAGTTCAGCCCATGTTCACACGCTTGCTTCACCAACCGCACCTCCTCACTAGCATTGCCATTGGCAATCTGGAGCCCAGAGAAAAATTTCAGATATGATAGCAGCAGCACCGTATCGCTGCCTTTGCAACCCACAAATGGGAAACTTGATGTTGTTGCATAGTGCATTTTCTCTTTCGAAAATGACCGGATTGATGCTGGATGCTTCCCATGCGCTTCGCACCACAGTGAGAATGAGGCCCATGCTCTTTCCAATCTCCCAACGACTGACGCATCATCACCGGGTGAATCATAATAACCAAAGTTGCAAAACATAATGATAGAGGATGCAACAAAGTTTCGAGCAATCCCTAATCTGAAGACATGGAATGGGTCATACCTGAAGAAGTTGGCAGCCGCACCGCAGGTCCAATCAGCTTCAAATGGTATTGGCTCATAAGGTGGCAAAGCATGCCAAGGGGCAGAATGACCGAGGGTGTGCTTCCATGCAGCGTCGCTTCTAAAACTTTCAAAGGGTATGTTTGGTGACCCTGCTAAGCAAAGATGGCAGCATGGGATCTCATTTTTGTGGCCCACGTTCTGGTAACTCCGGTTGAGAACGCCTGTTTTGCTATGCCATTCAGCATCTCCACGAAGACCAATCACTGCAATGTGCCAAGGCTTAGGGTACCCAGGTACTGAAACACCCTCAACACAACACTCAGCAATTTCTTCCGACACTTTGCGCAGCATGGCCTTGAGGAGGCCTGGCGTTCCCTTGTATTTCTTGGACGGAAAGCAAAATATCAGAAAATGGTGCAGGTGTGAATTGTAGCTGTTGTTCAACTTCAGTAGCATAGGATCACGAATGGATGCATCTTTGGAATAGCAAAATTTGTTCGGACAAGTGCATGTCAAATCTTTCGCTGTATCGAGTCCAAGAACTGAAACTAAAGAAACCACTTCCAGCGGCTGCTTTTTGACAGTTCGGGCACCATCTCCATGTAGCATAACAGGGATTGTCCAAGACAAATCGACTTGATTCTGCTCTGCCATCACAAAGACTTGGTGACTTGGGTGGGATAGTTTGTATGCCCCCCAAAATGTTTGCAGCATCACATTCGTGTCCGGTCCAGGGTTCATTCCACCCAGAAGCAGCCAGGGGTCTTCCTTCAGCAAGCAGGCCAAAGTGTCTCTTGGCCGAAGATATGGCATCTCAACGACATGCGCGCCTTCTCGGTGCACATATGTGGATGTTGGGATTTTCCTTAGGATGTGTTGATCCCACAGAGAGAAAAATTGGTAGCAAAATCAAGAACAACAATTGGGAGAATGATGAGGGAGAAGCACAGGAACCAACCCAAGATCTCATAAATACAACCCAAGAATCATAGCCATACCCAGGCGTCTCACAGCATTTTGATATTGCCTAGAAGCATTCTTAATGGTTCCCTTCACAACAGCTTTGGTAGAAGAATGCAAAGCCGATGTTGAAGATCCAAGTTCCTCCTGTAACGCATCCCCCTGCTCCGCAAAACGTTTCGCTGGAGCCTTGGAAAAAACGTTTCCATGAAAGTGAGTAGCGCAAGGAAAAGTAAGCCATTGACCCTTCAAACTGGCAAGAGACATGCAGACAAGAAACTCCATCGGCTATCGTTTCAACCACATATTCCAGAAGAGGCCCAGGAGTTTGAGACTTCTTCACATCACCTGGCATGGCTAGCAGCAGTTGCTAAACCTTTTATTGGATATCACTAATGTTGAACCCGCCACTTGAATTTACACAGCTCATGTTTTTTGAGCATGGCCGGTTGAAAACATCAATGCGCAATAGTCTTTCTCGGACAATCTCTTTTTAAGCTCAACCGCAGCAGTACCTCATGGTGATTTTGTACTGAACTCTTGTCCAAGTCTTACAAATCTGGACGAAAAGTGGATGTTAGCACCCACATGCCAAAGCATTGTATGCCTTGGAAGCCCCCCAAAGTCAAAGAGACTCACCGTGGGACGGACCTACATAAGATTGCCAAAAAAAAAGCAGGTGGGAAAAGATTAGACTCACAGACTGACTGATAATTTTTCCACAAGTATAGATCTCAACCATTTGATGGGTTAAAGTTGGGTGGTTTGAGCCCCAGTAGATTCCATCGCTGCACGGTGCTGACATTTAGTCATACTTAGTTTCTTCGGGCACGTGGTTCTGTCTTGACAGGCCTGGCCCTGGCCCTGCCCCTAGTAGGTGTTTCACACTCAGCCTTTTCCTGTTCACGACGCTCCTTGTTCATTTTCGACTTGATATGGTTGATCATCGGCCTTGAGCAACAAGTGTTTGGTTGATATTACCTTGGGACCCTTGGGAAATAAACTGCCACCGTGGTTTATGCATGTATATTATCGGAAACTGATATGAACTTCTGAAGAGATCTTAGCATCTTAGAATGGTTCTACTGGAGTTGCCACCCATCCCAAACGCCAAGATCCCAGCTGTGATCGCATAACGAGGGTCATTGCATTGGCGCACCTTGGACCGCTGATGCAAATGGATTGGCAAGGCAGGGCCGTTTTAAAACACAGGGCGGCAATTCCACCAAAGTCCAAATAAAGCTTTTTCCCTGCGTCTTTCACGGCATGTCCCCAGATCTAATTGCAAAGCTATGCCTGCATTTTGTTTGGCAAATATTTGAAAGCTAACCAACTTTTTTGAGTTGGTCAGCACGGCCACCTACAACATAAACAAAAAATGGTGGGTTTGCATGGGATCTTCTGTTCAAAGCTCCTTCACCACCTGTGTTCGGTGAATTTCGGCAACCATTGCAGTCACTAAACAAGGCTATTAAACCGGCCTCCAACATATGCACTAAACTCAAGTCATCACTCTTGAAGATAACCCACATCGCTGTAAAGTTCACATGCAAGTACTGCTCAAAACGTTGGGCTGGATTGGCAGTCACACCCACTTTGAACACACTAACGTTGATGCCAAGGTATTCTCGGAAAGCAGTAACTTGTTGCCTTGAGTGCGCAAGTATTTTTCCACATGTTGTGAAAGGAGTAATATTGTTTGGCAAACGCTTGAAGATCCAACAGCGCCGCAAATCGTCCCAAGGTGGGTTGACGAATGACACCTCGTGCATACCACGAAGAAGTGCAAGTACTTCTTTACGTTTCTCATCCTTGTGCGCAATCAGCAATGTCCAGAAATAGAAAGCAATCATCTTACATTGAACGCTATCTTGGGGCAAATCATCCAAATTGCTTTCAACTTCCCTGGGTGCAGGCACGCTTCATCCACATGTGCAAGTTCACGGGCGTCTCTATGATTCACAATGTGCTTGGGAGGACTGGGTGGAAGCCGGGATTGCCGTTTGCTAGGGTGATATGTCCTGGACAAGTGCACTGAGCTTAGGGCGAAATTTCAATTGTATTAAATCTACCTATAATCTACCTACTTTTACCGAATACCCCAAACAAACAATACAGAAACAGTATGGCTAAATCATTCGGCACAGAAACTGGCTGCTGGGAAAAGTGTCTTCTTGCATAGATGCTTGCGCTGCACACCGCTTTTTCCCAGTATAGGGACATGTGTAAGTGAGAAGCTCTATCAAGAAGTCATCATCATCATCCATGGCGCAAAGAAGGCTCACGCATTTTGATCCCCGGAAATAGCCCTGCAAGATGCTTTTGTCTTGCAATATCATTCTATATCAATTTTTGATGGATCCAAGTTATTATAAGATATAGCTGTACCCAAAAATAAAATATCGACATATGTCCGGTAAAAAAAATCGCGCGCAGTGCCAGAAATACAGCTGTGTGAGATTGGTTTTGTTGTCCGGACTTCCTTTCTGACCCACAAATGGCACTGGAACTAACAAGTATTAACACCGTCAAAGTCTGGCCACAAGCACGGCATCTCTCCGAAGGACGAGGCACTGCTGGCGGGCATCTTTGTAGCTCTCTGTCAGCTTTTCCTGGTGCCTCAGCGCAGTTAAATCAGCTAAGGCCATAGGCTTGAAGGAGGGGACCAATGGGTAGGTCTTAAAATCTAAAACTTTAAGAGCTCCACAAGGATGTCTCAAACTAGCTTTAACAGCATGTGGGGCATATGTAGATACCCATGTGTCTGTGTGTGTGTGTGGATGCAGGCCATGCTAAATCTATGTCTAGGCACTTTCGTGTGTATCCCTCACAGATGCCTTCGGTGTTGACCTGGTTGATACCCTCCTCCACTTTGGAGATCCCAGTGTCAATCTGCCAGGCGCGATCCATAATCCTAAGGTAACGAAACAAAAACCTTGTTAAGATCACCAGTTTAAGATTCAGATCCAAATTGAGTGAGGCTGTGGCCTTTCATGTTTGAGCTGAATTCAGATGAGAATCGCTTTCAGGTTTGGGGTTTCTTCAACCGACTGAAAGAAATCGATCACAACTTGGATTTTGCAACTCCACTGGCTAAGTGCAGTCAACACCCGGGTGATATAGGACGAAGGCAAAGCATCAGGGTCATCCATTCCTGGAAACTTCATGGCCTTCAAGGTCTTCTGTTGGCAATCAACTCCACCAGACTCAGTAACTTCCACAGGGTCTGACAGGGGCACGTAAGGAGCAAAGGGATGTTTATTGATTTTGTGCAGCTAAAACTAAAACTTTTCCAGGAGAGTCCGTGTGTGATAAAGAATTCAACTGAAACCACTCCTGAAGTATCTTCTGGAAGCAAAAGTTCACCGGGAAGCACATCGTTAAGATCGGCATGAACATCAGATGGGTCAACCTCTTCCTCATCCATCAGAGATGTGCGTCGCTTTTTCCTTGGGCCCAAATAGTTTTTTTCCCTCAAAAGGATTGGTGTCGTTTTCGTTTTCAAAAAAGTTGACAAATACTCGAAGCCCCATAGTCATATTGCCAACAAGTGGCAACCGGCGACCTGCCATTGGGTCTTCCACCCAGTAGAGATTCTTGTGCTTTTGGTACAAATCCTTCCTGAGCTAATGATTTGCGCAGGAGATGGACGATGCAACTCAGAGAGGGTGACAGTAGCAAGGTGTCTTAGCTGCAGCACAGCTTCCGGATCCAGCCCTTGTTTTTCTGGCACAAAGCTTTGACAGCGGCAATTCTCTCCCTTAGCAATTGTCATCTCAAAAGTTAGTTGAACATGAAGCTCATGGGACAACAGGCAAGTATCTATATACATGGACAGGTGGATCTAAAGTAATGGTTTAAGCCAGTGGTAGCCAAAGAACGTATCATATCCCTCATCAACCATAGTTTTCTCCGTCATGAACTTACCATCAACCCACAAATCGGATTCATGGATGGATTCCACGCGCTTCTTGGCCTTCTGGACAAAGGCTTCCTGCGGGCACATGCAAAATATCTCGCAGAAAGGACCGGGCAAAGATGTGTCTATTGGGAAAGGTGCATGCTGACTCGTTTTGGTCTTGAACGATTTGACATAAACAACTGTCCTTATCCCCGCCACATTGCAGCCAAAGCCTTTCGACTTCTGCCCTCCCCCCATCTTGCTTATCATTCCACATATCCGCAATCTTTTTAGGGACTATGTAGGACCCATCTGCTCGCGGTGCCACAAGCCGGCGAATCTTCTTGATATCGTTCTCAGACACTACCTCAAAAGATAACAACATCATAGATGTGTTTTTTCTGGTGGGAACCATCCCATTGGTGACAAAGCAAGCATGGATGCATTAGTCATCCAAGAAGCGCCACGCAAGTTGTCAAGGTTTTTGGCATTCTCCAAGTTCTTGAAAATGGTGTCCTTATATATAATATTTATGTGCAGCTGTAAAAGGGCAGTTGGGACCATCACTACAAGATAACCTGATTGTAAAGGGTTGCATCAGAGCATCGATGTGCTCATGAAGTTCCGATTCATACCGGCCGTTTTTGGCCAATTGGTCATCTGATTCTCCAAGTTCTTGAGATGCCTCACAGCATCCCTAAAGACTACTTCAAAACATGTTTTAATAGCCAGATTGGGGTTTGACAGAAGGTTCCACCAGCTGGTGCACATGGAACCTGGCAAAGACAGAATGCACCTCCCACCCTTCGAAAAAGCCATATGGGTCAGAGTCCGCATCATCCAAATGGCCCTCAAGGTCTTCATCAGTGGCCAACGCGGTAGCCAAGGTCGCCAAGTAGTTTTCCTGCAGTTTAGAACCCGTACCCTACCCCAATCTAAATAGCGCATATACGGTGCATGCTCACATTGATATTAAGGTCTATGTAATTTACAGGTAGGCCCATACATAAATATTGTAAATTATATCAAATATATATATATATAACTTACCAAGGTTCATCGATTCCCTCATCAGGTTTTTGTTGATGGTCACTATCGGTAGGAACCGCTGGAGGTAATTCAGGCGCAGGAGGTTCACTGGCTAAGGGAGTGTCATTCACTGAGCGCGCACCACCCTCTGGATCATAGGGAGGCTGAGACTCCTTGGCTATGGGAATACCGGGACTTGAAACAATGGTCAAATAGAGTGAAAGTATTTCAAACAATACATCATAGCAACAACTATATACATAGTTGGTAGCAAACCAGGTGTCAACTTTGGCATGGGGAGGTAGGTCAGCCATCTGGGTTTCATCACTTGGCCCAGCGGGTGCAAGAGCCCCGTTGCGGAGAGGAGTAGGGAGCGGTGCAGCCTTCTTTGTCTGCAGCTTTTGCATCTCCTGGTCCCCGCAGAGTCAGGATCCATAAGGCACAAGTTACTGTATCAAAATCATGTCTTGTAATCGTATACAAATAAACAATATATATGTCATATAACCCCAGATATTCCAGTTAAGCACGAGCCATACCGACGCACAAGTTCAAACGGCAATCCTGCAAGTTGTCCAGCTCCGCTTGGAGTTCGGCACTGGTGCGCTCATCTATCTCAGCCATACCTAATCCTTCTTCCACTGAGTGAATCCCAAAGTCTAAAGTCTCAGCTGACCAGACCCTGGAAGGAAGATCCATGCCTTGCCAAGCACCTAAAAAGATCTTGAGAAAAAATGCAGAAAAATGCAGCATTTTTGTTCACTCATGTGAGTGGATTTGTGTGCCAAACCACACCACACCACTCATATGAGTGGATTCTATCCTAAACCACGCCACACCACTCATATGAGTGGATTGTGCCTCAAACCAAGCAACACTACTCATATGAGTGGATTGTGCCTCAAACCAAGCAACACCACTCATATGAGTGGATTGTTCCCGAAAACCACACTACATCACTCATATGAGTGGTTTCTATCCCAAACCACACCACAGTATCTACATCACTCATATGAGTGGATCACACCTCACATGGCTAAAAATAATATAAACCATACTTAAAAAACAACCACCGGGTAAATCCGCCCCTAGACCGGGAAAAACCGCCCCTAGACCAGGGAAATCCGCCCCCCGCATTTTTGTAAAAACATGTTTCCAATAAATGTGAGGATTATACACATCTTCCACTCATATGAGTAAATGGTCTTGCTATCCTATACTATTTCACAGAATAAACAGCATTTCCACTCATATGAGTAATTTTTGTCACCCCAATTCATCCCCTGAAGTACGTAGTATTTCCACTCATATGAGTACTTCTTTGGTCACCCCCAGTCATCCCCCAAAGTAAATAGCATTTCCACTCATATGAGTAAATTTTGTTTGTCACCCCAAGTCATCCCCCAAAATAAACAGCATTTCCACTCATATGAGTACATGTTGTTTTGTCACCACAAATCATTCCCCACCCCAAAAAAAGATTTCCATTCATATGAGTGCTGTTTCGTGTCATCCCATACCCAGTCCACAAAAAAAATAACAGAATTACCACTCATATGAGTACAGTTTGGTGCCACCCCATACCCAGTCCACAAAATATACCAAGTTTCTTACTCATATGATCCATGTGGTTATTATTTTGCCTATTCTTATTATAGATTTGTCCTGAAAATAGTCCAAGCATTTTTTTTTAGCTAACCATGGTTTCCATCATTGTCATATGGGTCTTCTGTTCCCAGCACCAAGATTTTGAATCGGGATGTTTCAAAATAGTGATTCCGCAATTTATGTTTTAATTGAAAAATAACAAGTTTGGGGATCACTATTTTGAAACATTACGATATGGGTTTGAATATAAGCCACCGATAACTGCTGCATAGCCAACAGTAATAGGACATACCACGTTGCAAAAAATATACCTAGCGAGTCAGCACCAACTGATTTTCAGGCCCAATGAGCTCCTTCTCCACAAGCATGCTGCCACTTTGGCCACACTTGTGTCGGCCAACCCGAAAAACCAAAACAAGTCCGCCCCCCAATGGGCCTAAGAGGGTGGAATCGTTTTGGGCAAGACAGCTTTCCAACCTTCAGGTATGGATAGCCTTTTTGATCCCCTAGCATACCTAATAACATTCCGTAAGTCAGCTTCTTCGTCCCAACGATTGGATTCATCACACCATGGCATGTTGTCAAAGAGAGTGATGAGACATCCACCAGGAACCTTTCAGGGGTGACATGTTGGTGAAAGAAATAATCAGAAAAAAAACTTACAATAAGCTATGGATGCATGAAAACCATAATATGTTAGTATTTTGAGTCCCCAAACTGTTTCCCAACTCGTACAGAAAACATCAGCAGCCAACCCCTGAACCTGGACGGTTGTCAAATGAAAGGTCATAAAACATGAGTCTAAGCCCTTAAATCCCCTGAACATGATATGACTCATTTTGGGCCATGCCGCCTCAATGTTTGGGGCCTGTGCGCTTGCACGAGCTTCAGGTATGAGGGACACCATCTTCGCAGCAAACTTGAAGGTGTAGTGCCTTGGCGCTGGGGCTGCAAGACCGCAGGGCGGATGGGGTATGGGCATGTGGCAAATGTTGTTGGAACAAAATGGCTAGCACCAAAAAAGCAGATTTAAGATGAGTTACTGACTCTTCTTGAGAAGTCGATTACCTTTGAATTTCCGTGATCCACGGCCATCCATATACCGAGTAGTCAAAGTCTGACTGGCAGACCGTTCGTCTGATGACATAGGCCCCAAATCTAAAGCTTGGATTACTTGGCTGGAAGACCATACCCATGTCCTCTTCCAGGAAAGCGAAGCATATTTTCTCATCCAGAACGCCACTTTGTAGGTCTTAGATGATTGCATTCATGAATCCAAAAACGACAAAAGGCAATTGTTGAAATGTTGGTGCAAAACCAGCAGTTGAAAAAACGCATCAGCCAAGGAACAGGGATGCCGAGGAGCTGTAATAATTCCACCAACCAAACGTAGCGGGGATGCATGCCCAAGAGAGAATTCATTGGGTTCTCCATAAAAAAGACTCCACCCATAAGTATGGTAATCAACATGAGGATGCAAGACCTCAGGGCCAACCTACTCTTTGCATTTGTTCTATCTTATAATTGATTGAATGCAAACGTTGAACAAATCTATTGTATGGAACCCACTCCTTGAAGTCATTTTGTTGCTGCGACGAACTGCTGGGAAATCCTCGTTTCCTGTTGGACATAGTATATCTCTCAAAGATGACCCACGGCTTACTGGAACCATTGACGAACATACTATCGCCAAAAATGCCGCCGGGTTCTCGCTACAGAGAAGTAGGTGGATGCATAACCTGGGCGGGCAAAGACCGAACAAAAGCATAAACAAGTTGGAAAAAGAATACTTTGAACCACAGTATTAAGCCAGGGAACCTTCCATCCTACTTACTAACGACTTGCCTAGCCACAAAAGTCCTGCATCACTATTGATGTCCATAGGTGGTCTTGACGGTCTTGGGCCCCGCTTGGAAACAAATGCTTTCCCATATTCAAGGTCTACCGCAGCACTCTTGAGGTGTGTAAACTTTGACACTGCGGCAATTCTTCCAACACCAGCAAAGTATTCAATTACTTCGTATGGCTGAGATGGCTTCTCAAAATCCTGCCACCACGTGAGCAACACCAAGAGGACCACCACCTCAGCAAAAATAGACTATGATGATGATGGGTGGATTGGTATGATGGGGTACAAACGGCCTAAAGAACTTCCTGCAAAGTCAAACAACAATTTTCCGAAACCATGGTTCTCATTTGATGTTAGTCATGAAGGTTTGAATTAAAATTTCAATAGAATGAGGGTCGTCACAAAAAGGGCAACCAAGGATTGGAGAAGTCATCGGCTAAGTCACCTTTGGCACTCTTATGCCAATGAGCTTGCGGATGAGAAGTTCAAATTGCTGTGGCGACATGGCTGCACTGGCAACTTTGCCGAGGGAGGAAGCCAATACTAGTATATGGCTTCACCTACTTGATCTACCATATTGATATATACATATATATATAAATAAATATGTATTTGCTTTTTATATTACATTTGTGGTGTGTAAACATAAGTTACCCGACCAATGTTTTTGGACCAACCATTATATAAACCTTTGAAGCCAAAGGCTACAGCATCAACTGCATCAGTTATTTTCGGCTTATATGTTAAACATATGTTTCATATATAAATACCAACGACTGATTGGAGGACAACTATAATGGTAAGATGGGAATACCAAAAACTACAGCCGGGCACACCTGGTCGGGGACCAATCCCAAACTTTGCCAGGTTAATGCCACCTCGTAGGCGAAACTCCGACATAGACTCACCTGGCAAACGGGGCCATGTCACAAGAAATGAGCACTTAGTTTGGATTTTGGGTTGGACCACTTTTCCTAATCCTTTCTGTTTCAAACAATTCTGCTACTTGTGTTTTTACAGAAACCTCCAGATTTTTTGGGGTAAGTTGACATTGTTTTGAGAAATCAATTGGTAGGTATTGCATGATTGCACAACAAATTTCGAAATAAGATATGATTTAATTTTCTTTCATATAAAACCATACGTGTCACCGTTCGGGCTCTCAAATTTTTCACCCCAAGCAAGAAGCGACAGCAAGCAATCAATGTGAGGCTTGCAATGCAGCCCTGCCACCCCTAAGATGTCATGTAACCTTTGGTGCCGTTGGTAATCCAACCTACCCTGAAAGATTCAGCGGTGCTTGATTGCACCGCCTCCAAAAGCTGAGCTCCTCAAATTGTGGCTTGGTTGCCAACATGCCGCGGCTTCAACGCACCAATATGTCACAGCCAAACGATAAGAAGAAGAGATGGCATACAGAGAGTTCAGTTTCTGTCTTTCGTGACATGTACTGTCTTTAAACCGGAATAAAATGGTAAGATGGAACACCTTGCCAGAACCATGTCAGAGAAGATGGCATGCAAGCAACCTACTCCATCCCTGCCAGGGTGAAACCATTCCCAGTCTGGAAAGGGACAACCTCCTCATCTGCTGCAGCAGTGAAAAGTCTCAAGCAATCCTCAGGCGCACTTCGGCGGTTGAGATTCTTAATGTCATCATTGTCCAGGAACTTCTTAGCGCACCAATTCCACCAATCCTCCTGAATGGATTTTGGACATGGAATGTGGAGCTAAGTGGCAACGACCATTTGCAGTTTTGTTTGGTTGAACCGCCGAAAAAAAAACATAGGATTTTGTTGCTCATAAAACAAGAAACATAGATCCTAGACAGTGACAGGAGCAAATGACAGAATACCCTTCGGTCCTCCACTTTGTAGGACGAAAATCCCAAGCCCTCGACCACGGGCTTAATCTTCTTGTCGAAGACATCCCGAACAACAAACCAGCGCTCACGAGCAGGGCTTAACTTGGGACACCAACGACGAGCGAAGGACTTCAGCTTGTCGTTCTCCACAACCTTGGCTTTCTTACCATCTGGCTCCACTGACTCTGCTGCGCCCGTTGGCTCATTATTCTCCGGCAGGGCACCAGCAGCATGGCCTGGGGCAGCCACAAGGTGATCCTGCACAGGGCCCCATTTCAGATTCCCTGCGACCAAAGGGGCAGCAGTCTTTGAAACAGGTACCCAAACAATTTTGTTTTTTTGGTCCTCCTCAGCTTTGGGCGCATCGTCACCATCACCTGGGGCAGCATCAGAACTCTTCCGCTTGGACGCTGTCTTTGCCGGCTTGGCTGCCTTCTCCTGCTTCCCCTCAACGTCCTTCTTCTTCACTTTGTCCTTCTTGACCTTTGGCTCCTTCACCGTGTCCTTCTTTCCATTGTCCTTCGCCTTTTGCTTCTTCACCGCTTCCTTCTTCACCTCCTCCTTCTTGGTCTCTGGGTGGGAAGCCTCAGGTCCTTCACCTGGTTCCGCTTGGCTAGAAGCAGCAGCTGCCCTGGGCGGGGCCGGAGTTGGAGGCACAATATCATCGATGGTGATGAAGTGCTGAGTCTGACGGGAACCACCTGCACGAGGCTTTCGCTTGGGCTTGGGCTCATCCTTGGGCTTAGGGGTCGCTGGCTTCCGCCCCCTTCGCTTTGGCAAAGGCTTCAACCCCCATTGATCTCGGCGGGTCACAACAGGCGGCTCCTCATCTTCATCTGGGACCACTGCTGCTCCTGCGGCTGCTGCGGCCGGAACAGGATCCAGGGAATGATCGGCACCTGCATCTGTCGATGAGCACTTGCCAACGTCAATACCATCATCAACACTTCGGCGTGCCTCACATGAAGGCTGGTCCACACCAACTACCAAGACATCCTGCGCTGAACCAGACTGCCCAGAAGGTCCACCATGAAGAAGGGGTTGCTTCATGCCATCCTCAATGTCAATCTCCTTGTCCTTGTCAACCTGCATGGGGCTACCACCCTCTGATGGTTCAAGCCCAAGCTGGTTGTCTGGATATTGCATCTCCGGCTCAAGCACATCATCAAAGATGGAAGTTGGATTGGGAAATTGAACTTTCGCAACAGGAGTCTTGGCTTCCAAAGCAGGAGGCTGTGGAAGTTCAGCTTCTGCAACAGGAGCTTCGGAAGCTTCCCCAGTGGGAGTCTTGGGGGCTTCCAGGTCCACTGCCACAGACTCAACGGGAGCTGTCAAAGTTGAATCCTCAGCTTCCACACCATCAGTCTTGGAAACTTCAGCGCTCCCAGCAAACTCTCCCTGCAAAGAGCGTTTGATGGTGGTGGTGCTGCCATCACCCACGTCCATAGCATTCTTGGCCCCAAACCCATCACTAGACATGGATGAAGCCACAGCATCGGTCAAACCCTCTTGCAACGGCCGAGTCTCAGCATTGTCTTTGGCAAAGGTAGAAGCTGCCCTCCGGGCCAGTTCCAACCTAAGTAGGCAGGGTCAACCTGACCCACTTTATCGGTTTAAGGGACGCAGTTGGACAGCGATGGTTTCAAGCATAACCAAACCCTAAGACTAGAAGGCTGCAACAGAGATACATCATATATATCATCATCATCATCATCATCATCATCTTCATCATCATCATCTTCATCATCATAAATGGTCAATTTCTATTTGTACCCCCATGTTTGCCATATTGCCATATGGCCTGGTGATGTTTCAAACTGTAGGTACTCCAAATGGGTGTCAAAATATAATACTTTTGGGGTACACGCTAATAAGGGTCCTCTCATTTTGAGACATGCCCACATGTAAATTTAGTTTCTGTGTTAATTTGCATTTCCCTCACCCCCTATCATAACCATATGATATAGAAAACCCAAAGACCATAAACAACATGTTTGAACAACTCTTGGCCAAAGAGCTTGAGTGCAAGAATCCTTTGCTCAACCTCCGCATCACCCTTAGTAGCCATACATACGGGATGGCCATTCTTGTGGTTCTCCGGGTTTTCCCCACATGTGGTTTGAGGGGCGCTGGAAAGCGGTTCCTCTTTCACTCTGGTTGGCGTAGTGTCATCGATCACCACCAAAGACTCTGGTTCCACAGCTTGGGCCATGGTGGTAGCAGGTTTGGAAGGGGTCTCCATTTTGGCCTTCTTTGGGGGATAGGCATCATCGGAACCACCTCCATATGGGTCTTCCTTTACCATGATGAAGTCAGAAAAGTCAGTAGGCTCATCATCACTGTCCTCCACATCAACCACGATGGTACTGACACCAGGACGAAGACGGACATTCCAGTGTTTGAACAACTCATCGAAGAAAGGGTTGGTACCAACTTCCTGACTTGTTTCGCTTTGCATTGGGACCCACAATTATCATTTAACCTTTCGATTTGAAACCCGATTGCTGATCAAAAAACAAATGCCCCAAACATAGCCCCAACAAAATCCATGGTGAACTGCTGCACTAACGGTATAATACATGCTGAGATTCTCGGCGGTGCGGACTTCCCGAGGCCAGTTTGTCAGCGCCGCTCTTTCTGACCCCATAAGTAAACAGTTTTTTCAAGGCCCAAGCATCTTGATGTAGATTCACCAAGTCAGGGCCGAGTTGGCAGATTGCCCTCAGCTGATTGACCTTCAGGTAAGAAACCAAAAGGTTGGCGATCTATGGGGAGGCATGCTAGTGCGAATGCATTTTATAAAACATCATTGTTCATTGAAAACTACTGAAATACAACAGCTTTAAAAATGGAACATTCTCATAAGCAATCTCTTTGGCCATGGGCGCCTCCCTCTTCAAATCAATTACTGATGGACTTTTTGGGGTTCGCTGTCGTGTGCACCACCATCGTGCCAAACAAGTCAGGGCTGCAGAGTTACAGGCGATATTGGCCATATTCGGTTTGTTGATGGTTTCCTTGGACGCCCACTTCACCAATGCACCCTCATTTTCCCTGAGACGATCACGGATCCTACGATCATCCTCCCACATATCAGCCAGCAACCCAACTGGCATGCTTCCCTTCCGGACCAAAGGGGCCGGGGCTCTGTCAGCACCAGCCAGGCTGGACTGAGCTGGCGCCATGACGGAAGGCTGCAGCGAGGGGCCAGCAAGGATCGGAAACACAATGGGGAACTATACCCCAAAAAGAAGAAAGGCTTGAGCAAAGCATTGTGGATTGAATTTGTTGGGATAATTTCTGCAACTGATAGGTCCAGAGCTGCAACCTTGCAACTGGTAGACTTGGAAAAGACCGTGGCAAGCACAAACCAGAATCATCAGTTCATTTTTTTTGCTGCTTAAGTTAAATCATGTCAACCAACCCCTGCTCCAAAGAAGAGCACCCAGATGCACCCAGCCGCAAAAACAAGGCAGGATCACCTGCATGGTGAAGCGATAAAGAAAAGTGCAATGCTCGCGCATGGCAGCGAGCGGGGAAGAAGGGCACATGGATCTATATACAAGGGAAGTACTTTAAGTGGATGCCTGTTCATAACAAACAAGTGTTGACATTCTTGAATCATCCTGGATTTATTTTCCAATCTAAAATCCTGGACCTTTTTGGCCATGTCACCCAATGGCTGGATTTGTGCCCAACCTTCAGACCGCTGGCAGGTGCAACGCAGTGGGGGGAATGTTTTCTGCAGTCTGATGGGTCCCAAGTAGCTCGAAATATGAGATCAGCCCCCAGCAAGAATGTTCAGCCCTCTTTTCCAAGAGGCGCATTTCCCAGAAAGTACTAAAATTACGCAGCCTAGGGAGGATCCAGGTATATATATTCACATACCTTACATGTCCGTGAACTTTCCCTCAAACAGGGTGGTAAAACCACGGTACTACACGGTCCCTGCGTTAAGAGCTAGGGGCCGGTGAGCCGAACGTGGTCCCATACCTGTTCGTGACCCTTGCAGGACGAGAGTTCCCTGCTCTGGCATACCGTTTTCGGAGCTATGTACGTTTTGCGTGGCGGGTGCAAAGGATTCGTCAATTTTGGAGAGTCAGAACCTGGCTTTGTGTGACAGGTGGAAGACCTCGGACATCTCTTCATCCGCGTGGCAGGCAAAGTGCGCGTTGCGAAAACGTTGGCAGGCGTGGGTCGAAATAAGAGGTGCTGCCGATGGTCATTATTCGCGGCAGCTATGCTGGGATCACTTTGTGTAGCAGGTGCAATACTTCGGATGCCTTGACTTGGCTTCAATTTTTCGTGGCAAGTGCAGTAATTTTCACTGAAGATGCTAAGAATTACAAACCTTGTTGGAACTGTGATGTCCACTGTTGGACGTCGATTTTTGATTCTCGTTGCGGCGCAGTGCTCATGTTCATATCATTTGGGCAATCCTCTCGTCACTTTGTGCGTGCCGGATTGCTTTCGTTGTGGCGGCGGGGTGCTCGCGCAACCGTCTCATCACTCTATGCGTGTTGAATCGCTCTCCTTTGGGCGCGGTGCTCAATTGTTTTATCGTGCAACCTGTTGCGCAACCTCCTTCACACTTTGTGTTTGTCGGAGTACGAGGTCTTACATGTTTTTTTTGACCTTGTGTGAAGACCGTTCGGGGTCTCCTAAGAGGCCTTTGCATAGAGATTTTGAAGATATCTTGCCGGATGCTGTTGGGGGTTCTTACCCACAGATTCCATAAGATCCCCTTGAGGCCTTTGTACGACGATCTTGTCACATTTTCCACGGATTTTCCTAAAGGCCCTTGTGTGAAGATCTTCTGGAGGTCGTTGTGAGAAGATCTTGTGGATCCTGGCGAAGTCCTCCAAGCGGTCCTTGTATGAAGATCTTGAAGCGTCCTGTTAGAGGTGTTTGTATGAAGGCTCTTGCGGGATGTTCTTTGAGGTTCTTGCTTCGTGATCTTGTAAGATCCTCTTCAGGGTCCTTGCACGACGATCTTGTCCCATTCTCTGAAAGGTCTTAAGGTACTACTATGGATATCGTTCAGAGATCCTTGTACATCCTTGTACGATAAAACTGTTCGGGGTCTCTTGCCGGGATAGTGGTGCTATATCTCGTTTCAGCAACGTTTTCAACCCGTTCTTTGTTGATCTTTGTAGGGGGTCAACGCCGCGAAGCTTACACGAAACATCACGAAACCTAGTTTCATGTTTGTATGTTCATCAGTTTATGTCAAACCATTTGGAGGATGTTCAGGCTGTCTTCGGCAGTTTGGAGGCTATGCAGGGGCTGTGTTTGGCCATACGGAGTTCCGGACAGGCTCTGAAATAGCGCATACTCTGTGCGGGGCTAGAACACGGTTTGCTTTGCATCAGCATGTGAAACTGGCATGTCCGCAAATCATTTCCAAATCTTGCACAGACACCTCAGACAATTTGCATATCGTCGATACATGTTTTAGACGTTTTGCACATTGGATGCATATTCATGCCAGGTTAGCTTCACACATAGTTATGCCAATTCCTCCTAAATGTTATTTCTTTTCTTACGTGCCTACAGATATAGCCAAGTTCAGATATGTTATACCTTTGTATCCATTATATATAATGTTTTTCTTTTACTGCAAGAATTGTAATGCCAGGTTTTGTTGATTTTGGTTTCCCCCAAGGTAAGAACACAAAATAAATAAAGATAAATGTTTGAAAAAGAACACAGCACGCCCCTGTACTACATGTTAAACACCTGCTTTTATTTTGCATACATCACATACATCCACACATATCTTACATTGACATGTATTCAACGTATGTAGCATACATGCGTCTCGCTAGACACTTATTGGTTCTTCTTTCCTTTACTTTCACCTTGGACTTTCGGGCCACTCATTATTTAGTTTGATGCTGTTTTTTGATGGCGGTTGACTTTCAATGACCGCAGGGATCAGCCTTGTGTGCCGTTGGGTCACTACTGCAGGCTGCAGGAGTGGAGGCGGGCTGGATACACTTGTCTTATTGCCCAGGGCTATCTAACGTGTTGCTGCGTTGATTTTTGTTCCTTTGAAATTGTCGTTTTCGAAGGGAGCTTTTTCGTTGACCTGAGGTGACAGTGGTGAAGATAGACCCCTACTTGAACGAGGATGCGGGCACTTTATCGCCAGAAGATCATGGTGAAGTTTTTGTGTTGGACGATGGAACGGAAGTGGATTTGGATTTTGGACACTATGAACGCGCCCTCGGAGCCTCGGAATTGGAACAAGCTGCTTGATCACGTGTCATTTCGAGTCGCTGGTTGCACATGTAGACGTCCTTGGGGATCGTCTACCAGTCTACCACTCTACCACGACCTCACTAGTCCTTTCTTCAACTTTCTTCTTCTCAATTCCACAGACTCCACAGATGGCCTTGCGAGGCCTGACCCTCTGCGGAGATCATAGCATCACATCTGGCAAGTTGTTAGGGCAGGTGCTTCAGAACGAGCGGCAGCACAAGTACCTTGGGCAGACAGTGCGACTTACCAAGCAGGCAGTTGAGCTGGATGTAGAGTTGATCACCCGGGCAGCAGAATGTCCAACCTGTCGTGGGAAAGCTGACGTTTGTCTCATCGAACTTGGAGGCGCAGTAGGCCAGCGCCTTACATCAGCCGATGAACTGAAACTGCATACATCAGTCCTCCATTAGATGCCTTCAAAGCAGCCAAGAAGAGTCAGATGGAGTTTTCCCGGGCAGGCTGCTGGATTCCAGATGGTCCGATAATAGATCAAAATAGATCAAAATAGTATGTTCACGTTTTCTTTCAGGAGGTTTGCCTTCAATGATTGCTTTTCTCAAGGCTTCATCTTGCGATGCAATTCTTGTCCAAGACCCTAGATTAGGCAGCAACCAATGCTTAGAAGCCATCAGGTTTGGTTTGCTCGGCGTGCGATTTGAGTATTTATATCGTTTCAGCTATGCGAGATCGCGAATGCCCTTTGCAATATGTATGCAAGTCTTTGTTTGCAGTGATATAATGGCAGCTTGAAAGTATTCTCCAAGCCAATGATGGCTCAATCTAGTGAAGCTTCCCTTCCCGCATTGACTTGAGTAGTTCTAATCCTTGAATAAAGCAGTAGAGCTAGGCCAGCTAGGCTTGCAATACGACCTAGTGATCGTTTGTTCACCAGCGAAAGACCAGGCGATAAATTGAGAACGAATCCTTTAAAACTTTACGGCATTTAGGCTTTGGCTCCAAGTTTCAAGAACAACTTGAGACTGTTGCAAGGTGTTTGGTTCCGATATTCAAAGATGATTGGAGGAAGTAACTTGCGCCAGGAAAGTATTTTCTCCTAGCGCCTGAAGTTGTTACATAATGACGATGTGTGAAACTTCATGCTTGGTTTCAGATGTGCAACGCACTTGCAGGGGTAGGGCATCTTCTGAGTTTGAATTCGAACAGATACTGAAAAACATTGGGTTTTGTTGAATACATTCATTGTTAAGTTTCGATGTCTTTTACTTTCAGTCCACTTTGTGCCCATTCTTCGACTGAATTTGAAATTCCAAATGGTGAAATTGAAGCATGCCAAGAAGCACAGGGGATTTGTTTGTTACTGCTTTGTGAACCGTGTCGGACATGAGAAAGATCATCCCATTAGGATTTGGACCTGACACAGCATGCAAGCTGATCATAGGAACATATTCAGTTTTCACCAAAACTACGACTTGGATGGACTCTGGGCGGGTCACAATACGTGCTAAGAAAGCTGGGGATATGTCAACAGGCATCGCAGTTCGGAGGCAACGAGGCAACGAGGCAACTAGCACTGGCTCATACTAGCTGCTAGTAGCTATTACATAGCTATTACTGGCTCTCTTTTTTGTTTTCTGTTCGTGCTGTGTGAGGTGATTGGGACGCTGAAATCCATCTGGAAGCTTTGCGTCGCTTGCAGAGGGCAGTTCCTCGGACCCAGAGGAGCAAACCAGAGATTGACTTCAAACTTCTGCATTCTCTGCATTAGTGCAGTTTTGATCTATACATTCTATATCATTCTATAATATTCTATACATTTTTTGATTTTCAAATATTTAAATCGAAATCTATGAGAGGAAAAGCCAAGCAGCCTTTGCCTTGTTTGTCATCCAGAGGCTCCAATGGTTTTCTGCTTGATGGTACCATTGGTTGCTTGGGGCGGAGAGCAGAAGACCAAGCTCGCGCAAGACAGTGTGCGACGGCTACGGGCTTGTGGCATCGCTGTGGACTTCTTGATGCTCGGAGAGGGTTAGATGTCATGTGTAAATGTGTAGACAGTAGGTTGGGTCAGAAAGGGTCACATAGACAACACAATGTCCCAAGATGTGCTGAGCTCAGATTTCTTTATCTAGGATGTGTGAATCATGTGATTGCAAGTTGTTCCTTTCCTCTCTTCAGCTCAAACAGATGGAATTGTCTCCGCGAGTGATTTGCTCGCCGCAAAAAGGTGTTGTTTGGGCAAACGATGCTGCATAGTTCAAGATTTTGTTTGCCGTTTCAGAACTCAGATGCCACATCAAAATGCTTGCTTGCCTTTAAGGATATGCCGCACAGATGATCCTGTTGCTGATAAGACGAAAAGCAAATTGGCTGATCTTTGTGATGTACACCCGGAGGCGGTGTGGGCCTCCATCACTATGGCTGACATTTCGCAGCTGCCATTGCATTTCTACAGACAAGGTGTTTTGACAATGATTTCGAGTCGGCTTCGGCTCACAGTGAACGAGCCCGACATGGGCTTCTTCCGGGGTTCCAGTCCAGGCGGCAGGGAATTGGAGGTGGCTGTCAACGGGAAGTATGAGCATCAAGATGCATACATCTCGATCTTCAGGGCTTTGGAGGATGCAGCCCGTGCTTGTGATGCGTCCGTGAGGTTCCGGAAGGGCAATTGTGACGTATCTGACAAAGTCCCGGATGCACTGTGTGTCCCCGGCGGTTTTGGAGCTCGAGGCTTTGAGGAGTTGGTGGAGCTGTGCCGATTTTCCCGGGTGGAAGGTTTGCCTTTCTTGGGGATTTGCTGGGGCTTCCAGGCAGCTGTGATTGCATTGGCGCGTGACTTCGGCTACCCCTGCGCTTGTTCCCAAGAAGTTGAGGAAGATGCCATGCCGCCCCATGCCATTGTGGTGAAGCGTCGCGATGGCATCTTGCGAAAAGGCGGGCAGTGCGGCAGAGAAGCGAAATAAGATTTGTCATGTTCACAGAGTTTGATATAGAATGAATGGGCAACGGTCCAAGAATGAAAACGGGCAAAGATCGGCTTCTACGTTTTCCACGGTGGAATCAATGCAATCCACATGCACTGAGCGGGCACAGGTGCATCGAAAGTCCGGCTGCCCGAGGGCCGGATGCAGGCTCTGTATGCTGAAAGCAGCAAGAGCGTTGCTGAAAGCAGTGTGGAACGTTACCGGAATCGCTTCGAGGTTGGGCGGCCGAACAGTTTAAATCTGCATCGTTAACAAATTACCTATATGGTGACCATACGGATCTATAATCTACAGTGTATGACAGGTTATAGTATTTTCAGGTATATTCTGGAAAATGGAAGCATGTCGGATCATGTCGCTGGCCTGCAAGCCTTTTTTGCAAGCCATTTTCTGCCTCACTTTTCCACGGTTTGCTGCCGTAGTCGTTTCGAAGTCTTTTGATGGCTTGTCTTTACGTGACCAAACCGACCAAACCTTGAAGTAATTTATGACCAATAGAGGGATTGAATATGATTGAATGCAGACTGGCCTTGCGGGGATCATGTTGATCTGCGCAGGTCTGGCCAGGGGTCAAAGAACAACTGCAGGAGAATAGTGGCCGTTTGATGCCGTTTGCCTATGTTTATGAAGCAATGTCGGGACAAGCCACAGAAAGTTACAGACATTGCTTCATATCTCAGGAGCATGGTGTGCTTTTTGGCTTTGGGCCAGACAATGAGGCACCTGTTCCATCGGGCTATGGCTTCAGTTGAAACTGAGATCCCAAAAGAAAGTCACGAACCAAACAACAACTGAGCAGAACATTTGTGACCAGACTCAACAGAGCACCAGCAACGGCTCTAAACGGCAACTACGACTTGCGATGTTTGCCCAAAGGTTGTGTGCAAGATTGTGCAAGCTTGATTTTACTAAGCAGTTGTTTGCAGGTATTCGCAGTAGCATTGAAATTTGGCATCGGCAGGTGGACGCCTTTGAATTGCCTACGCACCCGTTCTACATGGACGTCCCCGGCTCGGTTCACTGCTGTGCCCTGTGGTATTGAGCCTTGTGGTGTCAATGCCAACAAAATCCGACAAAATCCGACAGACCTTGGGCACTGAGGTGCAGTATCATCCTGAGTTTACATCCAATCGGCAACGCCCAGCACCTTTGTTTGTGGGACTCATACGAGCAGCCCTTGCTCGAAAGAGCTCGAAAGAGTGGAGAACAAATGTTAAGGCTGTCTCCTATGTCTCCTAAGCCCAGTCGCAGTCGCTTGAAGGGTCAACTCCAGGAGCTGCGGACATACGGTTGATGGAGGCGGACCCATGGTGACTTGTTTCATCTTGTTTCTTTCGTCCTGGGGAAAATGGCATCCCCGAGGGTCGACCTTCACCCGTTCATGCTGAATGGATGTGGACACCATGCAGAATGTATTGACATGTCTATGCGCGTGCATTTGTGACATGAGCGCTATCAGAGAGAGAGAGAAAGAGAAAGAGAGAGAGAGAGAGAGAGCTGGATCCACGGACTGTCAAAGGAGACACCTACCAGTCAGCTCTGGGCGTCTGCCAGGGATGGAAAATGACCGTTGACAGGGAGTGCCTACAACAGAATCCTTCTTGTTTTCCCTGCAGCAAAAGCAGAATTTGAATCTGGGATAGAAGACTTGTGTCGAAAGGGATAAAAAGAGGGATGTCATTGGATCAGACCCTTCATGTTCTTGCCTCCCTCAAGGCTTCCATGAGAGCCTTCAGATGGCATGGATGGAGTAACTACATGTCCAACTGCATCCACGGGCAGTCAATCTATAAAACATTCAAACAATGTCGTGATGGCACAGAAGCCATGATGAGTTTTGCTTCTTGCGTGATGTCATGCGTCAGGCCGTTACAATTTTCCGACACGGCAAAAAATAATCTAGAATCTGCATTCCCGGCCCGCCTTGCCATGCAGCGAGACCTCTCTTTGAGTCCAGAGAAGGTAGCTTAGCTGAACTGAGCCCACGTGACTCAAATGGTTTAGGCGCAGGCAGACAGAGTCAAAGAGGCACAGAGAGAGAGAGAGAGAGCGAGACAGAAACAGAGATACAGATACTAGTACAGACATAGACACACGAACCAATCCATCTGCAGAGTATGTTGAATCTGCAGCAGGACAAATGATGCTACACAGTTTCTCATTTCAAGCATGTCCAACAATGTCCGACAGACCAACCACCACCGATGAAGCACTTGTCTTCAGCTATATTAAGGGGATGATGAGTTCAGAGCCCATTTTCGAAAGCACCACGTCCTCATGACTATTCAAATCTATTCAATATCATTCAGAATGTTCAGAACATTACTGTATTCCTTGCCGGGGGCCTCATGTTTGAAAGCATTGATAGCGATATGGGAAACTACACAAGGTAGATCGGATGTAGAGCAGGTAGGAGGTCAACAAGCAGCTTCTTCATTTGCCTGCAGGAGCTGCCCCCCTGGAAGCGGCGCAAGATCCAGACCCAAAGTCTTCAGATTGTAGGATTGACAGGCGAGGCAAGGGCAACTGCTCGTTTTTCTCCATTATATAGATATTTCAGGTTCAGCGATGGCTCTTTAAACAGAAAGAGGGCAAATAGCATGGCTACTTGGAAAGATCACCATTTTTGCATGTTTCTGGTTGGAGGTACTATCGGAAGTGGAAAAGGCACAGCGGCTGAATTTCTGGTTGCGCAAGGCTTTCAGCACGTGAGGATTAGGGATGTGCTGGCACAAGCGGTGGAGCAAAGCGGCGGCACTTCCCACCCAGATCAATTTGTATCGTGGGCCCCCACGGCACTGGCAAGACCTATTTACTCAGGCAGCTCTGCAAGGGCTTAGAGCACGCAGGCCGAGACTTTTTTGTATGTCAGGAACTGGCGCGAGGGCTCATCAAGGAGATGAACTTGACGTCGCTTGAAGCACTTAAGGATCTTGCGATCGGGCCTCGCGGTTGGCAAAGATATTTTGACATATTTTGTAATGGTTTGGAGCGGGCAGCTCACCCCACACCAGCATGACCTTGGTTTGCAGTGCTAGGAAAAGATACCAACAGCATGATGTTAAGGAGAGGCATGGGGTTCAAAAAATATTGAATAAGGCATCAAAAAAAAACATCACTAAAAAAAATATGAGGGATCAAAAATCTTGTGATAATTGAATCTCCCGGTCCTTCAGTCCTCTCCCTTGGTCCCCTGGTCGCTTGGTCCTTTGGTCCTCTGGTCCCTTGGTCCTTCCGTCCTTTGGTGGCTCTGGTGCCTTAAAACATTTTCAAGATAATCAACCAGCCGTAAAAAAAAAAACTAAATCAGCCTCAGTAACCCCTAAACTACCCCCCCAAGCCAAAGTAAGTCTTAAACGAATCCTAAACCAACACTCAATCAGCCCTAAACTAACCCTAAATAAACCCTAAACAAATCTTACATAGACCCTAAACGAAACCTAAACGAACCTTAAATAAGTTGTAAGCGAAACTAGAATCAACTTTAAACCAATCGCAACTAATCCCTAAACCAACCCCAAATAAAACCCTAAGCCACCCCTAAAAAAACATAAACCAACCGTAAATAAACCCTGAAGAACACCTATTAAACAGCACGAACCAACCCTAAATAAATCCTATGCACACCAAAATAAACCACAAACCAACCCTACATAAGTCCTAAACCAACCCTGAACCAACCAGAAATACATCACTAAACCAACCTTAAAGACACCGGAAACAAGACCTACATAAAGACTTAAACCAACCCAAAATAACCCCTAAGCCAACCCTAAAGAAACCCTGAACCAACCCTAAATAACACCTAAACCAACCACGAACCAATCCCAAATACATCCTGAATCAACCCTAAATAAACTTTGAGCAGCACCTACACAAATCTTAATAGCAACCCTAAACAAACCCTAAAACCAACCCTAAATATACCCTAAACAAATCCTAAAGCAACCCTAAATAAACAAACAACCAACCCTCAATAGATCCCAAACGAAACCTAAACCACAAAGTCTTGAACGAAATCAAAATAAACCCTAAACCAACCCTACATAAACACCAAAAAACTTTGAATAACTTCAAATAAATATTTGAACGAAACCTAAATAATAAACCTTTTACCAACCCTGAATAGATACCTAGTAAACCAAAGGCCAACCCTAAACTAACCCTAAACCAACCTAAGTCAACGTAATAGGCATCAAACCAAGCCAAAATCAACCCTAAACCAAACATAAACAAACTTTAAACCAACACAAGTTTCAAAACAACCATCGAAAATAAAAAAATTGAACTCCAAAGTGTTGCAGGTGCTGTCGAAACGGCAGCGTCGAGCCCTGCCAATGCTCGATTTCTAGGTCCAATGTCCTGCAAAAACCTTACGGGCGAGAGGCTCCACTTCCAAAACGATGCAAATACCACAGAAATGCTCGGTTTTGTCTCCAAACTGTTGCAAGGGCCATAGAAAACAAGGAATTCCAGGGGAATATTTGTTTTTGGAAGCCTTATTTTTTTTTTGATCCCTCACCTTTTAAGGAGACTTGACCATCCCATTGTTTTCATGAGAGGGCAAAGAGAGTTGCCGCGTTGGGAAACAGTTTTTTTCGGAAACAGTCTTTGGGCTTTTGACTGTGTGCTACATGTTTCTCGAATTGAAGGCAGCAAGATTTTATTGACTTCAACGACCGCGTTGTGAGCTTCCAATTTGAACTACTGAAGCTCTACATGCGCCATCATGACGATGCTCCAGCCAATATGCACTTGATTAGTGACAGGACAGGACACAGAAAGACAGAAGGAATCTTGCGGTGTGATAGGTTGTTGAACTTGCGGGGTGACTAAAAAAGGCTGGGCCAATTTCCATACAGTAGAAACCGGCATCCCAATCCAAAGTTGTTTTCCCCGCAGTGTCGCAGCCTACCATTTTGCACATTCCTGGTTGGCAATTGAGCCGCACAGGAGCGTTTTGGATCAGCTGGCATACCTGAAGTGGAAGGCTGGCTGCACCTGCTTGGTGCACAAGTGGAAGGATGACAATGACAGCTCGACTGGGTGGTTCAGCCCATTCAAGAACATGCTAAAAGGTGTTCCTCAGACCAAAAGTCAGGAAGCAAGAAATGCGGCGCTATTTCCAATCAAGTCTTTAAATATCTTTAAATGTAAAGGTCACTAAGTGAGTCCGGATCTGTAATGGCCACGCAGGTCTCTGAAGGGCTCGTTGCAAAGAAGAAACTCCAGGACTTTGTTGCCGCAAGGATAAGTGGCAGCCAATTTGACCATTCTAGCCACGGCACGTCATGAATTTCCTTTCTTGAACACCTTCACCGCAAAATCTTGGATTCTTGGTCGTGCATCAGTATTCAAAGGAGGCGTGGAAGCTTGCGAGCATCGAATCAATGTTTCTTGTCGCAAGCATAATCGCTTCAAGCGTCAAGAGATGCTCGTGATACCAGCAGTTGCTTTTGAAAGGTAATTTGTTTCTAAGTATGATGCTTTGCACTAGCAGGTGGGTTTTGTTGAGAAGGTCCCTCAGTCTTGGGTTTGCTCGCATTTCAAGTTTTTGAGGAAAAAACTCTACGTCAACACGAAATTCATATTGATGACACCGAATCCTGAGCTTTGCGCAACTCGTTGGCAGTCAGTTGTTTTATGGTGTTGCAACGGCGACAAGGTGCTAAAAGAATCTGCCTTGTTCATATTGTCAGGTCAATGATGGCACACGGATGCTTTCTGACGAAAAAGGCCTTTGGAAACTTTTTCAAGCTTTCAAATGGGTTTTAAAGGAGGCATCCATTGATTTTGATCAATTCACAGCAAAAAAGGACGATGCTCAAGATCTTATCGACTTTTTGCTTGGGTAAATGCCATTTTTTCACCGCAGACACCTGTCTCTGTGTGTGTGTCTTGCTTTGGTGGGACTTTCTTCCATGTACAGCACAGTGTTTTTTGGAATGCTGGCTTAGAAGCTCGCTTCTCCTTTGTCCATATCTTCACGCCAAGGGATTGGCACAGGTCCAGTGTCACTAGACCTCGGCATGTTTGTGTGAACTGGCACAGCCCCTGGCTGGTCCGTGGTCTTTTTCCAGCTGGAAAGGAGACCGTGCAAAGACACTTGGGCCAATGTAAATGTTTGGAAAAAGAACCATTGACTTGCACGAAAGACAAATGGACCAATTGCCGATGCCGTCGATGCGGTTGCAGACAGAGGCATGTTAAGGTTTCTGACCGGGGACAAAGTCTTAAGCGTTCACATTTTTTTGGTTTCAAGCTGCATCTTGCACAGAGATGCGTGTGCGTGTGTGCGCGCGTGGCATTCTGGTTTGAAGTCTGTTGTTAGTGAGCAGGGCTGCTCCCACGACATGTCATGGTAGATGTGGAGCCATACGTGACACTGGAAGCCCCATCCAAAGTGCGAGATGAGCAGTCAGTGCTTTCCATATGCGCATTTTCAAAGGAGCTCTGTGCGGGGTCCTCTGCAAAACGCCGTTTGTGTTGAGAAATGCCTTGCACATCCCTGCGAGCCTGCTGCCGCCCCTGAGGAGCAAACAGCTGATGCCAAACCTGCCTTCTCCATCCAGTGGCGCCCTGCTGAGAAAAATCGTGCCTGGACAATGGCATAGACGGGCATAAAGAGTCTAAGAGGCATAGAAATATTTCCGCGTGCCTCCCAACAACACACACACATCGTTTCTCAATGGGGATCTTTTTGGATAACCAATTTTGAAAAGTCCAAGAGCTGTTCCTCACCTCCAATACTAGATGTTTCTGACCGCCGTTCGGCCTTGAGCCAGAACTATTCGACTTGCCAGACATGCGACACACACGGGCCCCACCATGATTTGCCACTGCTTTCAGCGAGGTTTGTTGGACGAATTTGGCCTCGATGGATTTTGCCTTATTTCCTTTGAAAAGGTTCATCCCAGGCCAGGCTCCCATAATATTTCCAAGTGGGGTGGAAGATTCTTTTTCGAAATGTTCTTCCAGATCTTCCGACTGAATTTTGCATTTTTAACCATCCTGTGTTTCAAGCATCGCAGGGAAATCGTCAAGATCTTGACGGCCGGTGTAGCAATTGGAAAGCGAGTCTTCCGCTTCATCGGACATTCGAACAGTCAAATGAAATCTAAGACGTGCTGGTTGTACAACGGCTTGCTGGAGGAAAATGAACAGATCTTGGACAGGGTAGGTTTTTTCAAGAGCATCACTTCAGCTGCCAAGCGTGCCAAGCGAGTTGGATTGTTGTTCACAAGCATCACGTCTTCCATCACAGTCTCGGAGAAGTTTCAGGAAGATGCAGACGAAGACATCGAAGCGATTCTGGGTTGGAACAAATCGGTAGTATGGTGGTTAAAAGAATTTTGGATAGGGAGAGAACGTTTTCATGCCTGGAAATGTCACCAGTTCCAATCCAGCAGTTGAGACTTCGCGGGCCCACCTAGAGAGGAAGGCCGAACCCTACCTTGAACAAAGATAGGCAGACCTTGCAAGTTGTTTACTTTTCGAATCCCAAATGCTACACTTGATCAGCCATTGTGGCTGAACCACTTTTTTGATATTTCTTTACATGTCTGGCCATCCTTGACAGAAACCACGTGCCCAGGAACGGTTTTTGCTTCACTGACGGTTGTGGCCGGCATTGCACGAACTTTGCGAAGGTTGTGGCGCGTGAGCTGCGGATTTTGGAGCCAGTGTCTGCCGCACGCTATCGGCCCAGTGCATTTCAAGTCCGCTTCAAGGGATATAAAGGCCTGTTCTGGAAACAATATAATCTCAAGTGATACACTCATGCAGCAGGGGTTTTCTTGCTCTGTTCAGTTTGTTTAAAGGATTTACAACTGGGGGAGTTCTGCTTTGGCAGGGATGATTGTGGAAGACCCGAGCTTGAACCAGCCCAGCGCGGAGGTGGTCAAAATGCGGCCCAGTCAAAAGAAGTTTCGGCTCCAAGATGGAGTAGGTCAGATCCAAAAGAAGTTTGGAGTGGTAGATTACTCGAAACCATACCAGTTTGGGGCTTTGAACAAATTTACGATCATCATCCTTTCTGGACTGGGTGTCCCCTTGGAAATCTTTCAACAGCGGCAAGAGGATTTTTTCCGGAAGTGGGCAGCAGTCGGCCAGACAGCTCTGATGGAGACTTTATTACTCGCAAAGAGGCCAGAGTTATTACAAGAACTTATTGCGAAGGATGTGGGCAGAGATTTGAAACCTGTCAGGGCATTGCGAAGTGAGCTGAAAAAGATGAGCCGACAAGACGCGAACAACCAGGAGCCCAAGCTCCGCATACCCATTGAAAGATCGAGGCTGCTTTTTGGAGTGGCAGACACCACGGATACTCTGAAGTATGGGGAATGTTTCGGGCCGGTGATTTCAAATGTGTTTTTTCAGCGGCCGACCAGGTTTTCTACAGTTGGAAGGCCTTGAAACGCCCCCAGCTGCGCGTGTTTTGGTGACAAGGAGCCCATGTTATCATCCAGGAGACCTTCGGGTGTTGCGGGCAATGCCAATCTCAGAGCTGGTGTCTCGTGCAGAGGTTACATCAAAGAAGCTGGTGGAACAGTGGCTCGGAAAAGGGGTTTCAACTTTCTGGGAGCTCTTTCAATTCCTGGGGCCCTGGCAATTTTGATTCAACGAGCAGGTTGGCAGTGCATCGGATTGCCCTTTTGTTTACGGCTGCTCTGCCTTCAGGTCAGCAGAACATACAGACTAGGTCCTAGGTGGATTCGAGAATTGTATGGACAGTCTCTTTCACACACAGCTTCCAAAATGAGGCGACTATCTGTCCTACGAGATGTGGTGGTCTTTCCTACTCAAGGACCTCGTCCGCATCCAGATGAAATGCAAGGTGGTGATTTGGATGGTGACGAGTTCTTCGTTTGTTGGGACACTGCGCTGCTGCCGGGTATGACGGTGGATCCAGCATCCTATGAGGCCACAGCAGCGAGCGCTGACCCCAGTTGCGGCTTGGCAGACTTGGCGGTGCACTTTGCCTGGTTTAGTTTTGCAGCCACAGCGCGTGTGAGCGAGGCTTGGCTCCACTGGGCTTCGGTGGAACCCGAAGGTGCCTTGAGTGCTAAGTGTCGAAGACTTACCGATTTCTTCTCCCGAGCTGTGGATGCAGTATCCAGCGGGGAGCACGTGAGCTTGCCAGTGGATTTGCAGAAACCTGCGGAGGAGGCTGCGACGAATACTGAAACAGCATGGGGCATCCTCACCCGACGACAGGAGCAGTGGTTCGCTTGGGCGATGCAAGAGCAACTGCAGATGTCATCCCATCTTAATTTCAGGGAGTTGTCGGAGATCATATGTGAAATGCCTATGACGCCCCTGGCCAAGCTGACCTTGTTGAGCAAAGCACCTGACCTGGGGGACCACATGGATGAGATCCCTGAGCTGGTAGACCTTCGGCTTCTGAAGTTTCATGAATGGAAACTACTCGAAAGTTTCTTACCCAAACTGAGGCGAGGGCATTTGGATCAAAGTTGGATTGCTGCAAAAACTCTTAGCAAATGCTAATCACAACGTTTCAACCGTTTTTCCCGAGAAGTGTTGACCCAGGAATCTTGAAGCGTCTTCTCATGTCAATACGCACGGTGCATGTCCTTCAATAAGTTGGGGCATCTCGGTATCCCAACTGATTCTGGGTCATAGAAGTAATTATACAAGTTGCTATGAACAGTGCCGAAGTGCAAATAGCATCGAATAGCTAGCACCCAGTTTCATGCATTGATGTTGCAGACCGCTCGCTGTCAATGCAGCGGTGGACAGTTGGTTGCTTTCGCCTGCTGATCTTACAGCCTTGGGTCATGGAGGCCCGAACACGATTGGCCACTCGGAGACTTCGTGGCAGCTCAACCAATGGGGCTCTGTTGCCTTGATTTAGCTTAAACAATGACATGTTCCATCATTTTCCAGGCCTGTTCTTGTCCATTCCCTCCAAGTATATCACAACCAACATGTCTCACGCTTGAAATATGAGCGACAGATTGCCAAACCTCCATGCTATTCAACCTAGCAAGGAGAGTGCGGGTATGCTGCAAGCTGTCCACTCCTGCAACCGAAGAAGGCGGCTCTTGTTAATAAAGGTTCGGGACGGTTTCACTTTGGGACTTTTGCTCCTGGGGCAATTCAACGCCAGCGGCAAGTTCCACAAAGAGCATCGCGTTCGGGAGGACCAAGGGTTGCCAAACGTCCAACGGGAAAACGGGCCAGCCTGGAACTCTTTTTGTTTAAGGTTCATGTAGATTTTCCAGCATGTATTCCCACGTGAAGCCTAGCCCACATGGAACAACCATCATGCGACGGTGCTGCTTCGCACCGCAGCTCTGGAGGGGTGATATGCAACCGTGCGTAAACAAAAAATTCCTCTGTAGAAACATGGCGCAATTTGCAGAACACACACGAAGCAAATGTCCGTTTAGCATTGAACCCCTTTCAAGCCAGTGAAGACAGGGAAAGGAATCCCGGTTGTCCTAAGTCTGCAACATTAGTAATTTTATTCGTTTGGAAGATTTTACTTAAAATGTGCCTCAATTTTTCCACTGTTAGTAAGGTTTGTCAAACATGAAAGGAGCGTCAAGAACGCAACACAAAAAATCTGTTGTTTTTCTCTTTGGGGTTGTGCTGGATCAATTGGTTTTGAATCGGTGAGGTCAATAATATGTACTGAGTTTGTGGTTGGGCATGCTTAAGTAAAGTCAACATTCTAGCAAGGGCATGTCCAGATAAGATTATAATATAATAAGTAAAAGTAATGCGTTTCTTGGCAGGACATGCTCAAGTAAAGTCAAGGGTATAGCAAGCGACCTGCCAGATAAGTCCCAGGTAAGGCAGACATCCATATGGGGGATACCTCAGCACCACCGCAGACAGAGAAGAAGAGCAAAACAAAAAAAAAAGATCCTAGAGCAATTGAAAGATCAAGGAGACGACGAAGACACAAGAAGAGAAGATCAAATACAACAGAAAGTATGCCTGGAAAAGAAACTGAGTCTCGATACGTAAATATGTTCGTCGTATTTCCTTTGAGCGAGTAGTAAATTACTAACTGGGCTGTACCTAAATGCACCGGAGTTGTACCTGAAATTATTTCGCTTGTACCATGTTATATTTAGGTGATACCGAAGCGCATTGAGGTTTTACAGTTTTACCTACGTACAAAATGCATGTAGGTACTAGTGTAAATGTATTCGTGGGCCAAACATACGTTGATGTAATTTGATGCAATGTGTTTCATGTATGGAAGGAAAAATTATGGTATTGAAAGATATTGAAAGCAAAAATAGGTTTAGAATGGATGATGGTGATGGTGATGGAAAGGAAAACACCGGTTTGTTTCCATTTCTGTTGGTGTACGAATTTGGAATAGTTGCTTTTGAAGGAGTCTTTTGTTTTGTTCTAAAACTGAAAATACTTCGAACTGTCGGACGTGTGTTTCGTGTGTTTTTCGGTGGGTGGAGCTTCGGATCGGGTTTGAAATGTTTCAGAGGTTTCTCAGTAAATTCATGTAGTAGCCCACCTGAAACGGAGGTAAATTGTGCGGTTTTGTAAGCGATCTTTACTATTTCAAACCTAGACAACAAACTAAAGTTCAAAATAGGAGTACTACGAAATTAAGTAGTACGTCTTAATTCCGATGATATGTTTTCATATGCTTTCTATTTTTGTGTGTTTGTTTTTGTTGGAAATGTTGGTGGGGTTTGCTTCCAATTTTTTCACAACATACTTTTGAATAGTTGTTGTTTGTTTTCATTGTTGTTAAAGCCAAAAATGTTGAGCGGCGCAACAAAAGTGTTGGGTTACATTAAATGAAATTGCCATCGAAACCTTCAAATCGTGGATCAGCATGTGGTAAACTTGCAGAAACATGTGGCCAGTCTTGGGACACAATAGTTGCACAGTGATTTGCATGAAAAATATTTGCTTGTGAAAGAGCCTGATTACATGAGATATTTATGTGAGATCTTTTTGCCTGAGACAATCAGTTTTTTGAGCCACCTTGTGCACGAACATATTTGTTTGTGAACCTTATTTACTTGTTTTTTGCATGTTACATGTGGTTTCTTGACTTGCGACAATTACCTGGGATCAAACAAAAAGTATTACGTCTACATATATATATAATGTATAAGTATATTTGCATGTATTTAGTTGACAATTAGTAGGACTGTTGGTGTTACAAGCAATGTGGGAAAATACGATGGCCGGACATGCTTGGCCATCGTATTTTCCCACGTCGTTAATGCGTATAGTTTCAATTGAATGTGAAATCAAAGTCTCATGCGAAATGAAAATCAAAGTCTCAAGTGAATGCCCTTATAAAGTCCCAGAAGAATTGCAGCCAGACGTGCAAAGCTAATGGTTAGATCTGGATGAACTTACTTGAGTCCTACTGTCCTACTTGGATTCAAATGAAGCTTGCAGTTGAAGGTTGTATTTTTTTCCTATATGCTTCGGGCAGTGAGCTGAATTTGCTGGAGTTGTATTTGAATTTACGTGAACACAGGGAATCAAGGTTTTTAGACTATACATCATCCTATCAGGGTTTAGGTGAATTTTCTGAGTATCGGAGGTTTCTGGAAATGGGACAGGTTCGTGTTTCTGGCCCTTTGCAGGAGCAAACCCACAAAAAAGAGATGGGGCTTTGCCCCTTGGAAGCTTCCACAGCCTTCCCCACAAAATTAAGTTGAAATATATTTCCACAAACACATTTTTCTCATGAAATTCTCATGCAAGTCTCGCGCATTTTAGATGCACGTTTTATGCACTTCATAAAAGGAAGGTTTAAAAGTGCATGTAAATTTGATAAATTGCTTGTGAACTCTTGATGAAGCGTTGAAGAACTCTTGAGAAGATATTGATGACATCTCACTGCATGTTTGATTTGGGTTTCATCAAGATGTTCTCAAAAGTTCTTCAAAATGTCATCAAAAGTTCACCGAAAGTTGTTTGCCATTTTTTTTGTGTCATGTCGGGAATTTAGAATTGCCTGTTTGTTTGGAGTTTTCATGGTTTTCATTGGTGGGGCCTGGCAGCCAATGAAGTCTGGAGTAAAGTCCATTGAAGACCATCTCAAGTCAAGTTCATTGAGCTGGATCTCAAGTAAAATTAATTGAATATATTCTGAAGTAAAGTTCAGTGAAAACATTCTAAGTTGAAGCTCTTTTGTAAGCGGATAAGTTGAGAAGTAAAGCACGTGTAAGTCACATCAAAAAACTTCTCAAGTAAAGTCATGCTTAGCACTTGGCCGCAGCAAGTCTCTTTTTTGAACCATTAGAGTTTAGCTGTTTTTGTTGATATATCATCCAAGTGATGTGGACAACATGTTTCCTTCAAATAAGGTCACGCATGTAACGTTTTGCAATGAAAGTAAGATGTTACTCTTGCAAGGAGATAGAAACACCATTTCTGAACAAAGGTGATTCAGTGGAATTATAAAGAACACAGAAAACTGCGCATGTTGGCCTGTGTTTTTTCCATGTGATGGGTTCCAATTGTTTCTGCGCTGTGCTCCTTTCCAAAAAGAACACATTTGTTTTGGAATCAGGGGTTTTGATATTTCACCCAAACTTTTTTGGATCAGTTTTGAAAAATGCATGCCAATGCAATATATGCATTTTATCACATGTATACATTTATTATTTGTTTAAAAAAACACATGACATCACATGACTAACAAAAGTTGTGCACAATTTGGTCTCAAGGATGTGCACTCTTGACAGCTGTCAGCACTCTCAGGATTGGGATTGGGTATAGCTTTATTTATCTAGATGCTCAACTGTGTTTACATGTTTTTGATCGCATGTTTTTCTCCCTTACCTCTGCCTTAAAATATTTTTCAAGTAGCACAATCTTTGAAAACGAGTATGACTGCACGTGGTGGTTTGACACACTTACTTGTCCTGCGATTCTCAAATGCACATGCAGTTTACATGCAATTTATTTCTAGTTTGCTGTTGTCCCTAACATTCCGGAATTTTGAAATTTTAAAAAAAGGACCGGGGGGTCGGCAAAGGTGAAATAATGTCATGCACCGGCAACCAGCAAAGAACGCTGAAAATGATTACTTGTGCAAATCCTATTGCGTGCATGAGCCCACCTTACTTGCGACATTCAGTACTTACATTATGTCCTACAATGTCCTACAACACAACCTATGAACATGAACATGGATTCCTCACATGAAGTTTCACACAATCAAAACGTTAATGAGATTGAGAAATTAACTACAGCAACATCCATGGTTCAAAAAAACATCAGCAACCAAAATCCTCAAACCAACAAAAGCTATACGTCATCAACACTATTACATAAAGCAAGCAAACAAACAAGTTACCCACAAAAACAAATTAAAAAACAAAACACACTCTGAAATATTCACAAAATAAGACCAAAAAAAAGATCGAAAATTAAACTCACAAAATACACAGTCAGCTAAGTTCAACCTATTCACATCGTTTGTGATCCATTTCACAAACTCACATATTACTGTATGAAGTGTTGAAGCAAGACCCTAAATCCGTCGATTCTATAAAATTTCATAAATTATGAAATATAACAATTCTCGAGATTCAGGGAAGGAGTGAGACAAATGGTCCAGGACATCAAGACGTAAAAGATCCATATCACACAAAATCCCAAAATTACTTCTTCGAGTGATCCCCACCGTGAAACATTATCCTGACATAGCTTCTGACATCTTCTGACATACCATCTGGAAGTATATATTATGGCATATTGATTTTGACATTCTTTCTGGCAGATACTTTGACATTCTATCCGCAATTCTATCTTGCATCTATTCTGACGTACTTTCTGGCATATCTTCTGACATTCTTTCTGACATTCTTTCTGGCATTCTATCTGGTATATCTTCGGAGATTCTTTGTGGTTGAGGTCCGGTGGGGAACACTCTGATCCGGAGCTCGCGGGTGAGGTCCGGCGGGGAACACTTTGATCCTGAGCTTGCTGTTCGGGCCCGGCGGGGACCACTGCGATCTAGCGCCTGCAGTTGAGGTCTGGCGGGGAACGCTTTGATCCTGGGCTTGCTGTTCGGGCCTGGCGGGGAACACTGCTATCTAGCGCTTGCAGTTGAAGTCTGGCGGGGAACGTTTTGATCCTGGGCTTGCTGTTCGGGCCTGGCGGGGAACACTGCTATCTAGCGCTTGCAGTTGAAGTCTGGCGGGGAACACTCTGATCCTCGGCTTGCTGTTTCCGGCGGGGAACACTGCGATGTAGCGCTTGCAGTTGAGGTCTGGCGGGGAACACTCTGAGCGTGGGCTTGCTGTTTCCGGCGGGGAACACTGCGATGTAGCGCTTGCAGTTGATGTCTGGCGGGGAACACTCTGATCCTCGGCTTGCTGTTTCTGGCAGGGAACACTGCGATCTAGAGCTTGCAGTTGAGGTCCGGCGGAAGAGGAGGCGGAGGAGGAGGAGGAGGAGGACGCGGAGGAGGCGGCGGGCCAGTTGATATAAAATCGAACAAAACTCACCCGACAGGCGGGGATAAAACACAGACAAAAAAGACAAACGTGCTCCACCCAACAGAGAAATATGATGAAAAATGAAATATGCTCATTGATTTTGGGATGATGCCAAATTTTAGTCATATCAGTAAAAGCATTACTAATATAGTAGTAAAATCGTTTGCTAATATTAGTGGTTTTTTCTAACATTAGTATTTGTTTTAGACTTGGAAAATGTCACACACACAATACATAATGCTAGTAAAACCCGTTGTTTACGTAAAAGTCAGGGCAAGTAAAACTACTCATATTGCAGACTTAGGGTGCCCTATGCACCTTTTTAGCGGTTGCTCAGCGATACAAGGATTAGGAAGCGATGGTTGCACACGAAGAAGCAGCAAGAATAACAAAAATGCAACATCACAACAAGTCACACCTCCATCGAAGAGCCATCAACCATGCGCTTTGCTGACCTAGACGCACCTTGCGTGGTGTCGCCGAAGCATCACCTCCGCCTACCAGTCACACCAAGCAAACCTTATGACAGTTGTGTTCATCAGAGAATCAACTGCCAGGCTGTGCCACTAGAGGCATTTCGGATTGGAGATGTCATTTCCCGCTGCTGGCGCTAAGAGTGCCGGAAAAGCACCGGCGTTCGTAATCTAAAGCTGATTGGTTAACCCAACTTTAATTTTTTTGCGTGTTGGTCAGATATCTGTGGGCCGGGAAAATGGGAAACAATCAGTGGCACGCGATGCAATCTACGTGGAACAGCTGAAATCATAAATGTCCGGAACAAAAGCCTTGCTAACCTCTGGAGGACAGTGAAGTGCGAGATGGCAGCAAAGTTTATGTTTTTGGTTTGGCATCGGCGTACCGGAGGAAGTTCGAGGCATCTGGCAAGTTTCGGCTTTGCTTGTGCAAAGACCTTTTGCAACTGTACGAATCAAAGGGCAAGGAGCTCACTAAGGATGATGTGGCGGGCAGCACTTTTGTGTATTTGAAAGCGGAGGGACAAGACTTTGAGTTTGTGAAAGGAGATGGCAAGGGACGGAAAGGGAAGAGAGCTAAGGCAGGAAAGCATGCAAGACGCTCCAACTGGCTTGACCTCCCAAAACTTCTGCAACAATAACAACGACACTTGTGATCAAAAAACGTACAGTCATCGCATTTTTTCATACCCAAGAATGAAATTTCACTCTGGACATCTCAGCATCTCTGGAATTTCTTTCATTGGGATGCGTATTGGGCAGGGTGAGCCCTGATAGGCTTCTACCCGAGAGCCCAGAACAATATTGTCCGTGGCTCTCCAAAACCTTGACGCTCGTGGGCAGCAACTCTTCGGAGGACGCGTCAACAAAAACGATTGCCTCACATGGGAACTCTATACCGAGCGCTCAGACCGAAGCCGCCCTCCAGAAAGGCCAGGGAAGCTCTTGTTGGAGCTGTACATGGGAGAGCCTCCCTGCGTAGACTTGGGTGCCTCAGATGGCTCTATGTGTTGAGGAACGTTCATGAATGGACTGAGCCACTTGTGAGGAGACAGTGCCGCTTGTGATAGCATGTGGCAATTCAACCTGAGGTGATCCCACTTCCTTTGATTCCGATTTGAAGTGGCTCTTGCAGATCTACCCCGCAGAGAAAGATATAGCACCTGACCTCAACTTTCATCAGGCCTCTCTCAGCATGCCACTCCTTGCAGCTTGGTGCAAGATCATTGGGTCTGTTGTTAACTGTCAGAGCAAAAGGAAGATGGAAGATAGAATAAGAATTGAATAAGATATCAGATAGAGTATTGGCAGAATTAGATAAAGATCGATGTCCATCAATTGGAGTTTGTTTGAGCACGGTGGGAGGTTTAGTTCGGCTTGCCTATGGCCTTCACCGAGGCAGTCGAGCATATTGCGAAGTGTGCCTCTGGTGGAGGAGCTGGTGCGAAGCTTCTTTATCATGCGCTGTTCAACGAGGACTAGCATGACATGATCGTATCATGATTGTTTGAGATGGCAGCGCCATGTGCCATCAGTGTTTTCAGTGCGTGCGGGTTGAAGAAAAGATTGTCCACTTTGTGGGATGCTGAAGCATATTATCTAAGCGCTCTCTGGCCTGCCTGTACCTTCCATGTGGATCCATGGCGGGTCTCCAGGAGAGCACAGGGTTCTGAGGCTTGTTTGATTGCCCTTTAGAGTGTTCGGGCTTGTCATGGGTGAACTGGCAAGGCAGGAACATCCCAGGCGCTCCATTTCTTTGATGTTTAGGGTTTTCGCTGTTCTCGGCTGTTTGCCAGCATAGCTTGCTTGGCTCAAAGGAGGCAATGACAGATGATATCGCCACTCTATTGGCTAAGTGCTTCGAAGCGTCTTTGGGCAGTTCCTTGGCAGGATGTTTGCTCATCTCCCTAGCACACGCTCTTCAAATATCTTCAAATAATATTAGAAGCAATTGCAAGTACTAACGTTGAAAGTAGCAACAATTTGGGGAAGCTTGCCGTTTGTTTCTGCCCTGGAATAAAGGTTTGGTCAAACAGGTGTGTCACCACCGCGTTGGTTTCGAGGCTTCATGAGCTTCACCAACATTTCAGAGCTTCCAGAGATGTTCTCATTTCATGTGGAAGTTCTTCTCCAGATGAGCTCCGCTCCTTGGCGACACCGGTTGGCAGTCACACGTCATGAACACGGCACGCTGCAGCCCAGGTTTGCGCTGTGCAGGTTCCTTCTTTGGTGACCTTGGCATTGGAGTGCACCAGCTGCTGTCTAAAGAAAGGCGCAAATATTTCTGTGGAGTCTTGACTGCCGTAGTGGTGACATTGGTGGCGTTAGTTTCATGCCAGGGTGAGGATGTTTCTTTGAAAACACGAGGCACACAGACCAAGCCATTGCTCCTTTCGATAAGATCCAAGATTTGCTTGCTCTTCAGTCCTTTGACAACTCAGTTTGCCAAGGATTCTTTCCACCGAATCTGTATGTCCTTCTGCCGCAACCTCCCACAGCATCGGCTCATTGACTGAAGATAGATATGTGCCGATTCGGCATTGTCTGAAGTGTTGACAGGGTGGACTGACTTGTGTTCGAAGTTGTCGAAGAGCCTGCCCTGCCCATGTTACATTCCTTTTAAGACTTGACGATAATTGGATAAATCCTCTCAAAGAAATACACAAAAGGGGTCTTGCAACATGTTGAACATGTTGCAACCGTCATCATTGCAGCAGTTTGCATTGTTCGCATTGCGCAAGACCTGATGCATTGCTTTGGTCCATCAGGTCACTCGCGGCTCACGTGCTGAACTTGATGGAAGTTGTTCGAGAAGCTCAGTTCGCTTCTTCCACAGAGCTCAGTTTGCAGAGGGACTTTCTGAGCATGGCTCTACTGACTCAGCTGCTGGTTGTGTGGGCGTCTGACCGGATCAAGGGTCAAACTTGGGAGGCTCACATGAAGACCTCTGAGGAAAAGCCCAAAACAGATTCCACAAAGTTATTCCTGCCGAGCTTTGTGGAATGCGAGGGTGTTGGAGTGACTTTGAATTTGGGTGACAAACAGCACAGCTTCGCAGAGGGCGACCTCTTTTCTTTGGAACCGCTTGTTTCAGGCGGCGCCCTTCTCAGCACGCAGGTAGCCCAAAGCACGTACCAGGGCTTGCAGCGAAGACAGCAGAATGGCTTTTGGGTCGAGCCTGTGGCAGTTGGTGTTTTCACAGAATTTAAGCCTGAGATCAAGGCGACAGTAGCTCCTTCACAGATGACCGGGAGCATCTCCAAGATGCTTCAGGGCCTTGATGTTAACCAAGTAAGATGGTTGCTGAGACCTATCCCGCCTTTGGCTACTGTGGATCTCTGCTGGAAGGCTGTAAGTGGAAAGTGGGAGAAAAGGATGACCCAAAAATGGAAAATGCAGAGGGCCAAAGAAATGAGATTTTGGAGGCTTTACATGTCTCCTTCTCTTCCGGCTCGCTTCATCAACTTCTAGCGAAACTCCGCCTGACTTGGCAAATCACACTTGGACTGAGTGGCGCGAGCAGTGAAATTTTGTTTGTGAATCAGCTTCACCTGTGCGTCGTATAATCCTCACTCTGCGGGTTTTTTGTTTGTATTGCCCCACTCAGGACAGGTGGAAGACCTTCATTTAAGACAGGTCCTCACTTCCAGAGCTTGAACAGCCGACAACGCGATGCTTACCAGGATGCCCTCAGACGTCAGGTGTCGCTGGTTTCGGGACCTCCAGGCTCTGCATCGGAATGTTGTTCATTTGCACGCATGTCTGTCGCTGCACTGCTTCAGATGCTGCATTCTCCTCCATTCTCCAGGCACTGGGAAGACACGCTTCATCGCGACGCTCACGCAGGATGTTTTGGCCCAAAGTCCTCCAGGCTGGAGCATCTTGGGAAAAGCAAGGAAAGTTGTCAAAAGTCTCAATTCCTTTCAAGTTTAGTTTGTTGATGATTTTGGATCCAGGGGTGTTTCATGTTGAGCAGATCTTCTCTGCGGTCTTATCATGTTCGTCCTGGACGACCTGAACCCCATGAAAGCCCAAGCCACATGCAGGGCCTGTGCTGCTGCTATCCGAGACCAACTTTGCCGCAGACAATTTGCTCACAGCAGTGCAAAAGATCAAGGACCCTATGCTGCGACATGTTGCAAAGAGGGCATCAGGTGACAAGCTTCAAAGCGGGCTGGCACTCTGGAGATGTTCCACCCAGTTGCATTGGATTCGATTTTTTTGAACGTGATCAGAAAGCGACCTGTCTCGCCACGGCCTGTCTCCTGGCATGCAGGAGGTTCAGGTGTTGAGGCTGGGCGCCGCCGAGCGAACAGCTGCTCGGGCATGGGAGCTGAAGACAAAGGCCACTGCGAAATGGTGGCCTGAATGGAAAAATTATATTGAGATATATTGAAATCAATAATAGATTGGACACAAAAGATTTCAATAGATCTCACGTGACAGTTTTGCGCAGCAAGCATGCACAAGACAGAATGACGCCGCGACTAGACCACAGAGGGCAGGATGCAGTGCACAACATGATTGCCAGCTCCGCTCACAGGTTTTTACTTCAAGTGAGCACAGTGTTTTTTGCGGCAAAGTCGCTACGGAGTACAAGATAATGACATTATCGTACATTATCAATCGTTTTCAGCATCATGCATGGATTCTAGCAGTGCTAGGTAGCTCTTGTTGGCACGAACCACATATTTTAGCCTAAGAGTTAGCTTCCAAATCACGACATCCTGCAAGGAAATATTTTGTTTGGGTGTCTTCGTTTTGCAACATGATACGTAGACTGTTGAGCTCATTGCGAGTTCCCATGAAGGATGTTTCCATCTAAAAGGGATCAACCAGTAGGTGTTTGGCTGACAAGAAAATATATTTCAAGCGAGTGACTTAGGACTTGTGAAAGATACCCCGGTGTGGCCAAGTCCTATCTCATCATGCGTCGGACCCCCCTGGACAAGTCCCAACTCATCAGGTGTCCGATGAGATTAGAAACTATGTTTGATTTTTTTTAGTGTGGCATGGACCACTCGTAAAACCATGATGACATAGGAATGAACTAGCAGAAATATATTATATAAGATGATCCTAAGTCATCACGCTCGTAGTGCAACGGGGACCACAATAGGGAAACACAACGGGAAGTGGGAAACCTCTATGAAATGACCTCTCCGTCATCTCTATAAAATGCTTCGTAAAGCATCTTGGGGCACAATCAAGGTTTTTTTTCCCACTTTTCATTTTTCTCTGTTGTTTCCCGTTTTGTTTCCCCGTTGTGCTTCCCTGTTGTATTCCCCGTTGCACTACCCCGTCGTTGGATCGAAGTCCTCGAGCCAATCGTTGAAAAAATGATGACTTAGGACTTGTGCCCATCTTCAGAAAAAAACATTTCACAAAAATCTGTGATTTTCCATGTTTTCCTTCGATTTGTATACAGACAGTATTTTAAAGCAATTAAATAAATTGAAAAAAGAATATATTTTTTTTCGCTTTTCATTTTTCTCTGTGGTTTCCCGTTTTGTTTCCCCGTTGTGCTTCCCTATTGTATTCCCCGTTGCACTACCCCGTCGTTGGGTCAATATAATATATGTATGTACGTTCTGATGACTTAGGACTTGTGCCCCTCTGGTGACAGACGATTTCCAAGTCCTTTGCATGTATGTACTGTAATGTACTGTAATGTAATGTACTGTAATGTAATGTAATGTACTGCACTTTACTGTAATGTAATGTAATGTACTGTAGTGTAATGTACTGTATATACTGTACTGAAATGTACTGTAAGTATGTAGGTCCTGATGACTTAGGACTTGTGCCCCTTTGGTGACATACGATTTTGTGCACCAAGTCCTACGCATGGATGTAGTGTAATGTACTGTACTGTAATGTATATAATGTAATGCAGTGCAGTGTAATGTAATGTAATGTACTGTTATTTACTGTAAGTATGTAGGTTCTGATGACTTAGGACTTGTGCCCCTCTGGTGACATACGATTTTGTGCACCAAGCCCTATGCATGTATGTACTGTAATGTACTGTACTGTAATGTAATGTACTGTAGTGTAATGTAATGTACTGCACTTTACTGTAATGTAATGTACTGTAGTGTGATGTAATGTACTGTACTTTACTGTAAGATAATGTAATGTACTGTAGTGTAATGTACAGTACTGTACTGTAATGTTCTGTAAGTATGTAGGTTCTGATGACTTAGGATTTGTGCCCCTCTAGTGACATACGATTTTGTGCACCAAGTCCTGTGCATGTATGTACTGTAATGTACTGTAATGTGCTGTAGTGTAATGTACTGTAGCGTAATGTACTGTACTTTACTGTATTGTAGTGATGTAATGTACTGTACTGCAAATGTAATGTAAGTATGTAGATTCTGATGATTTATTAAGAGAAGATTTTTTTATGTTTTAACTTAAAAAGTGCTTGAATCCAATCACAACCCCAGTGACTTAGGACTTGGTGCACACAAATCACCTGGTAAGAACACCAGTGACTTAGGACTTGGTGCACAAAATCCTATGTCACTATGGTGGCCTAAGTCCTAAGTCACCAGTCCGAAAAAAAAGAGAAGGTTGAATGAGCGGATCAGAATGGGTAGTCGGATATGGTCGGTGATTGCATTCATTTTCGATCTGATTCCGACCACAGCGTGTCCTTCTACAAGTTGCTAGATTCTTAATGACCTTTGTTTTTTGTTTCAAAGATGCCCCGGCAAGGGCGAAATTATATATTATATATCGTGCCGCATGTAGACCCCCAATGTTGAACCATGCTCCTGGGCAGGCCGAACGAGAATCCAAACAACACGGCCAGAAATTCTTCGCCTATCGGAAGGAGCTTCTGAAGGATGTAGAGGCCACCCAGATTCTTCAGGGAAAGGATTGTTTCTGGGCCAAAGCATTGTACTGGCCTGAATTTCGCTTTAAATGTCTTCGAATAATTTCATGCTGCCGAACTTTTTTCTGTTTCACAGTTGGCCAATACCTCCCGTGGATATTCAAAGCCCACCTGTGAGCGACGTTTCTCTTTCTTCCTGGCAGGTTGTTTGCTCCACGTGCGTTCGTGCGGCTTCCTTTCCCAAAGAGCTGAAACTTGGCACGGTTTGCGCAAAAGGGCACGCTTCAAAGATACGTCCATGTAGATCTGTAGATTTCAGATCTGTTTCCTGGTTTCAGAGAGTAGGATGCCACAAACTGTGCAGGACAGTGCCACGTAATGATGCATTTCAAAAACCCGTCCACAAATCAAACAGCATGAAGCCGAGGAAGGAGAATCATCCCATGTTGGTAGTGCCTTGGTACTTCTGGTCCAAGCGGTGAGAGGTGCGAATGACAGAGCTCCCAACACTGTACCACTCAGAAAGTCTCATTTACAGACCTTTCAACACTGAACAGCCAAATAAGCTGATCCATGGCCGCTGCCATGTTTAGTCGTTCCAGCCGAGGTTGATGAAGCCAGCCAAGTGACAGGGCCTGTGCTGCTCGCAAGTGTCTTCCGCCGTTTCTTGGAGTCTTCAAAGGTTGTAGCAAACTCTTGAACCTGAGTGGGGTTCATACGGTAAGGTTCAGACTCATTCGTGCTCATTGACCCAAGACGTTCATTCGATTTGGCTTGTTGAAGATGATTGCTCTGACTGTCCCCGATTTGCTTGTTTTAGATGAATCGTACATGTCGCGAGAAGACCAGCCAGCCAGATGAATGTGTCTTTAGCATAGTTATATATAGTTATTATATGTTCCCAGTAGTACCGCACAAGGTGGTGGCGGAAGTTTTAAGAATAGGAAACCTATAGGAGAGGTTGGTTGTTGTGAGTCACGGATGGCAGAGCGAAGCCACTGATGGACCGACAGGTGGTTGAGGTCTCCTCTCTTTCCCTTTCCCTCCCATTTTCTTGTTCTTCGTCTTCTGTTCGCCTTCTTCTTCTTGCTGCATATTCTTCTCGCAATCACTTCTGTGACGCGTTCCCCCTGCTCACCTCCGGGTTTGGCGGATATCCTAGATGCCAATACGTTGAACAGTTTATATCCAAGTTCGTTCGGCCCTTGTTGTTTTTGGCAGAATGGAATCTTCCAAGCGCATCTTCACTTTCAAACCGACAGCTGCCTGCGCTGTCACATGTTGTTTGCGTCAATGCGTGTGAAATTTGCACGTCTGCTGGGCCGAAATCACAGCCAAGACCTCCACTTTGATCTACGCTGGCTCGATACTTACGCTGATTATCAGTATTGACCTGATACAGTAGTTGGTGTCTGTGTTGTTTGCTATTGCTGAACCACTTCTGGGTTGACATCCTCATCCACATCACAAGTGGCTTTGTTCTGCCCTGCTGCTTGCGCTGGTGATTTGTAGTGGTTCACATGCGTTGTGTTTTGTTTTTTCTCTTATTGCCCTTTTATTTTCCACAGTTCATGCCACAACGCTAATAGGGCCTGCTTCTTGTTCAATTACAACGAATTGAAATTGCACCCAGTGGGGAAAAAGATCAGCGGTCATGTAGCAACACAGAGCAAGAAATCATGATACCTCTAGAGGGAGGAATTGTGGACAATTCCCAAATATCCACATGGGAGTTTGTAAAAACCCCCGAACCCCGCACCTATTCGTTTAGTTTTCCATGATCCCCCATGAGCCATTTTTAGCTTTCATTCAAGAAAACGATAAGAGGAAAAAACACGATAACGTCTGGAAAAACCATTTGAAAGGGCTCGGGGTTTTTACACACCCCCACATGGAAATGGACGTCATCTTGGCTGCAGAAACATGACCTGTCGTTTGTCAGGCTGTGCGAAGCTGGTACTAGTCGGAGATGAACAACAACTTGGCCCAGTTTGTGCCGCTTGGAATCGGTGCCCATCCATAGGTGCCTCCTACTTTTGTGGTAGTTTCTAAGGCAAGCCTGCCACTCCATTCTGAGTATGACCTGGGAACCGTTGCTTGCGAGTGCTTTTCGGGCTGTTACGTTGGTGAAGAATATTCGTCATAAAATGTTATCAGGTGTGTTTCGGCAAGTGGGCCAGTGGAATCCGGTGGAACTATTTGAGATTCCTTGCTTGGCAAGGCTTTGGACACCGAGATCTTGCAAAGGCTGAAGCAGCTGTTGCCTCCAGGACAGTTTCTTAACAAGCTGGCCACCTAGACGACGGATGGCCTGAGAGCGTAGAGGAGCATAGTGAGAAGTGTAAGTATGAAGGTCATATAGCATGAACATAAATATCGAAATATACGATGATGCCTAAAATGAAGAGACATGGCGCAGACATGTTGTGAAAAGTAGGTACATATGAAGAAATTGAAGGAGAAATAAAGGAAAGATGAAACGAAGAAGGCACAGGAAGAAGAATTGAGACGGACATTTTTACATACAAGCATGCTCATACATACAAACATGCCTTACACACGACTGTGCTTTTACAAAATTCACTAGGAATGTTACTTGCCATCTGCCAAACATGCGAAGTCTGTCACCTCCGGCCAGGACGCGAATCTGTCGCAAACAAGCCATCATCATCATCATCATCATCACCATCATCATCACCATCACCATCACCATCACCATCCACCACCATCATCATCATCATCACCATCATCACCATCCTCATCCTGATCATCATCATCCTCATCCTCATCATAATCATCACCACCATCATCACCATCACCATCATCCTCATCCTCATCCTCACCATCGTCATTGTCATCGTCATCATCATCATCATCACCCTTTTCATCACCATCATCATCATCACCATCCTTATCATCATCATCATCACCATCATCATCATCATTATCACCGTCTTTGTCGTCGTCACGAGCTTTGTCATGTCACTCACATCGTCATCGTCATCATCATCATCATCATCATCACCAAGGTCATCATCCTCATCCTCGTCATCACCACAATCATCATCATCCTCATCATCCTCATCATCCTCATCATCATCATCACCATCATCACCATCATCATCATCCGCATCGTCCTCATCATCGTCACCATTATTGTCATCATTATCATCCTCATCCCCGCCATCATCATCATCATCATCACCATCATCACGACCACCACCACCATCATCACTATCATCATTATCATCATTATCATCCTCAGCATCGTCACCATCATCGTCATCATCCATCATCATCATCATCATCATCACCGTCCTTGTCATGTTACTCACATTCCCGTTATTCCTCATCCTCATCCTCAGCATCGTCATCATCATCACCATCATCACCATCATCGTCATCCTCCATCATCATCATCATCATCACCATCATCATCATCATCATCACCGTCCTTGTCATGTTACTCACATTCCCGTTATTCCTCATCCTCATCCTCAGCATCGTCATCATCATCACCATCATCACCATCATCGTCATCCTCCATCATCATCATCATCATCATCATCATCATCACCACCGTCCTTGTCGTGTCACTCACATCCTCGTCATCACCTTCACCACCATCATCATCCTCATCCTCATCACCATCATCATCATCACCACCATCATCTTCATCCTCATCATCATCATCACCACCATCTATCACCATGCTCATCCTCATCCTGATCATCATCATCCTCATCTTCATCAACATCACCACCACCATCATCACCATCATCATCATCATCACCATCGTCGTCATCATCACCATCGTTGTCATGTTACTCACCTGCCAAACATGCTACATACGTCACCTCCAGCCAGGAGGCGAGTCTGTTGTAAACATTCCAAACATGATCCCTGCAGCCAAGAAGAAGGAAACACGGATAAACAGGCAAAAACATGCCAAAGCCGCTTAAACAGGCCGCAACATGCCACATACGTCACCTCCAGCCAAGCCACAAGTCTAACGTAAAAGTATACAAACATGACACCTGCAGCCACGCATATGCAACAATTGCTAAACACGCCACATCTCTCAACTCCAGCCACGACACGACTCTGTCGCAAGCAGGCCACACATGATCCCTGTTACACACACAGTTGCTTTTTACACACCGCCGCTTGAACATACAGACGTTTTTTTACAGAATCACTTTTACACAGACACACTTTTACCACAAGCTCCTTTACTCAAAGACGCTTTTACACACCAACACTTTTACAAAGAAACCCTTTCACACACACAGATGCTTTTACAAACAATGTCGCCCACAGTCCCCGATACACGCCGATGCTGTCATACACAGACACTTTTGCACATTGCACACAAACCCTTTTACACACAAACCCCTTTCACACACAAGCACGCTTACACGCAGATTCACTACCACACCAACACTTTTACACAAAAACATTTTTACACACAGACACTTTTACACAAACGATTTTACACAGAGACTCTTTTGCACACAAACACTTTTACACGCAAACACGTTTACACGCAAACGCTTTTACACACAAAGTCTTTTACACACGAACACTTTTACACAGCCCTTTTACACACAAACACTTTTACACACAGACGCTTTTACACACAGACCCTTTCGCACACAAACACTTTTACAACAAACACCTTTACACACAGACGCTTTTACACACAGACCCTTCTACACACACACACACCCTTCACACACAAACACATTTACACACAAACCCTTTTACACACAAACGCTTGTACACACAAACGCTTCTAGACACAAACGCCTTTACACACAACGCTTCTACACACAAACAAACCCTTTTACACAGAGACGCTTTTACACGCAAACGCTTTGACACACAAACGCTTTGACACAAAAACGTTTTTACACAAAAACGCTTTTACACACAAACGCTTTTACACACAAGGCGAAAGCGTTACCGCCGGACCAACCAAAGTCGCAAAAAACCATCAGTTTTTGACACTCGAACCTTGTTTCGTGCGAAAGGGTTGCCGCCGGACCAACCCAAAAGTCTGAAAAACCATCAGTTTTTGACACTCGAACCTAGTTTCGCGCGAATGGGTTGCCGCCAAGGATGTAAAATCGCACAAAACCATAAGTTTTTGACACTCAAACATCATTTCGTGCGAAAGGGTTGCCGCCGGACCAACCAAACTCTCAAAAAAACATCAGTTTTTGACACTCGAAGCTCGTTTCGTGCGAAAGGGTTGCCGCGGAAGTTGTGGAATCGAGAAATTTCATCAGCTTTTGACTTTTGACTCGAACCTCATTTCGCGCGAAAGGGTGGTCATATTGTGGCGCCTCGTCGGCACTGCCTGCGGCCTTAAGAGAGAAAAGAAAAGAAGGAGAGAGACCGTGACAGAGGGCAAGAGAGAGAGAGAGAGGGAGGGAGAGAGAGAGAGAGAGAGAGAAGATGTGTGAAGATGTGTGAGGCTGTGTGAAGATGTGTGAAGATGTGTGAAGATGTGAGGATGTGAAGCTAAGAAGACGAGAAGATGTGAAGATGTGAGTATGTGAAGGTAAGAAGATGTGAAGATGTGAAGGAGTGAGTTTGTGAAGATGTGAAGATGAGAAGATGTGAGTATGTGAACATGTGAAGATGTGAAGATGTATAGCAGTCCTCCACTTTTAGAAGAACCCTGCGCTCAGACGCTCTCGGGAAAAAAGGGATTGTGCCTTCAGGAAAACTTTTAAAACCGCCTGAAATTGATTTGGATCTTGAAAGTATTGCGACGGCGTGAATCGGCAGTGAAATGTTCCTCACTGCTTCAACAATGAGTAGCAAACATGACCATGATGCCGGCCTTGGGCTAAGTCGGAAGGGTTGACCTTGACCCATATGAGTTTCCGCAGCGTTTCCATATCTCGCTTCCGGATTGCCAATTGCTCTGTTCAGGAAAGCCCTTGACTGAAGGCTTCTAATGTCAGCTCTTCATGCTTTTCATGTGCTGGAACCTCTTGCAGAGCGCCCTTTTGAAGTTCAATTCTTACCCAGATGTGGCCGGTTAATTTTTCTACCCAGATGTTCGCTTTTATTAAACTTGACGTGGATGTACAGAACTTGGACGTTGTTGTGGTTCCAACCCAGGGGAAACTTGGCGAGGGGCAATCTAAATTGTCCGTCCATTTCGTCTTCCACCCTTTCCGTCTCTCATGCAGCCCAGCCTCAAGTAGGACTCGGTCCTGCGGAGTCTGCATTCTCCTGGCTGTTGCAGAATCAAATGACCAGCGTAATGTCTGACTTCCCAGTGTGATGCTGCTTGGGATACCGAGAGGCCAAAAACTACAGCATTCTATGCCCTTGATGGTTTGCTGCTTTCAGGAAGATGTTTCCTCCCAGTGAAGATAGGTTTGGGAGGACGCATTTACACACGCATGCCCCGCAACAGTTTCAGCTCGCTTTCCGAGGCTTACTGAGCAGCACCGCATGCATCCCAAACTCGCAGAGTTCCCCTCCAACCATTTCTACCAGGCCATATTTTTTCCCTTTCAGCTGCCATTGCCTCATGTATTAGAAAGCGTCCAAAAGTTGAAGACGGCCACTGTTGTATATTAAGTTGTGTATGTTACTTTTTTTGTATACATGAATAATTACTTATATATATATATGTATGTATATATAAATATTATATATATATATATATATATCATTTATATATTAGATATATATATAATATATATATATACATACATATATATATATATTATATCATATTCATATATATATATATTATATCATATTCACATATATATATATATATATTATATTCACTGGTATATGTGGAATTGCAATTCTTGACAGTCTGCTAAGTGGAAATGAGAACCAAGAGTTGGCAAATCACACTTTGGCTGGCAAAGATTCTCCTGCGTAGCATTGCCTCTGCCAAGCATCCTCCATCGATTTTTGATCTTCTGTCTTACGAGTCTCTTGCTTGCCCTTTGACTGTCAATGCCAATCTCTGCATGCGAGGGGCAATTGGTGAATGCAATTGCCACTTCTGAACGTTCCCTGGTGAAGGCATGGCAGAAGATGATTTGTATCATGCTTTCTGTTCATGTTCACCAGTGATCATTATTTCTGTTGGCGCACCAGGGCATCGACTGGCCAGCATTTCCAGTAAAGTTTGTGGACACTTCGCAGGAGGCAACTTCACAAATTTCTCTTTGGGGTCCATGCTGCGCCCTCTGTTTAGTTTGTTTAGTGTCTCAGAAAAGCAATTTTCAGTCTGAGCAATACTGATTTCGCCCCTGCTTTTTATTGCGTGAAAATATGTGAAGACCTCTGGCAGGATGCTCAGGAGCAATCTGTGGGCACTTCTTGGAAAAACGTAAGGGAAGCAGAGCAGGCAGGGGAAATAGAGCAGGTCTGCCATGATTGGATTGATATTTTCCCCCAAACAGCGTGTCCGCACAAGAGTTAAGGTTAAGGCCGGTGCTTGATCAAGGCCTGTTCCAATTTCCCACCATTTTGACCTGCCAGGTGAAAGACATGTGATTGCGGCATTTTGAGTTGGCTTCCTCAGCCGTTGGATCTAACGCCAGTTCGCCCTTTACCGTGATCAGCTGTTGGATGAAAATCGCGGTGCTTCTCAGCTTCCTTGGACTTTGATAGCGGTAGCCGGAGCCCTGGTTGGGGCTCAAGGAACAGGAGGCACGTTGATGGATACGCAGGAGATCTTCACGGACCAGGGCGGACTGGCTGATGGTCTTGGGGCTTCGGCAACTACGCTGGCAGAAGAGCAGAGCGAGCAAGATGCTTGGACCAGGGAGTGGACCGCTGACGAGTGGAGAGAGTGGAACGCCAGGCGCTGGGGAGCGCCATATGCGCCTCACTCCGAACCTTGGAGGGCGGCCTTAGGTGCTGGCGAGTCAGCTGGGGACTCTCCAAACCCTTGGACAAGTTGGCGAGGCACTAACCCGTGACAGAGCCTGGAAAAGGGGATTTCAGTGATCCCCGCCTTGGAGTGGATGGGTCCACTACCGGTTGTGGAAACGCTCTCTGCTGAGGTGGGACTCCAATACTGATGTCTTGTTGAGGCGCGGCAGCGAGAAGATCCTCAAGTCAATGGATTGCGAGCTGCAGTCCAAGCTAGACCACTTGACAGATGCTGAACTTCAAGGCCAAGACTACTTGAGGGTCATTTTCTTCGTGATGGATGTCTTGGCAGGAGCGAAGGAGGAGTCTGAGAAGAGAAGATGTGTGAGAGCTGCCTTGTACGAGGTCCAGGAAGTCAGAGGAAACCTTGGCCCAATACTCCCCCAGGAGAGGCACAGTTCACAGCAGCAGCCCGCTTCGTGAACCTTCCTGATGACCTGAAGGCCTTTATGATGGAAGAGCAGGGTGGGCTCTCCAAGCAGAACTTGCAGAATTTGCGCGTCCTCACAGGAGGTGCCAGCAACTTCTCCAGCGTGGTTCGGGCCCTGCAGGTCTTAGGCGTGGATGACGAGCCTCTCTTGAAGGCCAACAGCAGTGGCCGAACCTACTTGACCAATAAGGAGGTTCCAGCGGACTATACCATAAGCCATGACGAGACCTTTGACTCTGAGGATGACGAGGTCCCTGACGAGACCGAGATCAATGCTTGGACGAGGAGCATGGCCTTGAACTACTTGGCCGATTGGGAAGAGAAGCGCCGTCGCACATGGGCTGAGAACAACGCTTTGAAAAAAGCGCAGAAGAAAGATCGTCGGCACTTTGAGACTCCGTCTTCCCGGCCTCCTCGACCTCCTCAACACAAGGGTCCACTTCACACCGCTCAGCTGAAGGCCATCACTCGATGTGCTCGATGTGGGATGAAGGGTCACTGGAAAGAGGAATGCACCAATCCGTACAAGGCCAAGGGTGAAAAGAGTCAGACCTCTAAGGTCGCGGGTGGGTCTCCTTCCGCCTTTGTCTTCTTGGGCATGAGCGCTGTGAGCAAGGATGACGGCTCCTATGCGGGTTGGGGCTCCTACTTCAACTTCCTTGAGATCCCCCCGGGATATGCCATCGTGGACCCAGGTGCGAGTCAAGACCTCATTGGATATAAGTCTTACCAGCGCCTGCGCAGTGAGCTCGCCAAACATGGGCTCAAGGCTGTGAGACTGGAGCAGCCTCCTCCGCCTGCCACGGGCATTGGGGGCCAGGCAAAACCACTTTTCTTGGCTCTGGCTCCATGCTTCTCGGGCGGCCACCCAGGTGTGGTGCGCGTCACCGTCATTGAGGAGGATGTGCCCCACCTTTTGTCACTTGGCTTGCTGGAGCATACCAAGTCAGTGATTGACACAGAGAACAAGATCCATTTCAGTGCACTCATGAAACTGCTTGAGTCAGGGCACCGCGTGCTCAGTGTGACCGAGGGGGCCAAACAGTTTGAGGTGCCTCCACAAGTGTTGGCTGAATATGGTTTGTCCCCTGATTCGTTTCATTTCAACGACTCTGAGCGCGGTGTGGCATATATGGCGGCTGACGGTTTTCCGAACATTTTTCATGTTTTTGATGATCAGTTTCATATCTTTGTTCAGTGGGCTTTGGAAGCATCAACATGCAAGCTTGGTCACGGTGATCTGTTGGGTTCAGAAAAGGGTTTTGACTGGGTAACAACAGGAATCGTCAACGCAGACACATATCAGTTTCTCCAGGTAAACGCACACACTCCTGGGCCGAAACAAACCAAAACGAAACAGACTGATCGCATTCAGATGTCTCAAGGGTTGTCGAGTCGACTGCATCTCATGAGTCTTGTTTGGTTCACGTTTTTTCCAAGAACTCTTTTACTGAGATTCCAGTTGAAACAAGTTGCAGGGTTTTGGACACACACAGCGGTTTGGAAAAGAGACAGACCACCAAAGCTCGGCTACTCAACAGCCGATCCATGCTCAGATTTTTGATCCTGTGCTTTTTCAACGTGCCTCGCATCCGGCCATGCAGAGCCTTATTCCAGCGCAACCAGTCGAAGTGGTTCTCGATGACTTCGAAGCTCCTGCACGTGTCAAAGGGCCCATTCAATTTGAAGATGCCGATGCTGGCAACGCGTGGGGGGCAACCAAAATGGCCGATGGAGGAAGTGCCTCCTATGCAAGGAGAAACTCTCCTTCGAACCATTCGGGCCTCAAAACCCTCGACCTCCACCCAAGAAGACTACGACGGCACTGGCCATTGCTCCAACCACCTCTCCGGAAAACGGTGACTCAAATCAAGAAGGCGGCAGGCTATCTGGCAAAGGCCTCCAAGCCAGCCCAGTATGTCTCTCACCAGGAGATGAAGGAGCTGATGCAGGAGCAAGTCAATCAGATCTCCTCGGGAGTCGCGGCAGCTTTGGGTCCTTTGGTGCAGTCTCAGCAGATGCTGCAACATCAGCTGGCGAACACGGTGATGGCGAGCAGCGCGGCACCAAGCTCTGGGGTCCCACAACAGCCACAGCAGATGCCTGTGGCCCCTCAGAGCTTCAATCTCTGGGAGGAGGACGACACGGAGATGGTGAACCCCAACGCGTGGGACCTACGCCAATGACTTTGAGGTCCACGTTGGCGAAGCACCTGAGTATAGTCAGCAGATGTCTGATCTAAGCCGAGGTATAGATGATAGTACATCAGATCAGTGGTTTGTTTTGCCATTTTGGCATGCTCGGAGCTGCAAGGCGTTCCAGGTCTCACTTTCTTTGGAATCCAGAGGCCAATGACGAAGTGTTTTGCGTGTGTTTCTCACCAAAGCTGTTTCATGATTTGCTTTTGGCTGAGGATCATGATGATCGGGAGTGCCAAGTCCCACGGCATGTAAAGAAGAAATTATGCACGTCTGTTCAAGGTTTGTTTTCATCATCCGACAGTTTCACTTGCGCTGGTAGTGTCACCCGAGCTGAAGCAAATCAAGAGAAGATCAATATTGCGGAGGAGACGCCAGAACTCCAACAGACGTTTGGTCACCACAATAAAACGGAGGAGAGACGTCAGAACTCCAAGAGGCATTTTGCCCGCACAATAACGCGGCGGAGACGCAAGAACTCCAAGAGCCAAGAGGGCCAAGTTTTGGAGATACCAACATAGATAAAATAATGGGTACCCTTAAAGGTAGGTGGTCTTTGGTCACTAGGAACGGCCCCGGTACCGGCCTCCCATGGGATGCGATCGAGTGTGATGCCATGGCTCGTCAGAGAAGTGCCGGCAAGCTCAAGATCTGCGAGTTGTTCTCGCCCCCTAGGCTGTCTTCTTTGGGATCGCGTGAGGTGGAATTCACGTCCCCGCCAAATTTTGACTTCACCACGGGCTGGGATTTCTTTGATGCCTTGGACCGAGCGGCATTTTGGAAGTGCCTGCGCGATCAGAAACCAGACCTGGTGACAATGTCCCCAGAGTGCAGGCCTATCAGCATACTGATGAATTCCAACAGGAGCAAGATGGAACCAGGCGAAGTTCTCCGCCTGCGCACTCAGGGCTTGGCCATGCTTCAGTTTTGCGTGCAGGTAGCTGAGTACCAGATTTCCCGTGGCAAGTTCTTTTGGCTGGAGCAACCCGCTACGGCGTCAAGCCTTGCCACCCATGCTGTCAAGTGGCTCCTGGAACAGCGAGATGTTTGCCTGCTAAGGTTTGATCAATGTGCTGCAGGGCTGCCTGTTGTGCCAGACACGCTGTCGAAGAAGCCAACGGCTTCCATCACGAATCACGTTGGCTTGATGCACGAGTTGTCCAAGCTGCAGTGTGATGGTAGTCACACATCAACCCTTGGAGAGTGGGCTTCCCAAGAAAGCTCAGCGCTATCCCGTTGGTCTGCTTCAGGCCATGCTGCACGGCGTGCGGTGGCAGCTTAAACGAGAACAGCAGTTGTTTTCATTTTTCAACGGCACGGAGAACGAGCTCGACAATGAGCAAGAGCTTGGCGGAGATGTGGACCCAGGGCTGAAGGAAAGTGAGCTGACAACCAGAGCGCCGCAAACACCCTCTCCGGTGCGGCCTGCGGCCACTCAAGTCAGCGCTCAGCAGAAGGATATGGTGGCCAAGCTCCACGTGAATATGGGGCATTTGCCAGTTGATCAAATGCTCACGATGTTGAGAGCGGCAGGGGCAAAGGAGGAGATCAGAGAGTATGTCAAGAACGAGTTCAGGTGCGATCAATGCTCTCGGCAGCGAAGGCCAATTGAGAAGAAGAAGGCCACGTGGTTTCCGAGGACATTCTCCTTTAACAAGATACTGGGCATTGACTATTTCTACATATCCTTCATGAACAAGACCCATGCTTTTCTCAACGTGGTTGACCAGGGCACCAACCTCCTTTTCTTCCCAACTATGTTGTGGGCCCTCCCAATGCCAAGGACACTTGGGAGCTCTTCTGCCGAACTTGGGTGCCACCCTTGGCTTGCCAGAGGTGATCCTGTCAGATCAGGGATCAGAGTTCAAGGGCTACTTTGAGCGGGCTCTTGAGCAGTCAGGCACTTTGCAAGCTGTGACGGACAGCACTTCCCCTTGGCAGAACGGCCGTACCGACCGTCATGGCGCTTGGGTCAAACAGCGCATGGAAGAAGAGGTTCAGAGCGTTCAGACCATCCTCAGGTCCAGCAAGGAGCTCGAAACCCTGGCTGCCCTCACAGTTTCTCACAAGAACCGTTGGCTTCACAGGTTCACCGTATCAACTAGTGGCGTCAATCCAAGGATACCCCTGGAGCTCCTCTCGGACGACCAGATGATCGTCCCCGGGACGGGTGATGCTTGTGTTGATCCCTTCGAGGCCGACTCATGAGCGTTGGAGTTTGCCAGAACACATTTGATCAGACGAAGAGCCCGAGAGTTGCGCATCGCCTCCAACCTCAAGGACAAGGTCAAGCTCGAGTCCATAAGCAGAGAACATGGACCAAAGGTCAATATGTCTGGAGAAAGTTCCCTGGCACCGGAAACGGACATTTGACCCGGGCCCGCTGGGTAGGTCCTGGCTTGGTCATCACGCAAGACTCCCATTCGGTATGGATCTCAATGCGATCAAGAATCTGGAAGTGTTGCTCCGACCAATTGAGACCAGCCAACCACATCGAGCCTTTGGGCGCTGAGCTCATCGGCAGCAAAGACCTAGCCGACGTATTAGAGCAGTCCAAGGGCAAGAGAGCTGGCGCTGTCGATGTGGCTTCCGAGGGCCCTCCACCATCTGAGGCCTGGGGACAGTCTGCTTCCTCTCAGCACGAGGAAGCGCCGGCAGTCTCGTCTCGGAGGAATCTTTGCCACCGCGATCTTTGACACCCATCCCAGAGGAGAACGTGGCACCAGCACCCCTCTTGATCCGCTGGCTCCAAAAGACTAAGATTGAGAAAGCTCCCTCCAGACAAAGGAGGCTACGTCAAGAAGCGGGTGGCCCAAGTGTGGAGTCCGAGGTTCTCGAAAGAGCAGCTCTTCGAGAATTGAAGCGTCTGGAGCGAGAAGACCGACTTCGTCTTCAAGGAGAAAGAGCCATGGCAGTGCTTCCACCGGACCCGTGGATCGCCCCCGAGCTTCAACAGAGACGCCTCAAGAACCTCAGTCTCATGGTCCAGATGGTCAGCCAGCGGAAGTTCCAGAAGCAGATGAGAATGAACATCTTCTTTACGCTGATGCCATCAACCTCTTCTCCTTGAAGCCAGATCAGGCTAACCTTTGCCTCATGGCTGGCCCTGCCAAGACCAAGAATTCTGAGTTTAGCATGAAGCATGCCACCCCAGAGGAAAGGTTGGGCTTTGACTCTTCTGATGCTGAAGAGTGGGCTTCCATTATGAAATTGGGCGCCGTGAGGATCTTGCCCAAGGAGGAGTCCAAGAAGATCACGACCGACCTCCCACACAGGGTGATTACGAGCAGATGATCCGCAGAAAGACGCCGATGCCGGGCCTCGGATCCTTCAAGTACAAGTCAAGGTGGTGTCTTCATGGGCATCAAGACCCAGACACAGGAAGTTTCGAGGTGTTTTCTCCAATGCCTTCTACGGAGTCCATCACTCTATTCTTTCAGCTGTCCCTCAGCCTTGGGCTGTCGATGAGCTTCTTGGACATCAAGAATGCCTTTTGCCAGGCCAACAAGTTGAACAGGCCTCAAGGTAAGATCTATGCTCAGCCTTGCGAAGGCATTGGTGTCCCAGCCGACAGATTGATAGAAGTGGTGGCACCAATCTATGGTTTGGATGACAGTCCTCTTCATTGGCATCAGACTCTATTGGAATTCTTTCAAAACCTTGGCTTTGAGAGATCCCTGCTTGAGCCTTGTTGGATGGTTAAGCGACAAAACAATAAGGTGATCGCCCAGGTGCTGATTGAGGTGGACGACTTGAACATTGCTTCCTCTCCGTCCTATCTCCCCATCATCAGAGACGCGTTGACCAAGAGGTTTGTGTTCGGCAAGTGGGAAGAAAACGAGGCCGATTTTGCCCAACCAAAGTCATCATGCACCAGAAAAAGTATATCCTCGAGAAGATTTGGCCAGTTCCTCTTGCCCGCAGGAGATTGGCAGAAAAGGAATCTCCATTGTCACACGAGGAGTTCGAAAACTTCCGCTCCACCCTCTACAAAGTGAAATGGGTGGCCCACCAGACCAGACCAGAAGCTTCTGGTGTGGTCAGCATATTAGCCAGCCGTCTCAAGAATGCCACGATCCACGACGTGGCATGCCTCAACAAGTTGATCAGCCACCTCAGGAACACGGCGAACCGGCCTTTGGTCTTGCACAGGTTTGATAACGAAAGGATGACCTTGGTGTCAGCTTCTGACGCTGGTGGTGCTGATGGAAAACCACCCGCAGAAGATTCCCACGAGTTGCAAGACACCATCCAGGGTGCTTGGTTAATCATGGCTGCTGACAAGGTTCCATCAGCCTCCTCGAGAACCAGGGTTTCGATTTTGTCTTGGAGATCAGCCAAGCTCAAGCGCAGGGTGTCTTCGACATTAGCTAGCGAAGCCCTTGCCTTTTCGCAAGCTTTGGGTGAGTTGGAGTGGATTCAGATCATGATCAGAGATGTGATCTATGGTGATGTCAACAGGTGCGACTGGTCCCAGTCCTTGCTTCCCTACCTCGGCGTCCTCAAGAATGATTGCCTCTTGAGCAAAGCCTTAGGGGATCTTCTTCCTCAGTGCGGCATCATAGACGCCAAGAGCTTGTTTGATGCCTTGAAGAAGGAGAATCCATCATCTAGACAGGATCGTCGGACAGCGATTGAGATCGCCATCATCATCGAAGCCATGAGGAAATCCAAGTCATTGCTGCGTTGGATGCCCCATCCCAGGATGGTAGCTGATGGGCTCACCAAAGATGATCTGACGAAAAGCAACGGAGCACTGGAAGAACTTTTCAGAACCAGTACTTTAGCTCTTTGGGATGAGGCTGACGAGCTAGCAAGACGTAGGGATGATCCTAAGAGCCGGAGTAGATCAAAGAAAGCTTCTCTTGAATTCCGCAAGGCCGGAGCCATCCTAGTGACGGAAGGCCAACTCAACAGAGATTTAGGGGTGCTGTTCCAATTTCCCACCATTTTGACCTGCCAGGTGAAAGACATGTGATTGCTGCATTTTGAGTTCCTCAGCCGTTGGATCTAACGCCAGTTCGCCCTTTACCGTGATCAGCTGTTGGATGAAAATCGCCGTGCTTCTCAGCTTCCTTGGACTTTGATAGGTGCTCCATCTGGCCTGAGAGACCATGCGCATTTCATGATGGGCGCCGCAGCTTTGTCTCTTCTGAAGGTCTCGTTTTACTAGCGGGCCTTGCTGGCTTTTTGAGCTGTGTCCATTTTTTGTGGCAGGCTTGGTACTTTCGGGCTATTTTGAGGTCTGGAACGCCGTTTTGCATGACAGGTGCAGGACATCGGACACGTTTTCATCCGTGTGGCAGGTGTGGGACTTTCTGCGTGTTGCCAAAAGGTTGGCGGGCGCGGGTCAAAATCAGAGGTGGTCTTTGCATGAACTTGGACGACGCTTTGATAGGGTCAAAAGTCTCGTTTTGTGAAGCTGTCGTCATTCCTAGAGAGCCGAGAGTGCTATCCTTTAGGCCTTTAAGTGTGAATGCTTATCTTGCCATGATCATGAGGCAAGTATGAGCCTTCAGAAGGGAATAAGCCTTGAAGGCTTATCTTGTCCATCATGCTGTTCCACTCAGACAGGCCTGTGGCCTTTTGCGCAAAAAAACATATAATATATAATATATATAGATATACATAGAGGGGCACCACCAAATCTCAAGTTTTTCCAACGTTTTTGGGTGATTATGGGCGCTTTTGCTTTTTGTCTCCAGAATTTGGACCAAACCTGGCGCTGTGATGAAGTGCCTGCAAAGCAGGGGGCCATGTGCCCCAATTTCAGAGGGCAAAAGTTGATGTGGAGTGGCGCTATATATTTTTTTCAAGTCGGGTTTTCACCTTGGGCAGTTGCAAGACTGCAAGGTAAACAATGTATATTGACAATTTTTTGTTTTTCATGCGCACCAGTCACCGCGGCCACGCTGCCATGTTGGGTGCGTTGCTGCTCCATCGATGGCTAGGTGCGCTCCCCCCCTCTGCTTGTTAGGTTGGCCGGGTACGGCCGGGTAAACCAAGGTTGGAACCATCCACGCTTTGAACACCTAGGGAAATTGAGACACGCATGTGTGGTGTCTGCGCAGTTTGTTTTTGGGCCCAGCAGATCCATAGCCTTGCCGCAATGGCATTGAAGGTGCTGAAACCGTTGAAAAGTGGCGGGTGGGCTCGCAGAAAGGTATCCGCAAAGAAAAAGGGTAAGGCAAAACGTTTTGACACCCCAACTGTGAGCAACTTGCATCCTGTCATCGCGCTGACGTTTCTTAGTTTCAATATGTTTCAATCTACTTTTTCCATTTTACCCATTCAGGTTTGAATTTCTATTGCAGGTAGGTGTCCATTTCATCCCTGACTTGTGGATCGCGATGGGTCACACGCAGTAGGTACGCAGATTGTATTTTTGGGGGTAGTCCCATAACTCCAGATGCCAGGGTTAACAGTACCACATTTCCAAGCTTAGGTTGCATCTATTGTCTATGGGCGGCCTGCCTTATGCCTTGATGAGCCTGGTTCATGCGGTTGCTTGCAACATGTCATCGCCCACGACTGTTCCTTGCTTGGTTTAAGGGTTCCATTTTTCTGTTGTTCGAATGGAGTATTAACGAGTTAATGTGTGGCCCTTGGGATCAATATACATAACACCCCATAGGGGAATCCAATTCTATAGTATATCCCGTTCTTTGAAAACAAATCTAAGATGTATCGATTAACCCCATCCCCTTAAAATGAAACAACACCCAAATAGTGCCAAATAATACACCGGTCATTAAATGTCCCCATTGAACATCACCCAACCATTAGATTCCATTAGGTATATGGTCTATAATGGCTACTATAAGGTAATGTCCAATATACCCAAAATGAGACATTTAACAACCCCTGAAATATGAGAAAATCCATGTAAATCAACTTTTCAACCTTGGGGGTGTTTAATATACACCCAAATAGTGCCAAATAATACATCGGTCATTAAATGTCCCCATTGAACATCACCCAACCATTAGATTCCATTAGGTATATGGTCTATAATGGCTACTATAAGGTAATGTCCAATATACCCAAAATGAGACATTTAACAACCCCTGAAATATGTGAAAATCCATGTAAATCAACTTTTCAACCTTGGGGGTGTTTAATATACACCCAAATAGTGCCAAATAATACATCGGTCATTAAATGTCCCCATTGAACATCACCCAACCATTAGATTCCATTAGGTATATGGTCTATAATGGCTACTATAAGGTAATGTCCAATATACCCAAAATGGGACATTTAACAACCCCTGAAATATGTGAAAATCCATGTAAATCAACTTTTCAACCTTGGGGGTGTTTAATATTGGAGAATGGGGTTATTCATTATTAATACCTGGATGGAGTTAGATTGACAAACCGAAAGACCGACCAATGAATTCCATCGTCCCCGTTTTCAATGCCTGCCAAGACTATTTCGGTGGCTGAGTTCTTCGCTGGATGCAAGTCCATTTGCAATGGTTTCCGGTGCTTTGGCTGAACAGTGACTTCCAAAAGAAGCATTAGTGCACCAAGTACCATGTCATGCATTTCCACATGCCTTCCTATTCGATTATGTTTCATATGGTAATCCCTCCAAACATTTCCATGGCCTTGCATGTCAACCAGTTCACTTGGCTGTCACGGAGGCAGGCAGCACGTCCGATGTTTGATGCCTTCAAACACCAGACATGCTTCCTGCATACGTTGAGGCAGCATGGAATGACAGCGGTGAGCTTCGAGATTGAAGACCGTGCAATTGAAGACATGCTCTCTGGGATTGGATTCTTAGATGAACATTGTGACAAATTTACCAAGTGGCAAACTCTCTTGGCATGTTCAAAATGTAGGCATTGAAGTTCAGTGCGATTCCAAGTAAACTTGCATATGTATATGCTATTTGCATCTCTAAATATGTGTATGTTGTTATGATTTAAAATTGTGTCTGTTTCCATTAAGTTTTGCCATCCCAGGATTTGCATATGCCATTTCCCTTGTGCTCCGGCTGCGGCGAACAGTGGCTCCGCTGCATTCCAAGTAGATTGGACGGTAAAAACGATGCATGGCAGCCAGCTCGGCCCTGCCACACTGAGCAAGCATTCCTACAAAATGTCAAGTCCATTTCTATCAGGTAAAATGAACGGCTGGTAAGAAAACAGCGTGGTTGGACTTGCAGGGATATACATCATTGGTTCTGGATGTTCATATGATTCATATATCTCAAAAATCAAATACAGAACAACAGCTACAAAAAGTGGTCCCCACACTTTTCTGTACAGGGTCAACTTTCATTAGTCATGCTTGCAACTCATCGCAGGCCGGGCTATGCTGGCTAGCGCCGGTATGTTCCACATGGGTGTGGATCAATCGGTTCTCTGGCCAAATCAGGTCATTGGTTGTGTTTTGTTGTTTGGGTTTGTTTGCACATCATTTAGACACATATGTATAAAAGAATGCTGTTTGAATCTTGCAAGTTTTGTGGGTTCCACTGCCGTTGATGGCCATAGAAGTGACAGGAAATCCACACATGTAATGTTTTCTATCCGGCTGGTGGGCAAATTTGATTTGTGGCCAAATCAGATCCGAGCTCAGCCAATCCTCGCAGCCACCCATGCAATCTCAGTTCAACATCGGGACGAAGCAGAGAGCGTCCTCTTGGAGCTGTCCATTTGGCCCAAGTGGCCAATGCGATGCTTGGCTGGTTTCTGGGGGGGGTGCATGTGATTAAAGCTGAGAATGATAAAATGGTTATGAACATCAATCAGTGCGAAAAACCATTCAACTTTTCAGTGGTGTAACTCTTGGCTCGAGAAGGACCTATTTGTGGTGTGCAGGGCCCAGGTGCGTGCACATACCGAGTCCTCTTTGATGTCGAGCTGCTCCAAAGGCTCACGCGATCCTCCCAGTGACATGGAGTCCGATGGTGGCGAGTCTAGTTACTCTTTCTTGGATGACCCTCTTTGGGACTGGGAGGGCTGTCTTCCCTCAGAGGGTCCAAAGAAATATGTAGCAGCCTTGCAATGTTTGGGATTGGAGCTTGCAAAAGCTGTCCCTAAGAACGTCCAAGAGAAGGCCATTACGCCTTTGAATGTGCCACCAACCCGGGACTTGCTTGTTGGGGTGTATGGGAAGTCCACAACCAAAGAGCGACTGTTGAAGCCTAGCTGCAATTCACACTGTTTTGCACCAAAAGAAATGGTAGAGACATCTTATATTATTTAGGTTTGTACAGATCCTAACGGGTCAGTTCATGTGATTTGTTTTGATTATCTTGATGACTATTTTGATCTGTTTTGACCCCATGCACCACCGACCCTGGATGTGATTTCCAATTCAGGATCAAAAACTATTGTGCAATCCATTGCTTGGTGACATTCCGCGCCTTCCAAGCACGAAAGCCTTCGAAGGAAGAGTTGAAGATTGTGCTTAATGCTTTCAACCACTACCACCAGGCCCACTACAATCGAATAAACAAAGTATTAAGTTCCAGGGGATCATTCTTTTCAATCATGGTCCCATGATGCACATGGCCTGCATGGTGCAGGGACTCGCCATTCGTCCTTTTGAACCCGAGGATGAGCCTTGGCAGTCAAGCCCAATAGCAGGTATCCCGATTACATATATTGTTTGTTAGTGGCATCAAGAGGTACACGGATATATAGGCCTTGTTGCTTTATGGGATAGGTATGGGGATTTGGTAATCGGGATTTAGATCTGCATGGTACCCCTTACACATTTGGGCCTGCATCATTCACGGGAACTTAGGACTTTGAAGAAACCCGTGACCGGGTAATCTTCAAACTGGGCAAGCTTTGGTCAGGTCTTCGCAGGACCCTGCATTATGTGGAATGTAGTTGGGTGACAATTCAGGAATGATAAGCTTAGTCCCATAGAAAAGGGTTCCCCAGAAATAGGTTCAACTATTACATAGTTGGACCTTTTTCTTTTTTTGGAAATTTGGAACCCCCAAATCCCCCCAAAGTATTGCCATTAAATTGGACCCTGGAATTGCAAGATATTGCCATTGAGCCTGAAAAAATTGCTAACCTTGGACTTCTAAAGTATAGCCATTAGCTCTTTCTGGGCTTTAGCCATCCAAAAAAAACATGCACCTTAATTCTGGGTGATGCCCCATGCAGGAAATGGCAGAACAGCCGACATGCGTCTCGAAGCCCATGGGTGCAGACCCTGAAAGATTTGATGCGCAACCCTGTCACCAAGGATGCTGAGAGTGTCACGGATGCTGATTTGGATGCTGAGACCGAGCCTTTGGGTGGCTCTGAGTCATCCCCTGATTCAGAGTCATCAGACCCCATCCCTGACAATTTCATGGGAGTAGTGGATGTACCAGACTTCGAAGGGTCATCGTCTTCGCAATCTGAAGATGATGTACATTAAGCTAGAAAAAGCAAGTTTTGGTTCATTCATGTTTGTTGCAACATTCAGTATATCTTAATGAACACATATGCAATAATGCCACCAGTTTCAAATACTTGACATCCAACATGTACACCATGCAGCTAAGGTTAGCGACTGTGGAAGTGATGTTTGGAAGGGTGTCCCGACTTTGAGTTCCGATGAAGAGGACCCCCTTCCTCTTACCAATGGCGAAGAATCCCAACCGGAACCACATAGTATCGTATGCGATGGTGAGGAAGCTCATGCGGTTGTGCCAGTTCTTTTGGGTGACGAACCCTGCCACGGTTAGTTTGTATTTAGATTATTTAAATGTAAGGTTAAAAATATATTTTCATCCATATATGCAATTATAATAAGTTACCCACAAGTTGCCCCTATGATCAAAGTTTCACCACGCCGGCTTACTTGGTCCTCCAACTCAGGACCCGGCCAATTTCGATGAGACGGACTGTGCTCGGTCGGTTTCGCCTGTGAACGTGGGGAACAGGAAGAAAAGGGGTCGGGGAAATGCCAATGATGAAGTGGCCCCTGGTGCAAAGAAACCCAAGAAGAAGCTTCGACGTAAGGCAAAGAAATCCAAGGCCAAAAAGGGTTCCCCCAAAAACGAACAGGGTGAAGAGGCTGTGGAACCATCAAAGGATTCTGTGCTTGAGTCATTTGCCGTTACTTACCAAGCACTCATCAAGACTCTACCGGTGTGCATGTGGCCAACATCGACAAAGCATGGTGAGCACAGTTATACAGTGTTGCCTGGATGAATTCCAGAAACATGTTTGGCAAACGGTGTAATTAACACGTTTCAATATCTTGGTTTGTTTTGTTTTCAGCAGCGTTTCAAAGTTCCAATTTGATCCTAGGTGGATGGGCTCTGCTCGCGTTGAAGTGCTTCTTCGACAAATGGCTTTCAAACCCAAGGCTGATATCAATGGAGTAACCCTCACTGGTGAGTCTGCCCGATCGACCCTTTGCTTTGGAAACAAGTTGTCATCACATACAATGGGATTCAATGGAATAAAGGTTTAAAACAAGGAAAACAAGTGGCCATCACATACAGGGATTAAATTGGATAAAGGGTTACAATCGTATCCAGCCACCAAGGGTTTACACCCACTATTCCCCAATTGTCTACTTAGGATCACGTTCGTGAAAGACGTGGGTGCTGCGTGGAAGACGGTGTGCGAGGTGCTGCGGCTTCCCAGCCAGGATGGCAGCGACTGAACTAGGAGATTTGCAGATAGGATAGCTGAAGCAGTTCGATGTTAGCTTTTGGCAAGGCTACATGTGCTTGGTATCTGAAAATTCAATTGAAACCCAAGCATCATTTAGGGTATTAGAAATCCAAAGTCTTTGTGGTGATGCACATGCCTTGCAAATACATGTTCCGGGTGCGCCCAAACAAACGGGCTGCCAAAGTACGACAAGGTGACAAGATGTCAGGTATGGGGATTTGCTCTTGATATTGGGGTCAGTGCAAAAAAGAGACAAACAGTGGAGGAATCATGTTGTGTGTGTGAAATGACTGGACAAATGTGGCATCTAAAAGGTTAAGGGTATCACCAACGCATTTTGGGTGCCCATATTTATATCAAAACAATTGAGGTGCTCGCTTTGGGCAAATTCAAATGCAGGAACAGCAGAACATCAACCACCATCCCCCTGGGGCTTTCAGATCTGCAATCTAAGGAATTGTATGGTGTCTCGTTGCTGCATTTTGGCGTTGGTATGCTGTATCCTGAGAATTCCCTTTATCCTGGAACAGCCTGCATCATCGCTGATGCAGTTTCATCCAGACTTTCAATACCTATGCCGGAAGTTTGAAATTTACCGAGCACCTTATCTTTGCAAGATGTTTGAAGCTTTTTCCAACGACCATACATGGCGACATATAGTTACACATATAGTTCCATATATATATAATCTACCCCGTTATCTTAGAATATAGAATTGAAATTTTGGCTTCCCAGGGCATCCCCATAATTGAACTTGAAAACAGTACTTAGAATACAGTTGACGTTAAAAAACCTATACTTAGAATATCGTTGGGCCATATAAATTCTTTCACTTTTCCAGACGAATTCGTCATTTTTCCATAGAAATTCTTCACTTTTCTTTATAAATCCTTCACGTTTCCATACAAATTCTTCACTTTTCCATATTTTTGCCATACAAATTCTTTCACTTGTTCAGTCAAATTCATCATTTTTCCACATATATATATATATTTCTTAATAAATCCTTCACATTTCTATACAAATTCTTCACTTTTCCATATTTTTTCCATATAACTTCTTTCATGTTTCCAGACAAATTCATGATTTTTTCCATATAAATTCTTCACTTTCCTATAACAATTCTGCACGTTTCCATACAAATTCTTCAGTTTACCATATTTTGCCATACAGATTCTTTTCCATATAAATTATTTCCCTTTTCAGTCAAATTCTTCACTTTTTCCATATGCGTTTCTTCATTTTCTCCATAAATCCTTCACATTTCCATAAATCCCGACACCGGTCGTGGGGGATACCCTTCGGTGAGCTTGAAAAATTCATTTTTTTAATTCAATCTATAAAAAAAATGATCATTTCGGGGGACCTGTTTTTTGTTGAAATGTTCCAGTTTAGGAACTTCAGATATCCAGGATTGCTTCTACCCAAAGGGAATTACGTATATAATAATTATTCATGAAGGGGACCCTATTCCTTGCAAAACTACATACATAGAATATAGGTCCCCAGTGAAAATATTCATCATTTTTTGAAGGAATGCCACCTAATTCCATTAGTTTTCATTGCAAACATTATTTTTTTCATAGTTCTCTGACACCGTTCGTGGGGGGTACCCTTCGGTGAGCTTGAAAAGCTCATTTTTTTAATACAATATGAAAAGAAATTGATCATTTCAGGGGACCTGTTTTTTTGTTGAAACGTTCCAGTTTAGGAACTTCAGATATCCAGGATTGTTTCTACCCAAATGTGGGCATATTCTAAGTGGAGTTGCGTTCGAGTTCAACTGCATAATTGGAAAAACGGATATTCTAAGATAACAGGGTTGATTATATATATAGAGCTATATATGTACAGTTTCTCATCTGGCATACACATATGCATGCTGCATATCTTTATGTTTCTTCCTCAGCCTCTGCCTAAATCTAAATCATTTGAACCCATACCCGAGGTATTTGTGTGGCTTGGATCATACGGTGGAAGCAGATCCTTGCCTGCAACCTCTGGAACTTCCGGAGGTCTTTGGAGGTCTAGGTGGATCAAAGCCTAGGAGGCGATGCCAAAATGGCCAGCCAGTGTGTTCATCAAGAATATAGGCAGTTAAAACCTAGCTGGAAAAAAACAAGTTGAATTCTTCAGCTGCCCCAATTGGGGTGTACATATGCATTACTCAATATTATAAGAACGATGCAGTTGAAAGAACAACTTGGTTTTGGTGGTTGCAGCTGAAATTGCAGCTGAAACAAAAATCAATTCTTGCAATTGAACCCAGCTTGATTTCTTTGGAGAGATATGGCCATCGCTATATATGTGTTGGGTCCTTTACATACTGCTACTTCAGGTCCAAAGGGAACATTTCTTTATTCAAATTATCAATGGATCACATCGCTCTACTTGCCTTTGCCGTCGGATGCTGACTGGCCAGCTGACATGAGCAAGCGGCTACTTGGTATGATATGTTGTGTAGCTAGTGAAGGATGTCCCAACAATCAATATGGTACCTTTCAGGAGCCACCGACATGGGGAAGTAATCTGACATGAAGTTGGGTGTATAAAGGCTTATACCCTTTTATTGGTTGTTAATTTGTTTTTCTGGGTTTGCCAAACAGGCCGTGCTTACACCATTCATTGCCTATCTTAGGTATGTCGACTCCAAAGGTGTCAGCCGAGTTTGCGGTGGCGCAGATCTGAAAGGATCCCAGCATTATCCAGCGTTGCTGGGTCAAGCTGTTGCTCAGTTATACTTGAACAACCACAAGTCTATGAAGAAGATCATCAAACAAAGGGAGTACCTCAGTGGAAATATGGGAAACATTGCCCTTGTGATTTGTTTACTACCAGCCCATTTTGCTCACCACCAGCCCAATACCGTATCTCAGGGAAGAGCTTTCCAGCTTGCCCAAGCCAATGAAAGCATTGCGGGAACCTTGGATTTCAAGGCCCATGGACAATGTATGCACACCCGCACATGCACACATATGTATGTAGAACATACATATGTAAATGTATATGTATATCTTTAAATCGATACATGTATGTAAGCATATATATATATGTATGTAAATGTATGCATATATATATACTTCAGGAGGAACAAAGTTTATGCTTCTTGAAAAGCTTTACAAAACATCCATTTCGGTCAACCGCGGATCACATTTTCAAGTCCGTTTTGTGTGGCAGGTGTGGGACGGTCAATTATCGCCCTCTTTTAAATATATAAGATTTTAAAGCTTTTGGAGGGTGGGAATGCGACCGGGGTACGACAAAGCTCCATGCTAGGATTCTACGGGGAAAGGGTGTGCAGAAGAAGAAACCAACCATGTTCACTGTGGGAAGCTCAACCAGCGCAACTTTTGTCCTACCAGTGCGTCACGGCACATGTGTAGCAGTGCAGACAAAGAGGATGGAGACAGACATGTTGTGGAGTAATTACCAAGCTGAAGCAGGTGCAAAAATCAGCAAATGACTTGGCAATCCCCACTCAATAAGCTTTTTGTACCCTGCGTCACGGCACATGTGTAGCAGTGCAGACAAAGAGGATGGAGACAGACATGTTATGTGGAGTAATGACCAAGCTGAAGCAGGTGCAAAAATCAGCAAATGACTTGGCAATCCTCACTCGATAAGCTTTTTGTACCCTGCGCCACGGCACATGTGTAGCAGTGCAGACAAAGAGGTTGGAGACAGACATGTTATGTGGAGCGATGACCAAGCTGAAGCAGGTGCAAAAATCAGCAAATGACTTGGCAATCCCCACTCAATAAGCTTTTTGTACCCTGCGTCACGGCACATGTGTAGCAGTGCAGACAAAGAGGATGGAGACAGACATGTTATGGAGTAATGACCAAGCTGAAGCAGGTGCAAAAATCAGCAAATGACTTGGCAATCCCCACTCGATAAGCCTTTGGTACCAGTGCAAGCTGAAGCAGGTGCAAAAATCAGCAAATGACTTGGCAATCCCCACTCAATAAGCTTTTTGTACCCTGCGCCACGGCACATGTGTAGCAGTGCAGGCAAAGAGGTTGGAGACAGACATGTTGTGGAGTAATGACCAAGCTGAAGCAGGTGCAAAAATCAGCAGCAGGTGCAAAAATCAGCAAATGACTTGGCAATCCCCACTCAATAAGCTTTTTGTACCCTGCGTCACGGCACATGTGTAGCAGTGCAGACAAAGAGGATGGAGACAGACATGTTATGTGGAGTAATGACCAAGCTGAAGCAGGTGCAGAAGTCAGCAAATGACGTGGCAATTCCCACTAAATAAGCTTTTCGTACCCTGCGTCACGGCACATGTGTAGCAGTGCAGACAAAGAGGATGGAGACCGACATGTTATGTGGAGTAATGACCAAGCTGAAGCAGGTGCAAAAATCAGCAAATGACTTGGCAATTCCCACTAAATAAGCTTGTTGTACCCTTCAGGAGGAACAAAGTATATGCTTCTTCAAAAGTTTACAAAACATCCATTTCGGTCAACCGCGGATCACATTTTCAAGTCCGTTTTGTGTGGCAGGTGTGGGACGGTCAATTATCACCCTCTTTTAAATATATAAGATTTTAAAGCTTTTGGAGGGTGGGAAATGCGACCGGGGTACGACAAAGCTCCATGCTAGGATTCTACGGGGAAAGGGTGTGCAGAAGAAGAAACCAACCATGTTCACTGTGGGAAGCTCAACAAGCGCAACTCTTTCTGTCCCCCCCAGCCAGGACCAAAAAAAACGAAGGAAAAGGCCAAGAAGCAAAGGAGGCAAAAAAACCGCTACCAAAAACACAAAAAAAAAAAAAAGACGCCAAAAAAAAAAATACAAAAAGAAAAGAAACCACCCCCAAAAAACCCCCTCCATGTTCAAAAAAAACAAGCGCAACTTTTGTCCTACCAGTGTATGGCAACCTGGTTGATACACTCCAAGAATCAAACGATCAAACGTTGCGGAGGAAAATCCCCAAGATATCCCCAAGAAAAACAACGATGATCTTCGCAGCGATGAACCTCCGATGGGGATTTCCAAGCCGCAGTTTTGATTGCCTCACCCGTCTGTCATAGATGGAGTAAAGCCATCCTATTGGTGTCAATGATTTTCACTACCATTTCACTAGGCTTAGCCTCTGGTAATTTAACGGCCATGGAAAACAACCATGCTGAATTTCGGTAAATCATCGAACTAAATAGGCCATGGCTTCCAGTTTGCAAAATGTGAGTCATTCGCGAAGGGTTTCGCATGATATTTCACTAATGATATTCCCATAAGCTGGTTGGTGTAATCCCCATGTTGCCATGGCTCACTGCGAAATTACTGGGGGGGTATATATATATACACATTATATACATTATATACATTATATACATTATATACATTATATACATTATATACATTATATACATTATATACATTATATACATTATATACATTATATACATTATATACATTATATACATTATATACATTATATACATTATATACATTATATACATTATATACATTATATACATTATATACATTATATACATTATATACATTATATACATTATATACATTATATACATTATATACATTATATACATTATATACATTATACATATATATATATATATCCCATGAATGTGGATTGAATCACCATCTTTAATGGTTAAATCACCATTTTCCATTGTATTCCCAGAGGGACCTCCCGTAGCTCGCCTGTGAGGTCGGGGACTTCGATCTGCTTGGGGAGGTGCCATCCTGCCGTAGAAAGGTCTATCTGTCAATGCATTTAGTTGATGAACAAAACATAAAAACTATACCATCTGGTCATTTGTTACATAGCCATGGAAAGATCCACCATTTTTAAGTTCGGTAAACCATCTATTTCTATGGGCCATTTTCCACGGCTATGTTAAATAACCAGAGGGTAATACAGACGACGTTATAAGAACATCAAATGCTTTAAAAATGTTGAAAGATGTTGATTCGCTAAGACTCTCTTTAAACAAAAAAATGGGTGGTATGAAATTTGCTGGCTTTGCCAAGTTGATTTCGGATTAAATCTGGGCAAAGTTTGATGACCAAAAAATGTCAGGAAATCAAGTGAAACTGGACACGAAGTTAGTTAGGGGCTAAAACTCCAAAATCCACTAGTGAATCATCGTTTTCAGCTATCAAAACGGTCAGAAATGGGTGGTACCCTTACGGAAAATGGCCCATAGAAATAGATGGTTTACCTATTAAAAATGGTGGAGCTTTCCATGGCTATGTTAAATAATAACCAGATGGTAAATCCCAAATTTCCGAACAAACCCAACTATCATATTAAGTTGGTTGGTGATATCCCTAATCCCTAATATCAAACATATCCATTTACACCGCCACCTTTTTGGTTCTGTTCCATTCCCAATATGGAACCCTCGCCTCAATACTCAAACTACGACTTATGAGGTCCTTCCAGATCCCGCAGCCACCGAAGAAGCCCCATTGGTTCACGGCAGCGCGCACGCGCGTTCAACGCGTGGAACAAACCGGAAAGTTGTGCAGTTTTAGACCGCAGCGAAAGATGTTTAAGAAACGAAACCTGGCAAACACATGAGTCGTGATTTAAAGCGTAGGTTTTTTAGACCAACAATGATCCGGATATATCCGGATGTTCCGGACATATCACCAACAATGATGTTGAAGGGAAATGGGGACAGAGATACTGTGGATATTGTGCCATATCCAAACTTATTCACAGATCAATGGATAGATGTCCGAGCAGTATGTTTTTCAAAGGACTCATATTTAATTCTCTAGGTGTTTCCCTGAAATGTGAAGGCCTTGCATGGTGTGCACTTGTCATTTTCCAGCCTATTTGTTAAGAATGAAGGATGGTTCTCTGCTTGTAAATGTCTGCATCATATCCCAGAGATCCAATCATAATGGTCAAAACATGTCAAAACCCTGAAGTTGCTTGCTACATTTTGGTGGTTTCAACTCCCCTGAATAAGGGGATCCTCAGCCCGTTTCTGTCAAAGCAGTTGAGTGAACCAATGATCAGCTACGTTGCGGAAGCAATTTGGCCCGTTTAGTTCGAAGATTTACCTATTATATAGGGAAAGTTGAGAAATAATGGGAGATAGTGGATGATAATGAGATATAACTATTTAACCCTATTTAACCATCAACATCGACAACAGGGCTTGCACTATCAAGAATGATGTGTTACAGTACTCCCATCCCCAACTTCATCAGATTCGCATCTCAGTCATCTCTATATATCCAAATGATAATTCAAATCATCTGATCTTAACCTCTGTTTGATCCTAAACTCATGAAATATCGAAGGTTTTGGTCAAAAAAATGCGGAAAACACCCTGGTTCCGGGCCATTCTATGATCCTGGAGAAGAGTTTGAATGTGTTCACCATTCTGATCTCCCCTTGGACTCACCATTTTGCGACTCAGCATTGCGACTCAGGTCCTTGCAGGGTGAAACACGGCACTGTGCCTTCGTTGGATGCACAACCGTCCTCTTGTTGAGGTCCAGCCTGCAGCAGCCTGACACAGCTAAGACACCAACATCTACAGTTTCAAACCACACAAAACATCTCAAAACCTGTGTTCCTTTGTTCGAAAATAGCTGGGGCATGAGGTTTTTGGGTCTGAGGGAAATGTTATTTGGGAAATCCATGCTTTGATCCCCAGATTGGTTTCTGAAGATGTTCACTTCAACCAATTGCCAAAGAAAATCACACCCTATGTTTTTCTTTCGTATATGAAGGGGAGATTCATCAACCGAAATGGTGAATTTCTGGTGTGCTATTTTAGGGACACTTCTTAATGGGATTGCCAGAATGGGTTTGTGATGGTTTGTGGTTTAATTCATAGGCAAAACATGAATTTTAAGTTAGCTGTAGCATATGGGAGGAATATGCAAAAACTGATATAGATAAATCCTGGGATATGAAAATTAACATGGGATATCATTGATATCAATATTCCCAAAGCATAAACCATGGCTGAAAATCACCCCACGGCCCCATCAGTGATATATCACGATATATCCACCATAAACCATGGTCGATCTTTGATAGTCCACCAAAAAAAATATGTTGTTGGCTATGGTTCTGTTCCGTTTATAGCATAAAAAAAACTAAAGGATTTTCCACTAGCCATCCAGTTGCTCGGCGATGAAACCCATGCTGTATGCTTTCCCTTCCACTACCCTCAGGTCCGGTATGGAATAATGATGAATAATGTGTATCCCCGAGAAAGGGGCTGCTGTAATCACAATCTTTCATGGGAAATCGCAAGTTAGGTGAAATCATGAACATCTTCCCATGGATTGTCCCATGAAATGTCCATTCTTAATCTAATTGGTGGTTGAGCCACCCAAGATATGGTTCCAAACCACCAAGCAGTAATGGTTAAATCACGATTTTCCCATGGATTGTCCCAAGATTTTCCCAGCTCCTCAGCTGACCAGCGCTGCAGTGCTCCAGAAGCATCGCGTGACCACCGCAGGGGTCTCTCCGGGCCTGGAACCAGTTTTAGTGGGTTGTTTGGAGGGAATCTCAAGGATGCTGCCCCCCAGTGAAGTTATGTTGCTTGCTGAACATAACTCCATCTAATCAATGGGAATGACTCAGGATCCAATACATGGAGCTACGTTAATACCATATTTCTGGCCATATTTTAGGATCCTGAAATGGCCATTGATCTAAATAGAACTATAAGATACTATTTGCGTATCATGCACCAACTTGTTAGTAGAGTTATTTGCACTAACTTAGCTAAGTCTGGAGCCCCATCCTGTGGGAATATCCATGGGAATATCATGGAAAATGGCGATTGAACAATTAAACTCATTAAACCAACCAAAATGGTAATGTCGAATGGAACCGGTGGGCTACTGTAAACCAACAAGTTTATGGGAATATGATGGGAAAAAGGGAATACAATTAGTAATGTCGGCCTATGGGATTTAACGGGTGTACACCAACCAATGCAAATGTTAATCTGTTTTGGGAATATGACCATAACTTGTAACTCTTCTGGCTTTAGCCAGTGCTTATCCCATGGTTATCCCATAACTTTGTCGGAGTTTTTTCCAAGCAAAATGATGGGATTTACATGGATTTACTGGGTGCCATCATGGGAATTTCTAGTGGCAATTTGTGGTGAGGTATATAAAAATGGTATCCTTCACCAACTAGCATATGAATCTCTATTAAAAGGTGAGGTATACTCATCCCCCAATATGGGTATAGAATGGCGTGTATATATATATGTATACACATAAAACTGAGTATGTATTTATACAACTCATCTTTTGACCATGACACACATGGGGCCTGAGATATCAGGTGTAGTGGGTTATGTGCTAATGCCACAAACTGCGAATTCATGATGATTGCGTCCCTTCCATTTCTGCAAAATTGCGGCCACTTTAGTATTGGGTTGCTGTTGGGTTTGCCACATTAAAACATTTTAAAACTGATATATCCCTGGATGTAAATGATATGATTCTGATTAATCAAATGGACGTTAAGTTGATTAATCATGTCTTCCCGGTAAAGGTTGATATTTGGGTGTTAAATGGGTGGTAACAAACGTACACCCTCTGGGAATCAAACGTGGCTGGAAAATGGCCGACACCTCCATCGACAGGGATTTCCCAGCATAGAAGCCACGTGGAACCGCAGTTTTTTTGAAGCCCAAACCTTTTCCATTCCATTTTAAAAAAGCCCGTTAAATCTCGAATGGAATCCATGAAAGCCGAAGTGGAATGAAATGATACTGAAATTCATGGTGAGCTCCCGAGTGGCAAAAACTTCATCGTAGGACCCACTTGAGCCATGAAAACTATCCCGATGACGTTTTTTTTTAATGCCCAACAAGCCAGTTAAAAAGTTAGTATATATCCCAGTTATAGTAACCCAAAAAAAATGTGTTCATTTATGACTAGATTTTACTAGGATTTTACTGTTCCACCGAGACGTGTCGCAGCCAAGCGACTTGGCGGGCGGAGCTGAATCCACGGGGACCACCTGAATCCCCAAACAAAGGTAGCGTTGGCCAAGAGAGATGAGATGTTACCCTCTGGTAATTTGTCAAATAGCTATTGAAAATGATGATTTATAGTGGATTTACCCATTAAAAATGGTGATTTTCCATAGCTATGTTAATTTACCAGAGGGTATCCAAATCTTTCTATAGAACAAATGGGCGTTATTTGATGATCCAATAATTCTCCAAATGCAAATTTGCCAAAATCTTGCCAAATTTGCCCAGAAGACCGGGATTTCACGACCAAAATTTGCGGATCTTTTTGGGATTTAAGTAGCAAATAAGGACACATGAGTCGACAAAAATGGTAGAATAGCATAGAATAATAGCGAAAATAAAAATAAAAAAAGCAACTCCGGTCAGGTGCAATTCCTGCAAGAAGATTGGGCTGGAGGAGCCAACCAGGTGGCCAGGTTAAGGCCGCCATGGAAATGTGGGTTGATTCAGATGTTGCTGAAACAAGTCCTAGAATTGGATGCCGGCATGTTGAGAGAACCCCAAAAAAAATCACACGGTGTTTTTGTTGGTCAAAGTCCCCATTTTTTCCTGGACAGGGGTGCAGCTAAGATGAATGGCTCAGATCGACTCAATGGCTCCCCCCAGTTGCAAGACACGGGCAACGTCCATAGGGGTGGACTAACCCAGATGAAAATCTCGCCTGTTGCACATAGGAGCCCTCCACAATGGTGCCTGGCCAGTCGGCTTCCAAGAATTCAGTCTTCAAAACCGCCATGTTTTTTTTCGTTCCATGAAATATAAGATCAGCTGTGCTAATATTGCATGAAATCCCATAATTATTTTCAATCCTATCTGCTTGGTGGTATACTACCCCTCTGAAAAATATGAGTGAAAGTCAGTTTTCCCAACTGAATGGAAAGTCATAAAATTCCATGGTTCCAAACCACCAACCAGATATTTTCAATCCTATGATTTTCCAATCAGATCCCAACAATTTCCTATCATTCTCCCCATGTTGGTGAATTCGCCCCATTTTTTTCCCAGGGAAAATCTCCGAAAATTTCGCCTTGACGGGTGGTCCAAGTCGAGTCGCCACAGGGCTTTTGGCCTCGGTTGACCCCCCGGATTTTTGCGGATCTGAAAATACACGTGTGATGACACCTATCCGGCTATCCCTTGTTTCGGTCATATCCATGTCATAGGCTCAAATCCCCAAGATCTTGTGAAGAAGGCCTCTCCAAAGGTCCTTTTCAGAAGTGACTCCCAGCAAAAGATCCAGGATTCACAGGATTCACAGAAACGAAACGTTTAACGTTTTACTGTAAAATCTTGAATCATGACTATAAATTACATAAACAAAACTAGTGATTATAACAAACCATAGTGTTACCTAGATTTTAACTATAATGACTAAATATGAAAACTAGTAAAATCTTACAACAAGACTCTCTCACTGGATGAACTTAAACCATATATTTTATCATCAAATCTCCGCCCTCCAGGCGCATCGAAAGCAACCGCCAGGCTGCTTTGGAAGCCGCCGCGGTACTGCGTGCCGTCCTAGGCAGTCTCAAGGGAGGCGAAGCTCGGAAAACTGGAGGCGCGTTTTGCCAAAAACTAATGATGTATAACCCCATGATGATGATTGTTAATTGATGGTTAAATACGTGATTGATGATAAAATGATGATGGTTATTGTTTTAGGATTTTAGTCTGCATTGTTTTATGATGTTTTATGGGTGTTTTATATTCTGGTATCGAAAGTTCATCTTATCTCATATTGGAATATTTCGATATCAGAAGTCGCAAGGTTTGATGATTCATCCGATCCCTGATCATAATACCCAACATTGTTAGGACCTCAATTCATGAATAGATCCAATTCAAAACCGAGATATCTCGATGATTTAAGCAGCGAACCTGTACCGATGTTCAATAACTTCAGGTGCAAACGTTGGGATCTAACCACTGTGGCCGCCGGGATACGAGTAGATAGCACCACATGGAAATATTCTCGCGATATCGCGGAAAAAAATGGGTTGGCTGAATCCTATTCTGAGTTGGCTATACATATACATATATATATATACGTCATCATACATTTCTAGTAGTTGAATCAGGTGAATCAAGCCAAAAGTGTTGATACCACCATGATTGTAGGAGTTAGCTCCATTTTTTGTAGATGATAGAAGTTCTAAAAGTCGTATATCTATTATGTATATATATATATATGTCATCATATGTCTCGAATTGGGTGTGTCTGAAAATTTTCCCAGATAAATGCCATGGCTTATCATCATCTTCCCCGTGAAATTGCTCTGCAGTAAATCGGTCGAGATGAGGGTATACCCCATTTGCACACACACAACCAGTAAAAGATAGCTAAGTTGGGTGCCAATAACTCCAATTTCACTATGGTTTATGGTACTTATAACTATAGTTAATGGGGTTTATAAACCAACAAACATCACTGGGGGGGCCCCACATTGCACACACACACACACCCATATGGAGGTTTTCTAAGTCATGGGGGGTACCCCTTGCATCATCCAAGTCATGGATGACCATTTTAGCTAGTATTGGAACAACCATGGTGACGACTGAGGATCCCCCATGACTTAACAAACCCTCATATATAGATTTATTTTATCATCCTGAAGTTATAGTAGATAGAATAGAGAAAAAAATCAATGATATTCCAACTAAATTTCCATGATATTCTGATTCCAACTATTTTAATGGGGATTTCGGTATGAAATTCCCATCAATGTGTTTTCCTATGACTAAAAAGTAACACCCCCGTCATCTAGTCATCATTTTGAGCTCGGAACCGTCAAGGTCCAGGTACCTGTGACAATCTGACCGTCCTCAGCGCAACGTCCAGCGATCCGTGAGGGTCGAACGAGAGATCAAGAGATGGGATGGTGCAGGATGGGCCCCAAAAAGTAAAGTGTTTGTTGATTTAGAAAACCTCATTGGAAAATATATCTAAATATAGTTAGAAGTATCATACACCAACTTGTTATGAAAATTATAGCTGGTTGGTAGTATACCAACCCCTCGGATAAATGATGGAGTGAGTAACAGTTGGGATGATGACATTCCCAACTGAATGGAAAAATAAAAAATGTTCCAAACCACCAACCAGATAGTTATAAACCAACTTAGCTAACTATGCGGCCCCATCCTGTGTAGACTTAGCCATTTACCCATCTAACTATATAGAGGTTTCCTACAATAGGGGTACCCCCAAATCATCCAAGATTAAAGTATTTTAGTATTGAAACCCATGGTTTTGGGGTACTCCCATTTTAGGAAAACCCCCTGTGGTTATATGTCAGAAAATCACCACCTGCACTACCTTGGATGGTTGAAACCCATCCAAAATCCGGCGTAAAATATTCCCCAAGACAAACCTTCACCCGTTCACGACACCAAGCTCCCCTCTACGAGGGATGAGCAAAAATTGTACGTTGAAATCTTTTGAACACGGCATCTACGAGGATCTGATCTGATGGATTGGTAATTGGTTACCCTCTGGTTATGTCAAATAGCTATTGAAAATGGCCATTTATAGTGGATTTACCCATTGAAAATGGTGATTTTCCATAGTTATGTAAACGCTTACCAGAGGGGGGATATAAAATGGGTAAAACGGAGTTAAATGGAGAGTAACCATCTATCACTGGGCTAACATCTTCACATGTTTTCTGTTTATTTAACTTCTTCACCAAATTGACAGGTTATTGTTGGTTAAATTGACCTCTGAAAACAAATCATGTGTAGGGAGAATGGGTAAGATATCCGCATGAAAATCATGCGTGTGTGTGTCCCATGAAGTCTGACAATAATATATAAACCATTTGGCTAAATGATAATTGTTCAAAGGATTCTTGAAATTATACACCGATAGTATGGAACTATAAACCTTTGGAAGCTTGGAACATGAACCTTGAAAAAAACATTGGGGGATAGTTACTGGCCGTGATTCAAAAAGTGACCGTCGCGACGTGAGGTCGCTGTTTTATTCCCCCGAAAGATGGGGGACAAGATCTGGACCCACAAATGGCTAGTCCTTCTTAGTGGTTTCAACCAAGCATTTTAAGAAGGTTTGAATCCAATCTGGTTGGTGGTTGAGCCACACCTTTGAAACATATGAGTTAATTGCGATGATGACATTCCGAACTGTTTCTGGAAAGTCATAAAAGCCATGGTTCCAAAGCACCAACCAGATATATTAATCATTGATTATCATATATTATCATTATCAACCATTATTAATTAACCATTATTAACCACTATTAATAGTGCCCAGAAATTGGGTCATGGGAAATCCCCGGTGCCCTCCAATGAATCCATGCACAGCCGCCAGGGTGAACCCGGCAATTCTGATGGCTGGCAATGTTGTCGGCAATTGTGAGAAACACGAAACGTTGGTGAACATAACTCCAATAACTATGGTTTATGGTACTTATAACTATAGTTAATGGGGTTTTTAAACCAATTTGTAACTGGGGGGCCCCACATTGTAGGAAGTAGTAACCGTAGAATACCATACTTTGGCGTGAGCTTACAAAGTATGTAGAGTCAAAAACTGAGAGCCATGATGTGCTTTTCCAGAAGGTTTTGAGTCAGACGGCACCCCATAGCACCTGGCCTTCCAAGTTCCTTTGTATTCATACTTGGTCTTGTTGAAGACATACCTGAAAAATCAAGACTCTGCAATGCTCGAGAATGACTCCACCAACAAAGTGCCTATGGGGCAAGTCACTATTGTATCATATTGTATCCCTAACATGGGATAGTTTAGTACATCTTGGTTCCATTTAGATCCATTTATAGATATTTATAGATCCATTTAGATCCATTTAGATCCATTTAGATCCATTTAGTACATCTTAGCTCCAATAAAAAGACAATTTCATCTGCAATTCCAGTTGGAAGCTGCTGCTCTGAAAAATCAGATCATCTCGATGGATCATATCCATGCTGGCAGCATCCACCCTGTCATCCACGGCTTGATGTAGATCTAGAGGAAATACCCTCTGGTAATTTAACAGTTTGCTATGGAAAGATCCACCATTTTTCATGGGAAAACTCACTATTTCTATGGCAATTTTCAAGAACTATTTGACATAACCAGAGGGTACGGTTTTTATTCCCTGGGGTTCCCCTGAAACCATCCTGGGAAGTGCGACAACAGAGGAGACAACAGCCATCACCACCTTCCCACGTTCGCGAAATGCGCACGTCCCAGGCCCGTGTTTCTTGCCATCTTTCCATTCACCTGAAAGCATGGAGGCTTACCGTGTTTTAAGGGACGATGTGGCTTTGATGTACCCTCTGAGGTTTTATCTAAGCTTTTGCAAACTGGAACATCACCAAAATTAGAGGTACCCTCTGGTTATTTCTTACACTTCGCCATGGAAAATCACACACATGCTATTAAGTTCGGTAAACCATCGAAATATCGATTAGGGCCATCGAAAAACCAGGGCGAACTGTGAATGTCAGTCATAACCAGAGGCCACGGATCATCGAAGTCACCCAACATCCAAATTCCTGGCACAAAAACGAATCACCTTTTTAGCGAAGAAATTGTCCCAAAAACCCAATCTGGAACGGCCGAAAATTGTCACACATACTATGTGAAACAAAAAAAAACATCAAAATCAGGTTGTGTTTGGGACAGGAAAGTGCAAATTAAATCAATGGATTCAATGGCTCATTGGGTCCCTTTTGAAAAGCCTCTGAAAAGTCTGGGATCTGCAGCACGTTCACCCTCGCTCCACCGAAAATCCTAGGTGCCTGAGTAGATATCGCCATTGGCATACAGGAGGGTACCCTGCACTGCGCGGTTTCTTGGTCGAGTTGTGGATTCTGTTCCCAAAGCACGAGGCCTACTTGCTGGCAAGTTCTTTTGGAACTTGGAACACCAATATGACCCCCTTTCCATCCATTTAACACGAAAAAAATGCCAAAAAACGAAATCTGAATGTCTGCCTCAGGTGTCATTTTATCACGCCATTGCGTGATGGCTGTTATTTTTCGCGCCTCGCCATTGCGTTTCCCGTCTTTGAAGTGACCATGGAAGTAGCCACCCTTCTTGTACCTCCAGGGTGGAGTTGACGTCACGCTCGTGTTGATGTTCTTTCCAAGGGTATTTTTTTCATCATGATCCCTTTTCCGGAACTCAAGAAATGCGAAAAATAAACGAACAAAAACAAAAGTTCAGACATTTCTTGAGTTGATATGGATCGAAATTTGGGGGACCAATCAAGTCTGGTCACGAATGGGTAAACTGTTCATTTGGGGAGTGTTTTAATGGCTTTAGCCATATGAAAATCTCTGAGATTCCTCTCTTTATGTGGCTTTCTGTGCCAGTGGTCTTCAGATTGGCAAGCATATGACCCTCCAAGCTTGGGATCGCATTTTGGGTTGTATCCTCATGGCCGCTAAACATGATACTCTTCCACCCCCCCCCAGCGCGGGAAAAAAATCCACAGGCCAAAGCGCGTTAGATCATTGCAGCAACAACAACAACAACATGTGACATCTTCCCCATTTGTTGCTTAAATATGATTAAATGCTGCATCTTCCCAAATCGTGTCGAGCTTTGTTTTGAGAAAGAAGAAAGACGCATCCCATAGGGTTGAAACCATTTGAAAACAAAAATAAATAATAAGAAGACAAGTAAAAAGTACCCGAAAACACCACTTATTTCCTTTGCATCACCATTGTCTGTTGCAAAATGTGTCATATGAAAGCCACCCCCCAATACGAGTTGGTCATATCCTCCGTAAACCCAAACGAATTCACCAAGTGAACTGTGCATTAGCTATCATAAATCAGCTACATATATATATATATATAAATATATATATATACACTGCACACATCTATATCTATCTATATATATATATACACACATCTATTCCCATAAATTTATATATATATATATGCCATTTTCCTGTGGTTTTCCTATGGTTTTGTGGCTTAGAGCAGTGGTTTTTTCCTGGGGCACGTGATTCTGCCCAGGCCGGTCTTCAGATTATTCTCGAAGGTGCCAGTGAACACGTCGCCCTTCAGGTACCTAAAAAAGCGGCTGGGAGATATGAGTCAAGTGCTTGGTCGCTTCGGGTATCACGCGCTGACAAGAAAATATCAGTAACTACGTGTGTATATATATATATGTGTGGTTATATAAATATGAGTTACTATATATATCATTAACTATATGAATATGATATATGTAACCATGATATCATTAACTATATATATATATCATTATATCATATAATTATATATATATATGGTTAGATGAATATATCCCCATTTAACCCATCCAAGGTTGAAACCAAACAATAGGAACAACTGCGAAGCTCCCACTAGTCACCAACAGTTCGCTTCAACGCGCGCACGTGTAGACACCGGCTCCTTGCCGAATGCCATTTTCGAAGAGACCTTCGTAGATATCGCCATTCGCATAGTTGGCCGTAGCTTTTCCTGGAGCGAAAGTATGCCAATATCACTAAGAAACTAAGAGACATAATGAAGAAAAATGGCGTCTTCAGCATAGAAAATTTGAGCAAAACCCCCAAAAACCATAGTTTATCATATGTTCACCATTCAAAATGCATTTGTTTAAGGTAAATCCCCTGTGCTCAGACAACATAATTTTGCAACAGGAAGGATGTTTTTTTGGGGGGAAATGTTACCATTGGCATCTGACCCAATTTTTGCTGGAAATTGATGGATTTGTCGTTAGAGCATGGCCCACACCAGAACAAAATCTTCAGAGAAATGTCATGTGAAACGCACAATTCAATTGCAATTTCCAACTGAAACATCGTGTTGTTTAAGGCCTTTTTGTTGCAGAATACATGGTGAAACGTCAGCTCTGAATTCTTCCTTCAACATCTACCCTCTGGTAATTTAACATAGCTATTGAAAATGAGCATTTATAGCGGATTTACCCATTGAAAATGGTGATTTTCCAGTTCGCAAACTGTTAGTTTACCAGAGGGTAAAACCTTCTAAAACGAGAAAAAAAAACAGAACGGCGCGTCCTGTAAAGCCAATGGATGTCTTCTTCTCACCTTCTTCTGTAACCAGGGTGTACCTCAAAACAACGAAAACAACGTGGCTCCGCGTTCCGCGTTCACAACGTGGCTCTGTCTGAAGGCTATACCCTTTAAGCCGATTTTAAAGGTAAGGTGAAGATGTTGGTCACGCTAAAGTCAGACAAACAACAAGTTAACTAAGTATCCAATGGTGGTTGATCTTGAGGTAATCTGTTTTTGGAAACAAGGCTTGCGGGTGGTATCAACCATCATTGAAGGATCACATTCTCCACAGTTCAGGTTTTAACCTCCCATTTTTTGTTGGTTGAAATCCGAATTCCAATGATCACATCACTCAACAAATCACCAACTTTTTTGGTGTTTTGTGGCATTGCTCATAAGGCAGGCTTCTGAAAATGGCTGCTTAACATTTTGTAACCCTTATCACCATGGGTTTCCTAGCTACATATGACCAATTTGGGATGAGAGTGGACCCATGGAAAGTTTACGCTTCGGCTTACCCCCGAATGCGGCCCCGCACACGCCAGGTGGCTGCCTCTCCTGGTGGAGCCACTTCCCGTCCCTTAGAGCTGGGATTTATGGATTTTCATAGTTCATCTCCTCAAAATATGGTGTGTGTGTGTGCATGTATGCAAATAGATATATATATATATATTATATTATATATATAATATATATTATATATATTATATATATATTATATATATATATTATATATATATATGAAGAAATAAGCAAACAATTCCGAATAAGTAAATAAAACAGGTCCGATTTTCCCTCCCGACATGTGAAAACAATTGGGGATCTTCATGTCATTTTTGCGGGGATGGAATAGAGAATATTTGACATCACCACTGGCTTTTTTCCCAATTTGGAATAGCTGAGTTGAAGAAAGATAATTTTCACCATACGATTCAGGATGAATACTGAGTGTAATTCCTCTTATTGATGCAGTGGTGTTTGTGGCACGCTGTTTTCTGGAGGAAGGCTCCAAAAGGGCCCCAGGGCCGGTGGAAAATGTAGCTCTCCGAATTCCCATCATCCAACAACAGCCAAGCGGTATAACGATAACCATAAGAACATGGGTATCCTATGGTATCTGGTTGGTGGTTGAGCTACCTGAAAACTGATGGAGTTCGTCAGATTGGATCATCATCCAGTTCATATTGGGGAAAATTAAAAATTGGGGAAAATAAAACATGAATATATGATAACTATGATATACTAGGTGGTTTTACCCAAACTATTGGGGAAAATTAAAAATTCATGTTCCAAACCACCAGGTGTGGTTGGAAAACTCTTAGGAGCTCCGAAGCGCCAAAAAAATGGATCCAAATGGCTAGGTAATATGGATACCCATATCTCCGAACTCCCTCCTAACCACTAGTGTACTTAATATTAGAGCATATTAGACTATTAGAATATAATACTTTAAAAGCAATACAAACATATCAATAGTAATTACTGATACTACCAGTTTTTTTTGCTTCTTGGTATAGTCTAACTCTACTAAAACCAAAAAAAATGGGTCATGAATCATGACGAAACTCATGAATCGACCCTGAAAATTCCCATCCAACGACATCAACGACGTCCTCGTCGTCTCCCATGCTGAACAGCCAGGCGTTGTCGGATCGGATCCCCCGAAAAACGGCACCGTCTCTGGAGCCCCAAAAATGGAGATCTTCACGACGTCCAGACCGGGAATCCCCAGGAAATGATCCAAAGTTGAATGGAGAAAAAAATGAACAAATCGCCATGAATTTTAAGGGCATTGACATAGATATATCATAGATATATTATTATGATATATTTATGTAATTTTGCCAATTAAAAAAAAACAAACAAGCACCGGAACGCTATCAATTAGAGAACATTCTGCTGACTTTCTCTAATTCAGGGTGTGCGCCGAATGCTAATTTTGAAATAATTCGATCGTTCTGGGTAAAATGAACGTAAACACTCGTGATTTATGGCTGCACATGGTCACGATATTATAATGTGATGCCAAAGGAATGCAGCGTTAACCATCAAAAACCAAGCAAAATTGTGAGTTTTGCCATAACAAATTGCTGATTTATTTTGCCCGCTAAAGTTGAAATGTTCTCCAGCAAGAAAACGTTACTAAATCAGCAAGAATTGTCATGCAACCGGCAAGCATGGTGAAATTCAGCAAGCTTAGGGATTTAAACAGCAAAAATTGGGGATTAGTCGTTCGAAATAGGACTTTTCGAAGATTTAGCAAGCGAAAATGGAGCTTAAACCAGAAAACAATGGTGCTTCCACCAGCAAAACATCTAGCTTATTGCACAGAAAACAAACCAGCTACAAACCATGTCGGATCATTTCGGTCATATCATAAATCATTGCAGTCTATCATGTCTTGTGCCATGATGTGGTTTCATGTTCACTTTGAACCCAAATCCATCGTCCGAAGATTCCAGAACTCAGCGAGGTTCAGCTTCTGAAGTACCGAGAGTACCCTCTGGTAAACATTTACATAACTATGGAAAGATCCACCATGTTGAATGGGAAAAATTCACTATAAATAGCCATCTTCAATAGCAAACTGTAACAGTCATTACCAGAGGCTATGACCCATGTCTTACTGAAAAATGCTGGGTAAACCCAGTTTACCCATCAACCAGTGACCAAGATTTCGAACCCTTGGGGTCCTTTTCCGCATGCTCTTAGAGACCGGGCAGATCCCTTGTGGAAGCCCAAAAAGATGTTGGCTCATCCGCCGGGGACGGGTCCAGTTGTCCTTTTGTTGGTGCAGACCTAAGATCTACGGCCGGTTTTGCTGGGAATGTCCAAAGTGACAGATTTTTTTTGCCCCCCCAAAAAAAAACAGAGACGTTAATCATCTACTGTGATTTCAGAAACCACAGAAAACCATACAGATTCACAAATGAAGCTGATCATACCTGATATGTATATGTATATATATATATACATCATGTATAGAAAACGCTGCTTCTTCAAAGCATTTATTTTAGACACACCCAGCCGGTTACTCTGAACGCGCACTCTCCGAGTGCGGGATGATCTGATGTGGGCCGTTCTGGCGAAGCAATCGACCTGTCCAGCGTCGTTCCACCGTCGCTCCCATTTCCACGACCGCGATGGAACCTCGCGATGAGTTTCATGGCCTAGTTCCATGGTTGGGTACTTGGTAAAAACACATCTAGCTTAGGTAGGCTATGAGAAACCAAACTATAAAAGTAGCAAAAATATGGGTACCATCTGGTTATTTAACATAGCCATGGAAAATCACCATGTTTGATAGGTAAACCTCTATACAGTAAATGGATGTAAATGGGCCATTTCCCATGGCTATGTTAAATAGCCAGAGGGTAACCTTGCTGAAGCAACTGATAACCAAGTATACGTGCGTCGTGCACATTACGTAGCTTGAGCCCCGTAATTGAATCAACGGGCTGTGTTTTTGAGTAAGTAAATGCGAGAAAAAAGTATGTGTGTATGTACATGTGTATTATAATGTGTATATATATATGTAATGCATGTATAACTGTATAATTGATTATAATTGTGTTTGTTTGTATTCCCCAGCTGGGGATTGAAAGTTGTTTCAGTCGGCATCCCGGGTCATGGGAGACCGGCGCACGGGGCATCGACAGGCGCACGGCCGTTGAAATAAACTGAAAAATCCCTCAGGGTCCTCGACACCCAGAAAGTTTTTTTGAATTTGGGTCTCAAAATTGGCCTGAAATCACTCTTCGGAAACATGGATCGTTTCACGGTTTGGCCAGAGATGCTCAATTGGGATCATCCCCGGAAAAATCGATAGCCGAAACATGCGTTTCAACCACCAGACCTGTTTGGAATCATCTTTGGAACAGCCTCTTCTGGTCACCAATTTTGATCCGCGCCGATCTGCAATGTGTGCAATGTGTCCGATCTAGGCTTCGCCTTGAACAGACGCAACCCCACATCTTATGGAGCACTTTTCTCACTGGATGCTTTACAAAGCTCTAAAGAAACCGAAGAAATGTGGCTCAGTATGGCTCAGTTCATCCCAAGAACATTCTTAAACACCCTAGAAAAACAGGGTTAGTACTTTGTCCTTACTTTGTCTGGCATCCTTTGAATGGTTTAGGGCGTGTTTTTCTCAATGTTCCTCTGATTGGTGGTTTCACATCAAAAATATGAGCAATTGTGCCACTTCATCATCCCATTTCTATGGTTGAAAAATGACAAACATATATGGCAGTGTGTCAAAACCAATAGTACCCCTGTAGTTCATATCAAAATAGCTGGGATTTATGGATGTTCATCCGCCTAAAAATGGTATGTATAGGTATTGATCCATAGTCATATCCGAAACCACCAACCAGTCCTATATTTTGCTCCTGTGGGGAGTGAGATCTCCACGGTTGTCAATCTCGACGTGTACACCGTCGCGCCGTCGAAGAGAACGCGTCACGGCACCGGCTGCAACGGTCCCTCCTCAAAAGTTCCACTAGTAGGCCACCACCTGGGTATGGATCAATACCTATAGCATTTTTAGGGGGTTATTCACATCCATAAATCCCAGCTATTTTGATGTGAACAGAAGGGGTACAACATGGGTTTTGACACACAGCCACCTGTACAACCCCTTCGGTGGGGAAGATACCTTGGGGGCCCCCGTCCGACAAGTCGGTGAACTAATCACGCGGAAAGCATCACAAGTAGTATCAAAACTTGAAAGATTAATCCACAAGACATAAACTTACTGGTGCTAAACGTAGGGAATGGATGGGACTGGGGGTTGCTGGGATTAAAATTGATAGTGATTATGGATCATTCCCGAAAATTCCCTACGTTTAGCACCAGTAAATCAACCAAAGCATGTCTGGTCAACGACTCAGCCACACAGATCGCACTCAGCGGCGCACACAAATCTATCTCAGCGACGCTACGACCACGACATCTTAAGGGTTTATATGTCGTTGCACTTAATGTAAGAAGGGCCACGACACCTTTAGGGTTCATGTGATGTTGTAATTTCTGCGCGCACAATAAGAAGAAACTACAGCGATATCGCAGGAGTGCGTGCACATAACGACAAAAGCTCTCACAGTGTAGCATCAGTATATCTCCAACTGCAAGAGAAAGTTTTCTACTGTACGTCGTTGCCTACATGTCGTCATCCAACATGTGGTCACCGCACATGTCTTGCCGCGTGTACGGCTGAGTTCCTTTTCGCGTGTATGGCTGAGGTCCGTTCCGCGTGTGCAGCGAGCATTTTCCGCGTGTATAGGCGAGATCGTGTTTTCGTGCACAGCTGAGGCAGATTACGCGTGTACAGCTGAGTCACGGACCTGTCTGAATGATTTGCTATGATTTACAAGACCTCATTTGAAACCTTCAAATTGATAATTTCCCACTTTGAATCATTATTTTATTACTCCAAATCTTGGTGGTGTCGGCTCAGGTTCCCTAAATGACAGGCCTACTTACAACTCAATCATCAGATTAGATCGGACGATTGGCTCAAGATCATTTACCATCATTTAAAAAAGACACTAACCTCCAGCAATCAAACATTGCAATTGACAATTTCCTATAAATGGAGGTTTATAATTTATAGCTGACAAAAACATTTTTTTTAGTAGTGGATGTTTTTCACTGCAACGTTTGATGACCATATAATGTTCAATTAGATTCCCGTTGTATCCATGTTTATCCCAATTTTCTCTTGGTAACCCAACCATTTCCAACACACTCATCGACTCAGCCAATCCAGGTCTCCCCGAAATTCTGTTGGTGAAGTATGCGCTCTACGAAATATGAAATACGTAAACCATGAAATATCCCCTCATGAGGTGTTGAAATCCCCAAAAAGTATGCTTAAAATTGCGAAAAAACACATCATAACACATCGTATAATACTTGAATACAAGTATGGTTTTTCAGCATGAATCGGAAAAATTAGGGTTTTCCATCACCATCTTCATATGTAAATCACCGAAGTTTTCATGGGCCATGGCTTCGCAGCGGCAGCCAAGGCACCACTACTGCCGCACTGTCGCCTTCCGACGTTCCCGTGCGGGTGCCGATGACATTTGCTGCGAGCTGGGCCCTCCTGGTACGAAAAGCTGCTGTTCCTGGAAAAATCCCAGGGATATTTTTAGCACAACAGTGGGTTTATCCAAAATACCCTCTGGTAAACGTTTACATAACTATGGAAAATCACCATTTTCAATAGGTAAATCCACTATAAATCACCATTTTCAATAGCTATGTTAAATTACCAGAGGGTAAAAGAAAGCCATTTCAGGAACTTATTGAAGGTACCTAACCTACCATATTTCAGGCCTGTTTTTTGGCTATGTAAGGGAATATCCCTGATTGAAATATAGGGACTTTTATGGCACAGAAGCTCCATTTGAGGGTCCTGAAATTTCTACTGAAAAAGTTGGTATCATCTTTGAGTTCACCCCATGTTCGCATGAATCTGATGCTATGTGGGGTCAAGTTCATCAAGTTGATGTTCCGACGAATGATCTACAAGTAGTGGATTTCACCCATATCTATTCTTCATTTATTGGGTCTAATTACATACATGTGATGGCTGTAATTCCTGAACTGGTTCAACCTGCACGTGTTCGGATGTGTTCGGGATTTCAGTTTGAAAA